ATTTTCTTTATAATCTGTACAGTAGTAGATATAGTTCCTAACTTGTAATCGATACAAAACTATAACCCTTGGATTAATCAAGTAGCTGAGACGTAATTTCTTTAATCGATTAGCATTAAGTTTATATTATGATCAAACTTTGAGTATATCTTTTGTAGTATTCACTATTAGTGATAGTTGTCGATTTGTTTGAGTATCAATTATTGCGATATGTTTTACGTATTTAATGGAAGACTGCTCGGATTCGTTTTCTGTTGATGTGTGTCGTTTCTTGCTCGGGCTCGTTGCTGCGACAGTTCGCGTGCGACTAAACGCATGTCGTGAACTATTGCTTCGAAGATACATGCACGTACTTACGCCGGAAGCGCCGCGGTGTTCGCGGTCGTCGGCTCAAACCGCAGAGCGGAGTGTCGCAGCAACGGACGAGTCAACTTAATTATTACTGTGAACATTTTGACATAAATGAGCCCCGAAGAGGCATGTAATCATGAGTCTCAGACGGCAAGCTAAGCTTATTGAGAATTATTTTAATATAGGAATCTGTATTTTTATAACGAAACTAAGATAAGTTGGTACAGTAATCAGTTACTCCTGTATGTCACATGTAATAGTGTAGTAAGCTGTGTCTAGTTGTGTTTTACAAGTGCCTATTGGCTCCTTTCTCGTTAAGTTTATGTTCCCGCAACGTTTGACAGTCATTATCTACATATATCTGCATCGGGCACGTCTAGAATAGAAAAGCAATAATTAGAAGATTGATATGTGTGGTAATTAGGTACGGTTGTAATCATAATTCGGATACGATTTGTAATCTTCTTAAATGTAGCTTCAAGTTGATGAATATTATTAGAATTATCAAGTTAAATAAGTTTTAAAAGGTCCTAAATTGACCATTTTCAATGTATTGTAAATCTCTGAGCGACTAAATTTCATATAGTATTCAATAATAGCTTAGTATGGAGTGTGCTTCATGAGTCTGGAGTTCAAACTATGAAAGATAAGAATGGTTTTATGTCGTATATGTAGATACTGATTGGTTCGGTAAAAGTAGTAATGGCGGTTAAAATCGGACGTCGGAATCAAGGTCAATCATTGCATTTATATTTATTCTGTATTGGTGCGAAATGTTGCAAAATTATTGTTTTATACGAATATTTGAAGAAATTGTATTGTTTTATGAGTATACGCTGTCTAAAGTTTAGTTATTGTACACAGAAATGCAAATCATTTGTTAAAAAAGTGGAATGTTTAACATGAAGTTTAATTGACGTCACTTTTAAAGCTGAATAAAAATATTTAGTTATAAAAGTGATGTATGATTAAAACTCGTGTTAGCATTCATTTTTATTTCTCTACGACAATGCTGTTCTCAATGCAGCATGAGATTATTTTTATATTATAATCCCACTCCTTAAAATCTTAATAATTTACTTTTGGCCTATATTTTAATCAGTTTAATTTAATTAAAACTGCACATAGCACTGTTAGCGACGTTCTTTATAATTCTAGGTAACGCATTTTATGAATATTGATGCATTTTATTTCCTAAACTCTACCACCAAGCTCTTCAATGTGTTCAATTAGAAGTGCAATTATTAAGCAGCTATTTGGAAGTAAGTTATAGGTCTTAGTTACGAGTATATCTACAGCTATGTGTCGTCAACAACGTCGATTTCTGTACCCTTTCGTTTTATATAACTAAGACTTTAGTTTCCATAAAATTCGCATTTCTTTTTTCAATCCACCTCTATATACAATGATACTAAAATTGTATTTCCCAGAAATCGAAGTAATATTAACCGCCAACGTCGGCAATATACGACACGCAAAAACTGGGCAAGTCCGTCTCTGACAAGAAAATCGTCATTTTTAAGTACATTTTGCTTGTCGTCTATAGCCGAACGTGGCTTCAGAAGGTTAAAAGTAAAATAATATCAGTAAAAAAACGCAAATAGTGCTATGTGTAGTATCCTACTAGAATAAAACCCATGTATCCAATTTTGTCGTGAATTCTTGTAACATTTCACGACCGGATAGTTTTTAGACAAATAGGATATGTTATGTTTAGTTTTAATGAACGTTTTATATTCCTGTATTCTGTGAAATGTTCGTCATTTTACGTTGTGATCATTTGAGTGCAAAATTATTATATTGTAACCAGTTTACTTTGACGATTCGTCAGTAAGGGCAGCAGATATACGTTTATGTTTGCATAGTCCGAGAGCAGTATTTTTTAGATGTAATCTTTATTATTAAAAACTTTTTTTTTTATTTTAACATTATGAAATTCGATCGTTAGTTAATTTCTAACATGAAATATTTAATAAAGAAATCACAAAATTATATTTGACTTTGATTTTTATCTGCATAAATTAATTATTATAATGATGAAGGAAAGGAATTCATAGGTATTTTTCTTTTTCAAAAATAAACATATAACAATTCAATAAAATGTTGAAAAATAATATTAAAAACTTTCAGTCGTCGATCTGTCGATACACATAATTTTCTAGCTAATTTCTAAGTAATTAGTAATACGACACGGTGCTGACAAAAACCATCTAAACAATCTACAAACAAGATTAATGGAGTGCGTTCGTGTAGCGGAATGTTGTTGAATGTAAAGATTTTAATTATGCAGATATTTAGTGTATGACGTCGTATAATTCTTTTAATATTTTGGCTGCTATAGTCGTAACCAGGAGCTTTACTCGTGTCAAGTGTTTTTATTGCTTTTAATACCTCTGCAGTTTAGTGAATTTATTGGTTAGTTTAGACTAATAACTCGGACATGTCATGAATTCTGGCAGAACCAGTCTGGGTTTGGGATGAAGACGTGCTTTAGGTGTCCGCGAATTTAACCGCCTTATCAACATTGCTAACTGCCCACTCATTGTTTTCTTTAAGGATAAAGAATAAGGTCGGTTCGAAGCTTAGTGACTTGGTGGCTTTCCACTAGAAGTAGTCGAAGGTGCCGTAGCATCAAGATTTTTCAAAAATGTCTGGATGTTTTGGTTTCTATTCTCATTAATCGCGTGCGTTCGTGCAGCGGAATGTTGTTGAATTTAAAGATTTTAATTATGCAGATATTTAGTGTATGACGTCGTATAATTGTGTATGGTAAAAAAAAATTGTGCACGCAACCATTGTGGAGAAATTCACCAAAAACTGATTCCGCTGGGCGAACGTTGTCCTGGCGGAACTTTTTTTAATTCATAGACTTTAGAAGAAAAGAGATGTATCCAAAAATTTGTGTGTATTTGTGTATGTATGAATAAAACTAGTGCATGCATAAACTTCGGAGAAATTCAAGTTTCCGCTACGCGAACGTTTGGCCATTAGCTAGTTTTCATATAAAGCGCTTACATAGAGAGCTGTAGATTTTTACATACGTTGTTTTGAATTTGTTTATATTTATTTAAAAAACAGATTCAGAAAAAATCGTAGGGTTTAAAAGATAAAAATATAAACGTAAAATACGCTTATTAGGTCTTAGTTCTTAAAGTATGCACTTTGGGGTCTAGATTTTCACGTTGATACAAACCTTGTAAGTGTCTGCAACATGTTGCCAAGTATCAATGATGTTCCGTTAGTAATTAAATACTTATAGGACAAATTTACCATGAATAGATCACTGTTTACAAAGCAGTCAAATATCACGACTTTCTAAATGAATTGCATGGTAAAATGTACACACACAGATGGTCTATCCCAATCCAGTGGAAAGTTGCCCAAATAATAATGGTCCTAAAATCCAGGTCAGGCCAAATCATACTACTAGTCCCATCAAAAGCTATGGAAATATTTATTTTACAGTCATCATAGTGAAAAAGATTGTACCAGATCATCAGCTTGGATTCCGACAGTACTACAGAACAAGTACTCAGGCCGGTAGAAAATATAAATAACTCTTTCGAGCTAAAACTATATAGCACTGCTGCGTTTTTGGATATATCCCAGGCATTTGACCGAGACCTACACAAGGGTTTATTCAATAAACCCTTGTGCAGGACTCGGTCATATTCATCATCATCATCATTCATCGTCGGTATTATTGTTAAAAATAAAAATAGAACTACCAATACTAAGTACAATTTAAATCTACTCATCATACCTAAATAATAGACACTTCTTTATTAAAAAAGGAAACGAATTCACAAATCTTTACAAAATACAAGCAGGGGTGCCCCGGGGCAATGTAATGGGTCCCATACTGTACCTACTCTATACAGCAGATCTTTCCACTACAGATGGACGGGCACATCGGCAACTCAAAAACTTCAAAGTAGCCTCGACCATATCTTTCAAAGGCTTCGTGATTGGAGAATAAAAGTAAAGTAAACAAAGTAATTATGTCCAAGTGACTTTTACTAGGTACCAGGAGAGAAACATGCCATTAACATTAAATGGAGTCCAACTACCTAAGGCCGAAAACACCAAATACGCACCTAGGCAGACAATTAACTTGGACCAGACGCATTTCAACAAGGCGCTTAAAAACACATTTCAAAATTGAGGAGAATTTTTAAGAAATAAGTGAGCTATTTCACGAAATAAAATGAACAAGCAGAGTATCGTTTTTGCCATTTGGATAAAAGTATTGAATTTGATTAGTTAGATACTGCCAAATTACTAGACCAATGTTTATCACACCAAATATATGTATAGTATTATAGTCAAAAATCTTTCTGCTGGAGCAGAAATTGTCTGGTTATATATACTACCTAAGTAACAAGATAGATTTGGAAGTGATTAACACATTCAGTGCCCCCGACGCGTATGTGCGTATGTGCGTACGCACATACGCGTCGGGGGCACTGAACGTGTTAAGCAAGTTCGTTGCTAATAAAAAAAACACAATTTACTGAATAATCATTGTTTATTCCATATAAATATAAATTTATTTTTGGATAACCACACTTTAGTATTGTTAGACATGTTACTGCACTAACTATCGACTAATTATTACGAGATAGACCTTACAAAATAATTGTTGCGCATTAGGTTCCGGGTGGGGGTGGGGGGCCGTTGTTCGCCCATTGTGGCTGCGGCCCCGATACAGTGCAGTAGTTGGAGCCAAACACTGGCATATTGTGGCGGAACGGAGCGACCATGCTCACTGGGATAGGCATGGGGCTGCCTGGCATGCGCCCGGCCCCGAACTGGAACATGTTGCCCATGAAGGGAGGCGGGGGTGTGGTGGGGTTGAAGGGCGGTGGCAGGAACATGGGCGGGCCCGTGAAGTTGGGGGGTGCACTGAAAGGTCCGTGTGCGCGAGGGTCGCCGGGAGGGTGAGGCTGCGGCGTTCTGAGGCCCAGGCTGCCAGGCCATAGCTTGCGCGGGAAAGCGTTGGGGTTATTATTTCTCCTAGATCCAGCTGCGAATGGATTCCGGCCCCGGCTAGGTCCACTGCCAAAGCGGCTGCTGGACTCTGAAGGTCTTTGGTTGCGTCGTTCAGCGAATTTCCTCGTGGTCTTGGAGGTCTCGCCGTCCTCAGATTCTTCTGTTTTCTCTTTGCGCTGCTCCTTCCTGGCTCTGTTCGCTCGCCGCTCTTCCTCGTCATCAGAGTATTCAACCTGGTGAGGGGGAGGCTCCACGTCGTGCAGCCACGATGCGTCGGAGCCTTTAATTCTAGAATAAAACAATGAAACAGCTTAGAATAACTCAATCGTCGAATTTTTGTCATTAGTTGAATGAGTAACACCACTGAGAAAGATTCTCTTTTACTACCATTTTAAAGGATTTTACTACCATTTATATGTACCGTAAAACGGGGTGTATAGAATTTGGGGGGTGAATTGATAAAGAAAAGGGGTGAACAGAAGTTGGCGATTTTTTTGTATCTATTTTAGTTGTTCTATTTACTAACCGTAAAAGGTAGAAGTGACTCTCTTCTGCGTCTATTCACCCCTCGAATTCTATTCGCCCCGTTTTACCGTCAGTGTACTTTTTTAGATTTCAATTGTCATCACTAAATATGGGACTACAGCTGGTTATCATGCCATGTCGGCCACAGTTTCAAGACTTTTGTCTATTACTACATGAAGATCTACTTAATAGTTAAAATATGCAGAAATATCAAGAATACGAACTTCATGAGCTCGGTGAGAAAGACGTAGTTGGTGTGTTGGCTCTGCGGCGCGATGTAAACGTCGGCCCCAGTCTGCGCGCCGCGCTCCCGCACGTGCTCCACTGAGTTGAACCGCACGCAATAATGAGGCTCTGTTACCTGGGTATCACAAAATTATATGAGTATTAAGTTGCTGTAAAGAAAGTTTATTTAAGTGTGGCAGAGCCTTACTTGGACACGAATGGGTCCGGCTCGACCGAATTGATACCACGGCCTCACAGAAAACCGCCGTGAAACAACCACAGAGTTGTGTTTCGCCGTGTGAGTGAGGTTACCGTAGGTCCAATCTTTCCCCTCCTCCATCCCCAAATCTCCACAATGTCATTCATGTAACTCTACTGTTATTGCGGGTGTCCATGGGCAGCGCTGATTGCTTATAATCAGGTAATCCGTTTGCTTATTTGCCGAACTATCACATAAAAAACCCCTATTTCGATTTATAACGTTACCTAATCAAAAAATATGCAAATCTGAAATGAGAAAGAATGGCTAATATCTCACATATTCGAATCAACTTAATAATGTACCAAAAATAATCTGTATGTGTGAGATTTAAAAAGAGTTTCTTGCTCGTTCTTCTCCATTGGAATCTACACTTTGGAATGAGCAAACAGCTTCACTAAGAAGACTGACCAATAGACTGACACTTTTTATCTTTAAGCTTTGTTTAATTGAAATAAATGATTTTGACTTGCTACTTTTTTAGCACAGGTGGAACTGGAAGTATGCATAGACTGCACGAAGAGCAACTTTTAAAATTTTGAAAGAACACAAAAAATAATGATTATATTATGTAACATACCTAACTGATTCTTAATTCTATTCTTGTCTAGACTTTAAAATCACAATCAAGCATTTTGTGTTAATTAGGTATTTATTTTAAACACTAACACAAAACTCTTTTAATATAATAGCCACTAATAAACACTATAAGTAAAAATACATAAATGTAAATAATAATAGTCATTCATAAATAAATATTAAGTTAACTTCCAACCATTTCAAGGGCGATACTGTATAAAGTCATAATATACGAAAATATTTACAAGTCCACACAAATTATTCATATTATGGGAATATTCCATTTGGAATTTATTTAGCAATTTTTATGTTTGTGCTCGTAATAAAATTATCGTATAAACTAGAGAGAAATTGTCAATATGCCGTTGGATGTTTGCCAACCACATTTTATAACCCTACTTCGGAGTGGATTTTAAGAGGCCAGCGAATTGGCTGTTTTCCTAATCAGTTTTTTGACCCCGTGGGGTCACAGAGTAATGCCCATTTGTATCACGCTAATTTGAAATTGAGCCAGAAAATGTGATAGCAGACATTACTAGTATTTTAGAGAAGCATAGTTTTTACAAGTGGAAATTTTGTCTTTGTAAAGCTAAAACATATTTCAGGGCGTATTGAGAATTTGTTACTTATTGAAACTGAAAACCGAGATTGGTAGGGCGGAAACTTATTATAGGAACTTTTTCATAAAAAAAGTAGACTGTAAGTACCATAAATATGCTTTACAATGAAGAGGCAGAGAGCGAGCGCCGGCCTTCGCTTGGGATAAAGAGGTTAAAGACTTTGAAAACTGTGTATTCGGAGAAGTACCTACAGTGTATATTTTTACATCTATTAGAACTTACCGGTCCAAAAACATCGAAGACCCGCCCCAATGCTTTGGCACCCTTGTCCAGGAAGAGCACGCTGTCTAGATCTACAGCTGGTGTCTCTGGTAGCGCACGCACTATCACTGGAAAGTAGAAAATATAATCTTAGAACGCTGTATATATAAACATGACTATTTAGTGGACGATTTACAGAACACGGAGTGAAGCTAAACTTACGTTATGTTTACGCCGGGCGACTGTAGTTACCGGAGGACCAATCCTTCCCCATCCTCAATCCAAAAATTTCTAATAACCCACAAGACGCCGCAATGCACTTGTAGAAACTCCTTTAGAATTACGAGAATCCATGGGTAGCGCAGATTGCTTACCATCAGGTAATGATTGTTAATATGTTCGTTGGCCGACCTATACGACATAAAAAAAAACATCATCCTTCGTTCTATTTCAGCAATTACGAACTATTTTGCTAATATTAATTTGTTTGTTTATGGTAGGTATTCTCTAGAAATTTTCTATTTCTTATATAATAAAGAGGAGAGATTTGATGGTTGTTTGTCTGTTTAAATTAAATAGACACTGAAACTAGTGGATCGATATGAAAAATTATTTCACTTTTATACTATCTCTGATGAACATAGGCTATAAACTAAGCGAGTAAAACGGCAAATGAAGCAACCTGGTAATCTGGTGTAAGTCAAATAACAATTCTGCATAACCCTTTCAGAGAAAAAGACAATATTTATCTACATGTCAGATTACTAGATCAACAAAGCATCAAGAGGAAACAAAGTTTAATCGACATACACAAAGAAAGGCCATTTATGTATCGATTGCAAAAACGATGCGGAAATCGTCGTCGACCGTGAAAAAAAGCTTGCGCCCGTCAAGGGCAAAGGCGGTAACTTGTACGCGATGCCCGATAAAATCGATGACATTACTCTAAAGCAGGGATAGCGAACCACTGTCTTAATACCACATAACCGACCTATTCCCAAAATATAAGTTTTTGACACAACGTAGGTATTTAAAAAATCAATCCCAACTCGGAGATTTTAATGTTATACTAGCAGACCCGGCGAACTCCGTTTCGCCACCAGATTCGTTTTATGTAACATTTCGTTTGGTGATTAAAAGATAAAGAAAAAAATTTTTTTATTATATATTTGAAAAGGAAAATATTTATTTCATTTCACAACAGTAATAAATACATTTCGATTACCTACTAAAATGAAGTGTTATTTAGTTGAACTTCCCTAAGTAAATGAAAGTTACTCTTTGATATCGCTACAAATCCAAAGTAAATACTGAATCGAAGCGTTATACGTGTCCGCAAATTTTTTACGTTATTCCATAAAGGTGATGCCTTCAGGCAAGCATTCAATTCATCTGCAGGCGTTCCACGGGGAACTACTGGCAACGTCTGCCTGAAATCGCCTGCCAACAATATCATCAAGCCGCCAAAGATGTTGTTATTTCGCCGAAGATCCTTCAGTGTGAAGTTAAGTGTTTCAAGTGATTTCTTATGTGCCATTGTGCACTCATCCCAAACAATGAGCTTGCATTGCATTAACAATTTTCCCATTGCACTGGATCGGGAAATATTGCATGTTGGAGTATCAATTGTGTTTAAATTGAGTGGCAACTTAAAAGCAGAATGTGCAGTGCGACCGCCATCTAGAAGAGTCGCCGCAATTCCAGATGATGCTAAAGCCAAAGCTATGTCACATCTTGATCGAATAGTGGCCAAAATCAATGAAATGACAAATGTTTTCCCTGTTCCTCCAGGTGCATCCAGGAAGAATAGACCACCAGTATTATTGTCCACCGCTTGCATTAATGTTTCGTATACTTGTTTTTGCTGTTCATTCAGCAACGGAACATTATTTCTAACGAATTCCTGCAATGTATCAACATTGTATTGTAGCTCTCGATTTAATTCTTGATTGAATGCATCGTGCATCGATCGATTTGGCGCAATCATTCCTACTTCAATCAGTAGCTTGTTTGCAATAGTCAAGCATTGATCCTCAATCAGAATCAATCCTTCATTGTAGATTTCATCGGTTATTTGGATGTCAGGATTATTCGTTTGAATGCGCAAGCGATGCAAGATGTCTTCACATATGGCGTCTTTGTATTTGTTCCATAACTGAATTGGTTGTGAAGGAAAACATGTGGTGATGATAATTGCGAACAGCGTTCGTATTTGGTACGCATTTGATGAAACAACTGAATCTGCAAGTGTTAAATCCCAATGAGAATCGTTCTCCAGCAAACCCAATAGTTGACATGCTTCTCGATATGTTTGGCATTGGTGGCCATTCACAGTTTTCAAATGCGCAAATGATTTTGGTCCACGTACATTTACTAACAGCAGTCGCAAATAAAAACACTCATCGTTTCTAGGATGAACAGTGTACATACGACCTAGTGCATCACTTGAAAACACCTGTGGCCAGTCTGGAACTGGGGTTCCTTGTTTGCGACGTTGGAATTTCTTTGTTGATTGATTCCAAGTGTAATACTTGGGCATTTCAACGTACATCAGCGTCGCTGCGAATGGATCTGCTTCACACATTGCAAAGAAGCTAGTTAATGTTGTCGATGGTGGTCTCTCAGCTCGTTGTGCCGCATTAGCCTCAGTGAAGTAAACTCTTTGGCCATTTTCCAAATGCACTGCTAAATGTACAACTGTGGGATATCTTTCATGAATTTGAAATGACAATAATCGCCACAGTGCTTCATTAGTACTGACGTATCTGCCCATTTGAAAGTTGCTGATTTCATCATTCGCATTTTCCGACGCAATACCAAACACAGCCATGTCGCTGCCTTTTGTGACGTACTTGCACAAATATTTGATTGATTTGGCCGAATGACAACTCTCAACGTTTGCATGTGTTTCGAAAATTCGTGATAGCAGCGGGCAATATGGTACAATGAATTCATTTCCGATCTCAATCTCTTGATTTTGAACTTTAAATTTGATAGTTCGACCGTTATCTTCTTTTGAACGCCGACGATAAACTGGATATCCATCGTTCCCTGTGACTGTTTCAGCAACTAACGGTCGCGGATATCGTTTTGTGCACTTTCCATCAGCCATGCAAGGCGATAATGGATTTAATGCACCGCACAGTCCATGCACCATCTGCGTCGTCACAATGTCGTGTAGACGGGGATCAGTGACTGGATCAGGAATTTCAGCTGATATGATGTCATCCACTTCATTTGAATGTAATTTGTTCAGCAACCAAATTAGGATATGAGCATGTGGTAGTCCACGCTTCTGCCATTCCACCGAGTACATATAACAACGTGTGTCACCAAAAACTCGATACTTAGTAAGCACATCCATCATAACCTTGAGTTTTTGCTGAAATACTCTGGCGATTATGTCATGGCGATCTTGCACTTTTTGACCCGGTTCCAACTCGCGTTCAATTTCCGTCCACTTCGGATTGCATGTGACCGTAATAAATAAATCCGGAGTTCCATAATTTCGCACGTACGTCATAGCGTCTTGAGCATATTCGTGCATGTGGCGTGGGCTTCCGATATAAGTTGATGGGACAATCGTCAGTCGTCCAATATTCTGAACATCACCATCTGAATGAATAGCATCACGCAAGTGTATATAGTCCTCAGATCGTAGCTTTGCCTGATTGAATCGGATGAACGCTAAACGTTCGGTCTCGACTTTGACATACATGTCGACAGCGAATTGCTGGAATAGCCGACGGCACTTCAAAATGACATTTTCCTCATGTGTACGAATCATCATACGATACGCATAGTAATTCATTGCGCTTAGATTTTTATTCGTTGATACTCCTGAAAATGCAAAATTAAATGAATTGTTAATGGAAACCAATAATAGTAATAATGGAAATAATTAGTGTGTAAATATTGTACCTGTAATTGGATCGACCATCTTCAACGTGATGTCGTATCCGTCTTGCCCTTGCCAATAAATGATTGGATATTGTAACGCATCGTACAAACGATGTGTGCATGATATTGCTTCTTCGCTGAACGACAATGTCTCGTGATTTAGTTGGATCGCCAACAATAATTGCAGCAACATCATTAACGGTGGGTGCATTGAATCTTCGCACATGTTCACCTGTTGGGGTACAATCCGCTCTTATGACAAATTTGTGCGTATCCGATGGCATTCGTTCCAATGCTGTTTTGAACATATTAAAATGCTTGAAACTGTTCAATAATTCGTCTCTTTAACTGTTGTGCTCCCTGTATATTGCACCGCACATTCAACTGATCCACCATTGACGAAATGAAATATATTTGCAGAAATTGATGCGGTTCATCTGGTGTTGGCACCATTGAACCATGCAAATGATATATTTGTCCTTGTATCTGTAATTGCAAATAATCATTAAAATTTGTTGAAGAATACGTTGTAAATCGTTTGATGGTGTAGTGTGTGGTGTATATGCAGTTGTTATGTGTTGCAATTATTGTGTTGGTGTGAATGATTGGTTATGTGTGTTGTATCTTTTACCTTGCAAGTCGGCATGAAGCCGCCTTCTCGAATGATATTAGATGAATGATAGTATATAATCTCCAAAGGAAGTCATGCGAAAGCAGTTATTGTATTCAAGGATGTGTTGAAGAAAATGGCTGGAATCGGGATCACTTCCATCGAACAATGTTTTCAGTGGCTGTGGTGGTGTAAGTAATGGATCCAGTTTGACTTTTCCACTTGCGCAGCACAATCCAGCCGTTTCTCTTTTGAACTTTAACGCATTGCAATATCGGCATATAGTCGTCATTCGTCCAATATCTAAATTTTCATCATCACTGTAGTTTGCAGTGGGATCATATTGGAATGCCAAGCGATTGTATGATGCCAATGATCTTCGTGTGCTCACGCGATGTCTCAATCGGTCATTTTCTCTTATTATATTTTGTCTTTCTTCGCTTAAGTTCCTTGAATACACTTGTTGCTGGCTTGCATGTCTTGTGCGGCGGCCGATGCTCGCACGTCGTTGTCTAGGCATTTTGGACAATGGACAGAGTGTTGAATTTAACCTCAAATGCACGATCCACATAATTTACACTGAGCTTGAATGAAATTAACTGAGCAGAGACAATGAGTAGCTGTCAAACACTCGGCGCCATCTACTTGAAGTGTTGGATATTGGTTTGTAGTACATGCTATGTATCAGAGATGGCGCTGTATGTGAAAAACGATTTACCCACTTTTCTGTTGAATTATTCCTGATTATTCCTGAATTTTCTTTACTATAAACCTCACGGAGCCCGAGACCTTTCCAACGAATGCAAAACCGTGGAAATCGGTTCGTGCGTTCTGGAGTTATAGCGTCAGGGAGGAAAACCGGACTTATTTTTATATAGTAGATTAGAGTGGTTAGCTAGATAGAGTGGTGCCAGTAGGTTCGCGTTTAGTATATTAGTAGGCCCTTTAGGAATTCAATTATTATGGCCGTCAGTCTTAGTCAGATAGATCTTTATGCAAAAATAAACAATAATTTTCATTTCAGTCTCGCCATTTTTACAAAATTTCGGCCGGCAATACAATTGTCACAATACTCACAATATAGGTATATTGTTGATGTAGATGTAGATGTTGACTTAGGCTATGGTTAAGCCTACTGGGTCACTTATAATCCAAAAACTCAAAATTACTTTTCGGCACATTTATGACCTCAATGTTTTTATAAAAATGGCACGTTGATTATACCTACTAGATACGCAAAGGCGGCAAAGGTTCACCATCTCTGCTCTAAACAGTAAGGAGTTTATAATACCGTAACAAGGCCAGGGACGAATTTGAAACTGTGTCTAATCATTTAGATGAGTTTTATTGGATTCGTATAGATCTGTAAGGCTTATGTCACTTCTTTAATCATGAGGTTCGATGAGAAATCGGTTGAAACACTAAGGGCTGATTTTTATATAGTCAGATAAATGTTAACTGAGGAATAAAATTGTTGCTGTCACTGTCTTATACAAACATTCTGACGCGACAGCATCATAATTATTTCGCAGATAACTTTTATCTAACCATTGAAAAATCAACCCCAAAAAGATATCTCCTTCTCACATATGTTTTGTGTTTGATCAATGTCACTTCTAAAAATATGACACAACATGATTATTGCTTATTTGGACGGCAAATTGTGCAATATTGTAGTCTCGTTGATTCGACATTAGTATTAATTAAAACAAAATTAGCCTTGATAGAATATTAAATTATGTAACGAAAACATCACGCACGAGAAACACGCACGAATATACCTGTTTACCGGCCAAAGGGCTATGCAAATAACAGATTCATATTTGATGATTCAGTGATACCAAGAGTATATGGGCAAGGGCCAAGGCAACGCCGAACTTCTTGATGCTACTTAAAATTGCAGCGCTACTATTTCCGATTCGCGAAAAGTAAAATTGGAGTTATCGATTCGGAAGACAGTAGGGCAGTCTGCTGAATGGCAATTCTCAACATTGAGATAAATATAACGTAACTTCATGCTTGTGAATCGTGTAATTCATAATTTGGTGTTCCACAAGTATTCGCTAGTTTTACGAGTCCCTTGTGATTTTGTGATAAGGGGTCAATTTAATATTTAAAAAAGCACATTTTGCAAATCGATAGTAGCCTGGATCTTACGTTTCTCAAACATTTAAAGACAAACATATTGATATGGGTAAATACAAGATCTCAATCGTTTTTTTATGTGATATGTCATGTGTGTAGTTTGTTAAATTTTTCTAAATTGTGACTTACCTAATCTATCAACTATGCTGACAATGGTTCCGATCTTAGTGGTATCTTGGGCTGGCAGACTGATGGCAAGATCTTCTATAGGGGGCAAGTCATCCAGGCCCATTTCACCATTCACCTTTGGAGGCTCTGGCTTTCCTGTTCTGGGGTTGTTTTCTGCTTCATCACTGAAATAAAATTATTATATGAAAAATTAAAAGTCTGTGTAATTTTGACAAACAACAGCAGGTTTTGTTCGATCACAATAATGTTCTTATTCCAATTAAAAGTGGGTAAAAAAACCTTTCTTAGCGAAAAGTAATTCCCTAATTTATGCGTACGGCAAACAAGGATAGTTTACCACCCGAACAGCACCAGGTTCGATCGTGTGGTGTGCGCCTAAAAGAGCCATCAGACTACAACAGATGGATACCATAAAGGCTCATATCTAGCTCAGGTTACAGGTGCTACGCAACAATCTACTGCAGCCTTGTTGCCGTAGGAAAGTCAATAGATGACTTCTCCTCTTAAAAGAAATTAATCTATGTCTATATTTAGCATCTGATAATGTAATTTAGGCTGTATACCTGTGTGGTAAGTAAATATTGATCTTAAGCTGAATCTGTTACATAACCTTTCTTTCCTTTTTAATTTCTTGGTACATAAATATCAGATTACATAAAAAAATACTGATAACACATAAATCAAAGGTCTCTTTATCCCTTTAAGGAACCTTTCATTTATGGTGGCCTCTATTTACAATGCAGCATGTTATGTTAAGCAGTTAACACTAAAAGCTTATCAAAAATATAATTTGTAAAATAAAGGCATTCAATTGTAATATTTATTACATATAATTTCATTTGTAGGGGAAACCCTACATTGCTTACATAACAACATTGTAATTGAAGTTTATGTTTTAAGCAGATTTGACAGAAAGTATCTCATTTTGTTTGAAATATGTTAATAGGATTTTATGGGAAAGAAATTATACCTAAGTCCTCATAATTATATTATAATTGCAAAATTTGTTTGTTTTTCTTCAATGTTGCAACTTCATTAACATCATCCATCGAAGAGAGGAGAGGGAATTAGCATTGAACTTGCTCAAGCTGGATTGGAAGTCCAGGTTTCATTTTAATGTTTTCCTTTACAATATGTCAGTGGTGTCTAAATATTGTTAAAAAGTACATATTATAAGTACATTTTCAAAAAAAAGGCACCAGAAAACAGGCATCTAATTGTCTAATCTGTTAAGGTATAATTTGTGCCTAGATTTAGTTCCAGAGATGGGATGTAGAGTTATATGATATTATTCTACATTACTCTTGAGACCAAGCCATCAAAGCCACAAACGGAAAGTACAATAAATTGCAAATTCTTATCACCTATAATTTGCGTCAAAGTCAATGAATTAACATTGCAGATTAAAAACTTATCAATTTAAATGGTAAACAGGTACTTAAATATTATTATTATTTACATTTAAAAATATATTTATTAATTACTTTGTTTTTCAAGTAAATGGAAGTAGAGAGGATAACAAAAGAGATTTAAAGCTATAATACTCATCTGCGGCAAAGTATAAACAGTGTTATTTTTAATAATGCTGTATGTATAGTTAGTTATTATTTATAAACATACATAAAAAATACGAGTCTAATTGAGAACCTCCTCCATTTTTGAAGTCTGTTAAAAAGAAGTTGATTTTATATTATTTTGCTTGTGCTACCACTTTATCAATAAAGGTTGTTTGGGAGCTTATTGAATTACTTAGTTTGTAATAAGGTGGAAAGTAACAAGTACCAAAAAAGAAAATATAAATTAGAATAGGTACACATTGTAGTTTAGAAGTCTACAAAACTTGCAAAAAGAAAAAAGTCAAATCTTTATAAGTATAAATTTATCTTACAACAAAACATTGCAGACTTTCATACAATATTACAATTAACACATGGAGAATCCAAATCATAACTTTTCCTTGTAGGTAATTATTTATTTTACCAACTACCCGTACTTTTGCATAAAAAATTTACATGCATTAAATATTGAACACTTGTTCAAATAAAAAATGTTTAATCTGGATTCTTACACACTGAAGGCTTAAAACAGGTACATGTAACTACTTACCCACTGGAAACCTCTTCAATGTCCTTCACAGAGTCGACATCACTATCGCTGGAGTCGCTCGAGGACTCGTTATCGGAGTCAGTGTCCACATCACGGTACTCCGTCACCTCATACTCCACCACACCACTCTCAACACTGTCGATTATCATGTGTCTACTTACATCCGCATCGTCTCGAGCACTCTGCCTCGACAATGGCCCGTGAGCATAAGCGTTAATTATGTTATTTTTTAACACCATCTCAGTGAGATATGTGGCATCAGAATCTGTATTATTATCATTCGAACGGGTCTCTGTATCGTCCGAATCAGAATCTGAAGCCCCGTACTCTGCTATCAAACTTAGAGACACGTTTTTGTTATTGCTGAGATCAAGGTTCTCCATTGTTGAGATAGTTGAGACCGCACACACATGTACCACAACCAAATGGTTTCGTAACTACAACTAATATGTATTTAGAACCCGCAAGTATATTACTTAAAGTTTTTGGTACACGTGAACTTAAATGAAATTATTTTGAGACATGAAAACAAAAGTCGTGAAACGATTATCGCAGCAAAATGACAAATGACAATTTTCGTGTGCACAGATAACCCAAAGGTCTGAGAAAGTTGATTTTGCAGTAACTTTGAATATGAGTTTTTTAAGCCAGTCAGAGGAAGGCGCATTTGAAATTGTAATAAGCGTTTAAGAACGCTTAAAGTATGTAATACTAATTTCTATAAGTACTTATGTTTGAAAATCTCTGAACAGTTTTGAGTGATTGCACCAATTTGTAAAAAAAAGTCAAAAGAAATGATTTCGTTTATAAAAAAAAACAATTACTTATTATTGTTTATAGGATTGCTTAATGTAGTGGGTGCAAGCGCAATGGTGATCCGTTTGTTAGCTTGCGATTTACTCATCAAAAAAAGACTGGATTAATTAGTGTCTTAAAAAACCATAATGCCTGTAAAACATTACAATATGAAAGTATTTTTCATGATTGGCGACTGTGCCGCCGAGTCAGACGCGATAAAGCGCAAACGTGTAAAATACAATATAATGCTTGATGTGTTTCATCAAGAAATCTTAAATAGCCTGGGGTTCACGTGTATAGTATGGCCCTAGTCACATCAAGACAGACAGAGAGAAAAGCTAAGTCATGTAGGAATTATCTAGGTAAATCCAAGGTTAGCAATGTGGGCAAAACAGTTTTGCCAGAGATTCCCAGAGTAAAGTCATTTTGTGCCTAATAAAATAATTAAAACACGTTTTTGTAGATATAAGAAACATTTATTTTAAGAGTCGCCAATATCCTTTCCAGACTTGCTCCTTTTCTTTCTGGTTGGATGAGGTAATTTGTAGTGTACGGTTCGCACATGAAGGTTCACGCTTGACGAATATTTAAACTTTTTGTTGCAAATCGTACATTCGTATGGAGCGACGTCCGTATGAACCTGTGAATTATGCAAATATTAATAATGATTAAGATTATTACTTGCAGAAACTGACATCTCTATATAAGTAGTTTTTATAGATAACACATAACGGAATTATTTAAAATAACTGAATTGGGTAGTTTCTTAGGTCACAAATAAATTAATTCGACGTTTTAATATAGTAAAATATTGAAAAATAACTATACTACATACATACATACCATCAATCGATCGATACACTAAGTTTTAGATATTTTGTAGCTAATTATTAAGCCTTTGACTGCCGACAGAAAACTGTTGAAGGCAAATCCTCCGCTAACGGAGGTCACCGGTGACCCCCATGGCGCTTAACGTGTTAAGAAATAAGTAAGCAAGCTATTTGACGCAAAAATACTATGTATTAAATAAAAAATATTATATATTAAATAAAAAATATTATGTATTAAATAAAAAATATTATGTATTAATAACTCAGTATTTCATGCAAATTTAATAGACAAGTATCGTTTTTGACATTTGGAAAAAAGTATTGAATTTGACTAGTTGGAAACTACCGTATTGTTTACGAATCGACACCTTTGCATTTGTTATCTCTATACTTAAAACATATCCCCTATAATGTAAAGGCATGTTAGTATGGATTTGCCCAACCATGAGTGTTAAGACCCAAATACTGATATGTGGCGTTGCGTTTAGTGTTGCCACAGAACACGCCACGCCATTATAGACACGATACGCCTATCAGATAACTTTTAACATAAACGTAATTTGTATGAACTATGTTCTACATAAGCTTATGGGTAACTTATACCTATAAAGGTTGTAAATAAATGCACGCTACAAATGGCTAATAACTTACCCTGGCATGTCTTTCCAAGTTACTAAGCAGTTTGAATGCCCTCCCACAAGTGCGGCACTGGTGTGGTTTGTCTTCACTATGCGTCTGCGCATGTCTGTTGAGGGCGTATTTGTCGTAGAACAGTCGTGGGCAATGCGCACACCGTACCTTGGGAGTGCTGTGACGTAACTGGTGGATCCGTAACTTCGTGGAATTCTGACAACAACAGAAAAAAGGTGGCTTTTGTAGAAAAGGTACCATGTCAAATAATTTCATTTCAAGTCAATGTTAAAGTAAAAAAATATTTCAACTGAATAATAATAATAATAATAATCCGTCAGTCTTTCCGTAGGTGTAATGAGTGATATCTTACTACCTAGGTGTCAGTAATTTATTTTTAATTTATAAAATTGACGTTACGACAAGGAGGCGATCTCCTTTCCTCTTGCATTTGTCTATATGATTCCTATTTGAAAGCAGCATTTAACATTCTCTTTTCGAGTAATAATGAATAACCAAGAGCGCATAATTAAAGAAATTCCGGCTGAAAGACTAAAATTAATAATCAACCTGAATCCGTCTACTTTTAAACAAAGGGTTCCCCTAAAAGGGCGAGTCAGCTGCAATCCCCGAAATAGTTAAATTAATTTAGGTGAGTTGAAAAATTTACAGTATTTCTCGTAGAAAATCGGTCATGCTAAAAACACAAAAACGAGGAAGAGTTTAACAAAAATACCTGGAATCCTTTCCCGCAGGTATCACAGATGACAGTTATAATTGGTTGGTACGAGTCCACGTGCATAGGATGTCGTCTGCGTACATGGAACCAGTGCTTCTTGCGACATGATATCCTTTCACCGCACTGAGAAAAACATGCTTTATTTTATATCCGATCTAACAACACACTATAGCAGGTCAAACTATAGTATTTATAAAACAAAAAACATTGGATTTCGGCTTTATATCATCAACACAAGTATATAAGCACAATGCACGGTTGGTGCGGTGGCTGGACAACTGGCTGCCGACGTGTCGCGGGTTTGATTCCCGCACGGAACAACTCTTTGTGTGATCCCGAAATTGTTGTTTCGGGTCTGGGTGTCATGTGTATGTGAAATTGTATGATTGTAACCGCACCCACGACACAGGAGAACATCCTAGTGTGGGGTAACGTTTAAAAAAAAAGTGCCCACTGCTGAGCAAAGCCCTCTTCTCACACGGAGAAGGTTTGAGCTTTAATGGCCACGTTTGCTCAAGGTGGATTGGCGATTTCAAACTTATAATTTTAAGTTACTTAAATTTTTTTTTGACTTTTTATGTTTTTCTTCACCGCATATCGGTTAATTGTTATATGTACTTTTTTTGATTATTTAGACACTACTAACAATTTTCTTTTTTTATGAGATAGTTTGGCAAATTCTTCTGCTCAATTGCGCCGATTGCTTACCATCAGGTAATCCTGTCCTGATGGTGTCAAGTATTTGGTACCGCCCATGGCGCCCAAAAGGCTTTTGGGGATTAGAGTTTCGAATATTTAAGGCTTGGGGAAGGATGGGGGAGGAGATAAGGATTGGGCCTCGAGTAACCTCACTCACATAAACACAACGCTGTGGTTGTTTCACGCCGGTTTTCTCTGAGACCGTGGTATCACTGCGGTCGAGCCGACAGATTCGTGACGAAGCTTGGCTCTCCCACACTTATTGTTGAAATTGGGATGGTCATAATTTAATTTATTATTGAATTTTGGAACAGCCTTTAGGTCTTATCTGTTATCACAACAACCTTTACTTACCAACTCACAATCTAATGGATATGGAGTGTCTCCCTTCCAGGGTTGATCAGATCGTCGCGACCGAGGGTGCGACGATCTCATATGTACCAAGAGATCCTTGAAAGAATTACATTCCACACCGCACTTATTGCAACAATTCCGCAGAATGGGATCGGTTGTTGAATCGCTGGAATCAAATTTGATTTATTAAATTGAGATTAGAACTAATCTGTGCAGTCTTATCTTATTTAAATATACAATAAATGTTGTTGAAGGATTATTGTTATCCATGTGACTTTTTACTGCGCGACTTATGAGTATGGGTTCCGTTCGTAGCTCGAAACTAGTCAGTTTACCACGTCTAGTGACTATAACACAAAATAGTGTAAATATCAGTGTACCTATATCTATACTAGTATTATATAGAGAAAAGATTTGATTGTTTGTTTGTTGGAATGAAAATAGGCTTTAAAACTACTTGACCAATTTAAAAATTCTTTTAAAAATGTAGGGGATTGCCAAAGCGAATAATTAAAACGCACGGCCGACTTGATTCCTTGGTACGAATCGAATAATTAGGTAAATTAATTAAAAGGCGTAAAAATGCTGCATTCATTAGTCATTTAGAGTACGATTGTAGTTAGTTACGTTTAAGGGACTCACCATAAACTAGATTTGTTCTTGTGTTGGCTAGAGGTGAGTAGATGCACTCGCCTAGCGCCCTCTGACGCGAAGTTGATGTTACACTCTTCACAGCGATACTCCTTGCTAATATCCTTGTCCTAAAACATTATAAGTTAAATGATAGTTTATGGAGTTTCTTGCTCGTTCCTCTATATTCGAATTTAGACTTTGGAACGAGCACCTAGCTTCACTAACGAACCGACTGACAGACTATTATTCTATTTTGTCTTTATGATATTTATTTATTTGAGTAAAATAATTATGTATTTTACTATTTTTCGCTTAGCGTACTACTGTTTTTCGACCCCAATTTCAGACTAGCGTGATGATAAATAGGTCTGTATGTACTTACAGTTATTGAATAAAAAATTTAGTTAATTAAACTACGTAAATAAATTTAATTATTTAACTGACAAAAGCTAGATACAAAGGGAACTCTTATTCATGAGTTACACCCGGTTTCCGAAAGGCCGATCAATGTAAAACTTAATTTAATCTCTTGTCAAGACATCTGATTGGTTGACTGAATTATTAATAACCAATCAGATGACTTGACAAGAGATTTGAGACCTAGTTAGTTGATTTTAACATTGATCGGGCTTTCAGAAACCGGACATTAGTGTCACGGCGACGTCGCATTGGAGATTATGAGCTTTTCTCAATAAATTCACGTAAGTAATTATTTTCAATGAATTCAGTACCTTTGTATCACGAGGATTATTTTGAACATAAAATTTAACAAAGTAAATGTAAACATAAGGCTAGGAAAGAATAATTACGTCAGCCTGCGCATGCGCAGCGTGTTTATGCGCGCTGAGTCCCCTGGCGGTGGAGTAGTGCCGGCCGCAGTGCACACAGCCGTGCGCGGGCCCGTGCACGCGCCGTCTGTGTGCACACAGCGCTGACTCGTGCACCGACACAAACGCACAGCGGGGACATCTGTACTCGTAGCCCGAGTGCCAACGACTGTGCTTCTTGGCCACGTTGCTATCAATAAAAAATATTATTATTCGGTATGTTCTCTGAATATTATTTAATTTTATCTGAATAATATAGATATTACGAAAGGAATATACTGTACGTGTATATTTTTGTAAAATAAAATGATGTCCTTGTAAGTAAATATAGAAGAAATAGGTTTTCATTCCAATAATTTCCATTGTTGTCTTTCTATACTATTGCGGATTAAAATAATGTATTCGTAAAATATGCGGGTGATCCATGCTTCAGCACGAATGGGCCGGCCCGACAGGGGTGATACCGGGGTCTCACAGAAAACCAAGGTGAAACAACCATAGCGTTCTGTTCCGTGTGATTGAGGTTACCGGAGGCCTAAACCTTTCCCTTCCCAATCCCTAAATTCCCAAAATGCTAGCAATGTACTTTTAACGCCTCTAGTGTTCCGGATGTCAAAGGGCGGCGCCGGTTACTTACTATCGGGTGATATGCCTGTCCGTTAGCAGCGGTATCTCAAAAATACTCCAATATGACCTAAAAGATCGGCCAAATGCATGACCGAAATATTCCTCCAAAATCACGTTCATGTTCAACTGTCTAACCTAGTGACAGACGGACAAAAAGATGGACGGACACCGAATTCTAAGCAAAAGGATTCCATTATGGAACATTTAAAAGAAAAAACTCTGGACTTGTATAAATAGTATGCAAATACTTACACGTTATTAAAAGACTTGGGGCACGTTTTGCAGAAGAATTTCTTACTGTGCGCTCGTTTCCTATGTGCAGCCGACAACGTTGCGCTCTTAAAGCGAAGTTTGCACACCGGACATTCATATTGGCCCAAACCCTAAAATATTTCATTAAAAAGTTACAATACTTAAATAGTAGAGCATACGAATGTCTCACTTCAGGCAGTTTCCAAGTGGGGCAAAGCTAATCTGGTAGCATTCAACGCCACCAAAACACAGTCGTGTCTATTCACCGCCAAAAGGAGCCCGTTCACCTTGCTCCTGCTTTTCGGGATATGTACTCTTGGAGTGCACCGACCGCCTTCAGCTCTTGGGAATGGACATTGTTTCAGACCTCAACTCTGGGCGGTTCATTGAGTCCAAGGCCGAGGCAGCTGCTAGAAAACTCGGCGTTCTTGCAAAAGTCCGACGGTACTTCACACTGAGTCAGCTTCTAATGTTGTACAAAGCACAGGTCCGATCGTGTGTGGAGTCTGCAGCCACATATGGGCTGGTGCTGCGAAATGCCACCTAGCGGCTTCGGATTCAGTGGAAAGGCGTGCAAAGAGGCTGATTGGTGATCCAGATTTGGTTGGGTCTAATCTTCAAAGTCTCGAGCACAGGCGCAGAGTAGCCAGCCTTGCGGTTTTCTACAGGATACATTTTGGAGAGTGTGCATTCGTGCGTTTCATGTTTACGTCATATACCTAATAACGCCGATATTAGACCCGCGCTCACGGTGGCCGGAGATCAACTCTCGTTGCGACCGCGACCTGTGCAACCAGGTCGAAACGTCAAGCCTACCAAGGTATTTAAATAATTATTATTCGCGTTAATACGCGCGTGATTATAAGTTGTAAAGGATTTTAAAGTTATAAAACCTAAATGCACACATCCTAGTCAAGGGGGTAAAGGTAAAGGGTAAAGTATAGCACTCACCGGATCATGATAATTAATGTGAAGTTGGTAGGAGTTGGAGTTGGCAAATGTTTTCTTACATATTTTACATTGGTACACCGTTTCGCTGGTCAGGGTGCGACGGATAGCACTCTTCTGCCATTCTTCTATCTGTTCTTGTAACTGAAAAAAATATGTATTGATACTATAACAATTAAGTTACACTTAAATTCACTTAGACACAAACAAATTTTAATTTGAGTTTTTTTTAGATTTGTTCATTTAGGGGCCCGGTTGTTAAAGGGATCCGGTTGTTAAAGGGGCAAAGCTGTTAATGGGCTCGTTGTTTTAAGGGCGCCCGGAAGTGAAAGAGGCCAGTTGTTAAGGGGGTCTAGCTTTTAATGGGGCCTGATCGTTAAAGGGTCTCTGGGTATAGGGACCTGCTGTGAAGGCGTCCGGTTGTTGCGCCAGCTGTTTAGGGGCCACTTGTTAATAGAGGTCGATTATTAAAGTGATTTCTTGTTAAATAAGTTTTCTAAAGAGGTCCAGTTTTAAGGGAATCCGGTTGTTAAAGGGGTTATGTAGATCAAGGGTTAGGCTGTTGTTAATGGGACCTGGTAGTTACAAGCCTTATATTTGTGAAGACTCCTTGATTGCGTAATCTCAGTTAATTAGAACTTATAAGTACCGTATAAACAAATATAAGTTACCGATAATTGTACAATATCAAAATATTTCAGCATACTACTCTCATCTGGTGTAAGTCCTTTGCTTTTTTTTGGCGTCGTCACTTCTTTCTTTGTATATTTCTTAGATTTAATCTTTTTCTGAAAAAACATTAACAACCTTAATTACATACTTACTTACCTACTTAAAAATTACTTAAGTTAAGTATCTTAATACATCAATACTTATATTACAAAACTGTAGTTTGTTTGTTTGTTTGAACGCGGTAACCTCCGGAAATTCTGGTTTGAAATAGAAAAACTCTTTTCCTGTAGGGTAGTCTAGTTATCGAGGAAGGCTATAGGCTAAAACATCACGCTACGATCTGTAGGAGCAGCGGGTGAAACCGTGCGATAGTAGCAGGCAACTACTTTTCACAAAGGCTGAGAATGATTGTGAAAAAAAAACCTAATACAGATAACAACAGGTTAAAGTTTCCTGTCAGAATAAAAACATCGACTTACATCCTCACCCATATTTGCTTTCGAACTTCCGATTGATTGAACCAAACTTGTTCCATCATCTTCTAAATCAAAATTTTCACAAAATTCCTCTCCATCCGTTTCAACTTTACAATTTGCACCTAGGATGGTATAACTTCTTGAATCAATGTGATTAGTATTTTCATCCTTAAAATAAATATCACAGTAGTCCGGAGTGAATGGTGATGAATTGATCTCATCACACTTTACCAAATAATTGTTCAATTCTTCCGTACTAGCGGATGCAGATATTGAATCTGTTGTTTTATTTTTTTCTTCTATAAGACTTTTTGTGATCTGAAATTACATAGTAGGTATACAAGAAAGTAAGTTTTTCTTCTCTGTCTCTGTTCTCTGTCCTTATGTATGCTTAAATCTTTAAAACTATGAAACATATTTTGATGCAGTTTTTTATAATGACAGAGTGATTGAACAGGCACATTTATATGCATAATAACTAATAATACTAGCATTTAATTATTGTTGCAAGAATACCTGTCCGTTCTTAACGAATATATCCAGTAGCACAGTTTGAGAAAACATACATTTCTCTATAAGTTTATGGCAATTCATCAAGATTGGTGCACATTGGTAGCAGATGTATTGTGGTAGACCATCCAAACAAATTCCATTTTTCTAGAAATAATAAAACAAATGATTAAAGAATAGGTAAACAATTGACCGATATCTTTTTATGATTCATAACTATCATGAGACATTAATTGAAAATAATGACTTGGGTACTTATTTGAATTAGCTGAGAAAAGCTCCACTAGTTTTAGGTCACACACACATGAGTAGCGTGCGTGTCGCGGCGACAGTAGTCAGTCAATATCGGCTGCGCGCTGAAACTAGTTTCTGTCTGAGTTTCTATAGATAATTCACATAAGTCGTTATTTTGGATAAGTCCAGTTGTATATTATGTAAAGAAATATATGCACAAATTATAATAATAATACACAATCATACCAAAACAATTGATAACTGTAATGATCTATAGAATACATACATGAACTCCAGCTATAGTCTCCATACAGGTTCCAAGTGGTGACCCTTTTAGGCTGTACATTTTGATGTCTGTGGCCAAACAAATCCTACAAGCTTCCACATTAGACGCCTCAAAATTGGAGTTGGGCTGCAAAAAAATATAGCTATTCCAATGCCTTAACAAATAGGGTACTTTCCAAATATATTTTTAAATGTCAATAAAGAAGTTGTGTTGTCATACTTTTTTATTCCATATACCTAGCACTTGAAACAACTGTTCTATCGAATAAAATATGGATGTTAGGTATAATTGTACCTAATGGTTAAACCTACCTGTTTTCTTTATATATCATTTTAAGTAAAATTAAGTTTTGTAGTCCCTTTGATAAAGGTTTTTATAATCTAAGTAATATAATTTTAAAAACAAAGCAAAATAATATATTTAACTCACGGGTAATAAATTAACAGGAACAGCATCATCTTTGATCCTTATTCTGCAGCCATCGTAGTTAATTTGATCATAATTAAAATGTGCACTGCAAATGCGCGCATGATTAGCAGGCCTCCAATTTGGCCGTCCTATGGCTTTCAACCATTTCGTTTTTTGCTCTTGGTTTGAAGGAAATCTATTTACCAATTTAAATAAGTTTTAATCCGGTACAAATTAATTAATAACAATTCATTTAAATTTTACAAAACTTACGCATGAAATGATATCAATGAATTTGGATCTTTCTTCTTATTATTGCTGTTGTTGCCGCAACCTTGGACACAACAGTAACATACCATCGTTTAATTGAAATACCACTTCAATTTTAATAAAAATTTAGTACATATTTACACAATAACAATAAATAAAACCGTATGATTTTGACAATGTCGGCATTTGGCAGTTGAGTTTGACAAAACACAAAACATTGAATTTCTGAACTTGCAAATAAAATTATTCTTTGATCCACCAACATAATTAATCGTTTCACTTCAACGTATAATTATCGTACCTCCTGAGTAAGAGTCCTGAATGTGACTTGAAACTAGTAGAACTTTAACTCGAGTAATTTGCAATCCAAATGCAAACTAATATTATAAAAAATGCGAAAGTAATACTCTGTCTGTCAGTCTGTCTGTCTTTTCTTCATGCTTAAACTACTGAACCGATTCATGTGAAATTTGGTACAGACATAGTTTGGCACTCAAGAAAGGACAAAAGATAGTTTTTATACCAAAAATCTGCAGGAAGTCACTTTTCCACGCAAACGGAGTCGCGAGCAAAAGCTAGTGAATAAATAAATGGAAAGGCAACAATAATATAACTGTAGTCAAATTTTATTTTGTTTTTTATTAAAGTTGGAAGTCTTTTTTTATAGTTATAATTTTATTCATTACACGACACGTATTCTTATTTTTACGTCATACTTCAGAACATTCCGACATGATTTAAGAGTTACGCTTGAGCTTGCGTTTAGTCGGACAAGTCGGAAATCTTGTCTATAGACTGATACATTACAGAGATAATTACCATTATTTGGTTTTTAAGCAAACTTATTATGAAGACGTTCCTTCATTATTTAAAATGAGATTCCAGTATTTACATTAGGTACCGACTTACAATAAATTATTATGTAAAGGTGTTTGGAAAATAGTGTACAGAAAAAGTTGGAAAATCAGATTTCTATCAGATGTGTTAAATGACATACAGATTTCACGAGTAATAGAAGATATACATAATATTATAGCTTACACTGTAGACTATTTTATTATTTATTTACAAATTTGAATAATATCTATTTAACTACCAATGACAGTAATGCTAAATGTAACCTTCGTTGTCATTTTGCACTCCTTAGATGGCGCCACTAGCGAATAAAGTCTTGTCACTCAACACTTAGCCGCTATGAAAAAACTTTGGGTATAATACTAAACTAACTTTTTTTATTAAAATAAAAAAAAAACTATTTTAGTAGTCTCAATAACTTACCACATTTTAATATGACTTCGAAGTCAAATATTTAATACAATACATAAGTTTATGAAGTTTAAAAGCACACTTCACCGACAGTCCGGAAATGAGTGAACAAGGAGTCTCGATGCCTAAATAGCTTTTGAAAGAGAAACAACACAGTAAGTTTAAAAAAAATGACCTCATAATTGCTAATAATTGGGCTATAGCGTAGATGTACCTATTTCTTTGTTTCTATAGTGTACTAAATATATCGAGACTGGTCGAATGTACGTCTTAGAGTTCAGTCAGCCGTTTATTTCTAACGTTAGGAGCTTCCCGGCCATTCCTGCCATATCTTCACACCAGAACTCGGTGATAGTGAGCTAGAACTGTTCCTTGCATTCCGTTTCGGACAACCGAGAACATAATGATCCTTTGCTTCATCGCTGAAATAGAAAATTAATATTTTTTATTTAAGTTAAATGTTTTCTCTTGTGTCATAAGTAGGCACATGCATGTAGAACTATTATTTCATCGTGCCTATCATGAAAAAGACGCGCCTAGACCTTACACTCGAAAGTTACCTGACATAGTTCGTAAAATCTGCAGACTATAGTGGCAATGGGCAGGCCACGTCACTCGAAGGACGGACGGCCGATGGGCCCGAAAAGTACTCGAGTGGCGGCCAAGGAATGGAAAGCGTAGCGTGGGCAGGCCTCTCGCTAGGTGGGCCGACGACGACGCCATCATCAGAGTCGCGGGAAGCCAATGGATGCTATTAGTGAGTGGTCGTTCGACATAGAAGACTAAGGAGAATGCCCATTTCAGTAATGGACGTCTTTCGGCTGATTATGATGAAATGTTGAGATAGCTTACCCGTAACTGTATGATTCGAAACAATATTTGCAGGTGTACGTCTTCTCCAACCGGTCCTTTGTCTGTAATTAAACCTAATGTATTTAATATTATTATAACATACCTACACCAGAGAAAGAAAATAAAATTGAATGAAAACATTTATTAATCGGTGATTTCTTTATTTCTTGTTTGGCAAAGTTAATACTCGACTGGAGTCTGGAGTGATACCTCTAAGAACGGTGAAACCAGTATCAAAGAGCCACAGCGTTGTTTCGCCGTATGTGGAGTCACCCCGTCGCGTCACGGAAGCCGAATCAAATCCTCAACCCTTAAAGGCCGGGACCTTTAAACCCTTGCGGCCTTATTACAAAACGCTGTCATGTGGTGTGGTGTCATGTGTATGTGACATTGTATGTTTGTAAACGCACCCACGACACAGGAGAAAATCCTAGTGTGGGGCAACGTTTTAAAAAAAAAAATATAAAAAAAAAAACAAGGTTTTACTTTAGTCTAGGCCTAAACCATTGAGCCAGCTTTCGTATTTCGAATTAAAGGTAGATGACAATAAGATTCTAAATTCAAAACCCGACAACAACCATCGCTTACTATCAGGTGAGATATGTTTGCTCCTTTGCCGGTCTGTAATATAAAAAAGTTGATTACCTTCACCACTTCAATACGGAAATTTCGTTGTACACAATCATCATCTTGTATCTCTTCTCTCTCCTTATGTTTCTTCTTCTTCTTCTTTCTTGATTTAGGTATCGGTATGTCTGTAAGCGCTACACGTTTCTTCTTAGGGTATAGTGGCACATTCTGGTCAGCCACGAAGCTGGAACCACGCTGAAAAAAAAAATCGTGACATTTTGTAAGGCATAGAGAATATGGAGCTTCTTCAGCCGGGGTTGCGGGACAAATGCAATAACGTATTGCGGCTCTGGCCTGGAGGAGGAGAGACAACGGGGTTTTTTGTCAGTAAGAGTCCCACACTCCGTCTCGTCCCACCTTGGGCAAGAGAAGTAATTTGGCCCCCCTCAACAAAAAGACCTGTATGATTGACAAACTAAAAGAACGGAAAAATATTAAAATCATTTATTAAATTGATGTTATTCATTAATCCAGTAATGAAGAAAAATTAATAATAGACTTACAACATCCTTATTGACGTCTAAATATATCAAGCCATTTGTATTATTAAGATCAGTTATTGGATCATCGTCAGTTTTCTCGTCATCAGAAATTATTTCCACGACAGGTAATTCTTCCTCTATAGCCACCACATCATTATCTTGATCATCAGACATTTCTTTAGGCACAACATTGGTACAGAATTGAACTTCTTGAGCGGGATAAATGGATTCCGATGTCCGGCCACGATGGGGCTCCTTTTGTGGACTGGGGGACTCTATGCGGTCATCACTTAAAGGTGAAATTAAACGCATTGGCACGCATCGAGCCAAAATCTCCATGAGACCTATATTCCCAAAATCATCAGGTTCATCTTTCACTTTTTCTTTAGAAATAACTTCATTATTCAAAGTAATCTCATCGTCATCATGTTTGATATAATAATAATCTTGTGAGAGATAACATTTAAGAGGGGATTGAAGTTTTATTTGAAATCTGTGCTGTTCTTTTATCAGCTCTTTGCGTATCTGGAAATGTTGCAAATAAAAATAATTACAATTTATTACTTTTTCAACTTTAGGAACGTATCTACAGCTATACAATAGTCTTTGGATGATTTTTTTCAATATATAAACCGTTGTTAAGTACCTACCATTGACTAATCGATAGTGCTTATTTACAAAAAAGCCGTGAGTGCTTATAAAAGTTATAATAGTTTTAAATATATCATACCACTTGTGAATGAGACTTGTTGTACAATCCAAAAAGGATATCTTCAGCCACTTTACTTTTCTCAATTAATTTATTGCATTTTATTAATGTCGGTCGACATTCATAGCAGATGTATTTCGGTAACCATTGCCGTGATTCCTGTAGACAAATAGAATTAATTTACAATCCATTTAGCGAATGAAAAGAAAAAAAAATTCTTAAAAACAGATTTTATAATTCTTATTATTTCTCGTGCTTACCTAAAATAAATAAAGTCAGAGTGGGCACTCTGACTTTATTTATTTTAGGGTTAAGGTTATCTACTAGGGATTAAAACTCCACTGTCCGTCTATCCCTGTATGTCTGTGACTAAGATGTACCCATACTACCCATCTCACAATATTTAAAAGCTAGATATTTGAAATTGGAACGGACTGTAACCGCAATCACTATAAAACGGTTACTAAAAACACACGTAATTATTGTACTCAAGTGCTTATATTCTCTTTGATTGTAGGTACTGAACGTTTCGTGCGCGAGTCTGACTTTAGATTAATTAAGATGAGTTTTGTACTTACATCATTTAGTCCTATATCTTTCATGCAACTTGCCAAGTATGGATCATTGAGACTGTACATCTTCACATCTGTTGCCAAACATATTCGACAGGCCTCCATATTTAACGGTTCTAACCCCATAATTGCTTTATTTTCTGATTCTTCCATCAGTTAAAAACTCTAATTGAATAAACTTCTGAGGATGTTAAAAAAATTGCTACTGCCACATGACTTTTGAGTTTTACAATAGGTCATTTTAATGTTATACGTTGAAATAAGGTATGTTAAAAATTTGGTGCTATTTTTTGGGTATTCTCCTACCCTCAAACTAGTTTTAGAAAAATATAGATTAAAAAACTTACCTATAAATGTTAATAATGACAATAAGTACTTAATTAAAAAGTGATCGAATAAAACTAAATTATAATATCTCCTTTTTTTTCCATAGTTTAGTCGGGTCGGTCCATCCTTTTTTTTATAAAAGTAGCAGCAGTAGCAGCAGTACCTAGCAGTATAAAAATTGGTAGAATCAAGATGTGAAGCTATTCATAATTAAAAACCAACGACATTACTAAACTCTTTAGGTATTCAAAATGAAGAAACAGAAGAATTTATTTTTATTTTATTTACCAAAAAGTGTACCTACCTACCTATAATCTATGCATTATGCGTTTGGTGCAACAGAACTTGCATTCCTGTGGATGTATTCGATTCGTAAGGGTAAGTGAAAAAACAAAATTATGCGTGACATACGAAATTGGGTAGTTTCCTATGTCAAAAATAAATTAACTTGACGTTTCAATGCAATAAAATATTGAAAAATAGCTATACTTTTAAGTATTCATCGATCGATCGATACGCTGTATTTTAGATATTTATTACTTAACAATTTTTTAAGAAATAAGCAAACTATTGGATGCCAAAAAACTATGACGTCTTAACTCAGTTTTTAATACTATAATTAAGGATCGTTTTTGACATTGGGATAAAAGTATTGATTTTGACTAGTTGGAAACTACCGTATTGTCGTGGTGACGTGTTCCAATCTATATAAATCAATGCCAGTTCCACTTTTCGCTGTAATGTTATAACTCAACAATGCCTTTACCGATTTGGCAAATTTTGGTCTTCAATTATTCGTGAGAGTCCAGAAAAGATTTGTACGTAGATTTAAAAAAATCTTGAAAAAGTGTAAAATCAACGTCCCCGCGAGCGATCGCTAGTAATTTAGATATTTTAATGGATACCTTCTTTTTGTCGGCAAAATCGCACGTCCGTCCACAATTTTGCCGCCAAAAATTGTTAAACCACGTAATGGCGCTTATCACACTTACTTATGAAACTAAATCTGTTACAACTCATTAGGTAATAAAGTTCACAGTTTATAGGTTGATTTAATTTAGATGCTTTTACGGTTGCATTGCATTGTGAGTGGCGTATAACATAATTTTAACTATTCCTCGGCTGTTAAAAAAACTTCTTAATTTCTTGTGCTTTCCCCTAAACCTAATAAACACTGTATATGCATAAATTTTTTTTTTTTTGGGGTGGTTCATCAAGAGCAGACGGATTACTTGATGGTAAGCAATCGGCGAAGCTCATGGACATCCGCAACACTAAAGGAGTTACGAGTGCGTTGCCAGCCTTTTGGGGATAAGGGTTTCGGATATTTAAGGATTGGAAAGAGGTGATGCCTACCCCTGCATTGGGCCTCCGGTAAGTAACCGCATTCACACTGCGAAACACAACGCTGTGGAGTTTCACTCCGGATTTTCTGTCTTTTATGATCAAGTCGTCAGATTTAATTTGCCACACAGACGTGGCGCTCTTTCGACTTTTGTGTAGTGCATTTTTGATATACAGTGCCTGTAAAAAACCTTATTATCTTCACGTAAATAAGTCTTTTGAACCTAACTATGCTGTACCTTAAGCAAACACCGCATCAACTCTTCTAAACAAATAAAAACAAACCATAAATGCAAAACATTTAATATATCGAAAACATGTAATACAAATTAAAATTCATAAGGTTGAGAATCAATCATCAAAAGGAATGGCAGGTAGAAGTTTTCCTTCGCATTTTCCGAAACCAATTCGGAGTCCGTTTTCATCGACGCAGTATCCACGGAGCGTGACCGTGTCTCCATCTTGGATGAACTTCCTTTCTTCGCCTGATAGAAGTCTGAGGGGCTTTGTACCCTTCCAGGATAGTTCTAACATGCTGCCGAAGGAGTCTGAAGCCTGGGACAGAAGAGAAAATTACTGATTAGTTAACTATTTGAATTACCATTGACTTTGACATGAATGTGACTGAAAACTGAAAATTATTAAGTACCTAGCTGTGTAGTTCAATTTTAATGTGAGGTGAAACTTTCAATCACACGAATTGAATGAACTATATAGGCATTCAAACGAGAAGACGGCAGCAGACAGCAATTGGTGCCGCCCATGGACGAATTTGTCCAAGAAGTTATACGCGGCAATGTCAAATAACTGATTTTAACAGATCATTTGACTTTTCCACACAAAGTTGTGAACAAACAGATGCAAATGTTACATAAACCCCCTCCACCAGATTATAAAAAAATAAAATAGCTACTCTCGCGCGGTTTCACCCGCTGCTCGGCTCCTACATATCGTAGCGTGATGATTTATACCTATAGAGCCTATAGCACTCGGGAACATTGTAGCTACAATTTTAAAATAAACAAATTTAAAATTTAACTAATTGATAGCTATCAATTAGTTAAAGAATTTTGGAAATCCGACCAGCAGTTCGAAGTATTACCCCCTACATACAAACTTGCAAACTTACAAATTTTACATGTTTATAATATTAGTATAAAGATAATAGCTAATTCTGACCTCTCCACTAATAGTCCCGGAACCCAGCAGGTCTCCAGGCCTTAAGTTACATCCAGTAACAGTCTGTTGAGCCAGTTGTTGCTTCACAGTCCAGTACATGAACCGATAGTTGGACCTGCAGATTGTTGTAGCCACTGGATAGTTCTCCGCTGTTGAAATAAGGTTGAAAATTGAGAAATTATTGCATTAGGCAAGTCATGTTAACTAGACCCGATCGTACGGCGCGAAGCGTTCATCAAAGAGCCAATAGACCATCACAGGGTCGCGGATCAAGCTTTATAAGGTATTGTGGCCCCGGCGTGGCCCAGGAAAAGGGGGGAGAGTTTAAGCAGTAAGAATCTGACACTCCCTCTCGCCGTATCCTGGAATTTATGAAACAAAAAGTCTATAAGTGGCAGTTCAAGTATAACCAAAACTTAGTTTTTTATTTTTGGTAAAATCTTAATGCTGTTTAAGGCTGGTTTTAGTGTCACGCGGACCGTCAGTACGGATCTCTCCGCACACACCGATCTGTATTAAGCCAAGGGAGCGTTTTAGTGTAATGCAGACGGGTCCGTACGGTCAACCGTCCGCGCGGACAGCTCCGCAGCCGTCCGCATGGCGCGTCCGTGCCGCGGAGCTATCCGCGCGGACCTCTACCTGCAGTGATCGTTTTAGTATCGTGCGGAGCGCACGCGTCAGCGCAGTACAATCGACATCAGTCATGGCGAATATTGACACGAGTCGAGTGATCGATGAAGTTCGTTTGAGAAAATGTTTGTGGGATGCCTCTGATCCTCTATACAAAAACAAAGACGCGAAAAATAGAGCTTGGGAGGACATTGCCGACGTCATCTTTGAAAATATTACAGAACAAAACGAAAGAAAACAAAATGGTAAGTACTTGTATTCTGTTTTATTGTATTTAATCTTTGAAAAGTAGTCTGTAGTTACATAAGTATTTAATGTATGAAATATTATATAATAATAAAACAATTAAAAAATACGCGAGTCTTGCCATGGCACCCTGCCGGCTGGGCTTAAAAAGTACTCTGCAAAATGATCTCGCAAAGCGTTTCCGGACCTGGTTCTAGGTAAATTATTTGACATATCTGCCATACCCTCAATTGTCAGTGTATCTTCAATACTATAACCGTCGCGAACTCTTATAAAATTATTCAACACGCAGCATGCTTTTACAATGTTCTTGGCAACATTGAAACCTGCATTAATAGGTGTATGAAAGACTCTGAACTTGTTTGACATTATACCAAATGTTGATTCTATGTAGCGTCTACTGCGGCTCAATCTGTAGTTGAAAATTTTTTTCTTGTGGGTCATATTAGTTCTCACATATGGCTTCATAACTTTTTGAGATATTCCAAAAGCACCATCGGCTACAATCACATAGGGAACTGGAATATTCGTCCCGGGCAATGGCTTTGGTTCTGGAACATTGAGATCGTTATTTTCCAAGTTCCTGAAAAGTGTACTGTCTCGGAATATAGACGAGTCGGAATTTTTGCCATATGATCCCACGTTTATGTACGTAAAACAATAGTTTGCATCACACATAGCTAACAGGACTATGGAATAAAAATTCTTATAGTTGTAGAACATTGAGCCACCACCAGCTGGATTTACTATTCGTATATGTTTGCCGTCAAGAGCTCCTATGCAATTTGGAAAATTGGCATTTTCTAGAAATCCATTACTTATATCTTGCCACATATCAGAGGTTCTTGTTGGTATGCATTCATCGTGTAGTGTTTCCCATATTACCATACACACTTCGTTCACGATTTTACTTATTGTTGCAATTCCCATCCTGAATGAATAGTGCAAGTCTGTAAATGTTCGACCCGTAGCCAGGAATCTAAAAAAAAATGTTTGTATCATTACAGTTAAACTACTTCAGCAAAGATGGAGAACAGCCAGAGATGCATTCTTCAAAACAAAGGCTTCTATGAAAAATCAACCATCTGGAAGTTCTACTAAGAAGTTCAAAAAGTATATTTACTATGATGAACTTATGTTCCTAAACCCTTCAACTGACAATGATTTTGATGAGTCAATGATATCATCGCCCCCAGTTAATGAAGCATCTCCAGAAAACGTAACGTCTCCAGAAAATACAGAATCTCTAGAAAATATTTCATCTCCACAAAACGTTACGTCTCCAGCAGCATTACCAGAGAATATTGCATCACCAGAAAACACAGTGACTTCAGAAAATACACAGCGTGCAAGTAATCACGGATCACAAAATCCATGGATCCAAAAAAGAAAAAATAGACCACGACAAACAAATCAAGAAAATTCATCATTTGAACGCGAGTTATTGACTTTGCTGTCTAACCAGACACCTGATCTTGCCTCTGATGACCTGGCTTTTTTTTCCTCGTTGGGTCCAATTTTACGCGATTTTGATATTGAAGAGAAGTTAGAGTTTCGGGCAAGAGTGCTGCGCGAAGCAACGGCAATTAAAAATATGCGAAATAGGCCCAGTAGCTCTTCATCTACCTCAAGATTTTCACCAAGATATAATACTTATGCTGCTGGCGCATCGTCAGAATACGACTATGTGAGATAATAATCGATATAATTAACTTTTTTACTGATTTTTAAAATCTAAATTTTTTCTGAACTCAAGCACAAATAAATAAATATTATATTACTGAGAGAAATGATTTTTTATTCTTACCTCAAAGTAACCATCAGGCGTTCAATCGGTGGTATAGGTAGGCGTCGTAAGCTGCAATAAACCAGTTTATTTTTTGTCTTTGACAGTAGTTCGTCAAAACTTCTAGTCGACATACGAAAGTAGTTGAAGAACTTTGTTTCGTCAGCCCTCAAACTGCCGTATAATGTGACGAATTCTCCCGCGACGGCTCTCTGCTCTATTAAAGGGTGTACATGCAGTCTCCTTCTTTGTTTTTTTTTTCTTGAGTAATATAGGGAAATAACCAATAACACCCGCCACAATGGATGCATTGCGCGCGTCTGTACACCACGGCGGTCAGGGCGACACTAAAACACCATAACGCGGACCATCAGTGCGGATCGGTCTGCGCGGAGAGATCCGTACTGACGGTCCGCGTGACACTAAAACCAGCCTAAAGGTTCTGGTTCACAACGAACTTATGATGATGCCTCTGACGATACAGAACTACTTCCGCTACAGTGATTGCTTCTCATTAGGCGTTTCTTGGGCTTTGTTAATATCTACATATATTTCTAGCGACCCGCCACGGCTTCGCACGGGCGTAATTCTGATACAATTTTTGTCCACTGTGTACTATAAGCTGTTCTTATACATATAAACCTACCTCTTAAATCACTCTATCTATAAAAATCCCCTTTAAAATTCGTTGCGTAGTTTTAAAGATTATGCATACATAATTACATAGGGATATAGGGACAAAGAAAGCGACTTTGTTTTATACTATGTATTGATAATAATATTAAGTCCAACTTACGCTGCAAATCGACCTCCAACTTGATATCGAAGTTGAATTTATCATCATGTCTTAAGTATGCGAAGGGTGTTGGGTCCTGGGGGAAGTTGTCCACTAAGTACGGCCGTAGGGCTTCGATGGTGACGACCCAGGGCGATATGGTTGTGCCCAGGTTCTTGGCGGTGAAGGGACCCAGGGGAATGTACTCCCATTTCTGGATGTCGCGAGCTAAGGATCAATAATAATAATAAATACACTTTATTGTACACCAAAAGAGTTGACATGCATAGTACAAAATAGCAAAGATCAATTATGGTATTTAGTTATATTAAAACTTATAAATCAACAAATACCATCGTATGGTATTTGTTGATTTATAAGATTTTAGTGAATTAATTTAATTCATTTCGAACGTAATGTACTTAACATATACTACGTAATATAAGAAAAATGTAATATTTAAGTACTTGCAATCAAATGCAGTGAAAACTTGTCATCGGATATAATTGTTTATGTTTCATCATCGATGGTTATGTCCGCTTACAATTATAGTTATTTGAACTGTTGTAATGTATCTGTATCGAACTCAAACGGTTGATTCGAGACACTACAACAACATAGCTAACATTATAAAAGAGAAGTTAATTTTATTTTTTATTTGTGACGTCTTCACGCTCAATTTACTCAAGTAATCATGTTAAATTTCAAACATTTAGATAGATAACGTTAGAAGTTCTGAATGAAGAGAAAAATATTAGTGCACTATGAATACCTAATGTTGAAATTCAAACATATGGTTATGAATTCCAAATACCGGATAAAGCCACAGAAAATTATTAGTGCACTAAAAACAACAAAGGCAAATTTGAAACAAAACATCAGTACTTACCGCTCCAATCATTCATGAGTACAAGTCCGAAGATGCGGTCCTCAGCCTCCTTAGCTGTGACCCTCTGTCCGAGGGCCGTGGGAGGTCCTCCAACGAAAGCCGCCATTTCTAACTCGAAGTCCATGAGACGAGAGGGACCGAAGTGGGGGGCGGCACCTGGTTAAAAGAGAGTTTTCTTATTAAGAAATGGTTCTTTACCATTCAATCGTAGTTGAAGACACAATAGAACAACAATAGGTGCGCAAACGCCCGCTTGAGGATTGATAAATTAAGACGGGTAAGTATGTTTATTGACCAGACCAGACGGAATACCGTGATACGTTCCAAAACAGGAGTAGCTGATGTGGGCCAAAAGGCGGCAAAATTAAAATGGGACTGGGCCGGACACGTCAGCCGAATGCATCCAGAGAGGTGGGCCACTATTGTCACCCAGTGGACACCTCAGGATGGAAGCCGCAGGCGGGGTAGGCCCCGGAAAAGATGGCGTGACGATCTAGACGCCTATCGTCGAGACTGGTGGACACGGTCGAAGGATGGGGAGGTGTGGAAGCGAGATGGGGCCTTTGCCCAGCAGTGGGACAATATAGGCTAGTAAAAAAAAAATAAAGTATGTTTAGCAGGATTAATCCGCTTACCATCAGGTGCACGTAAGATTTGTCGCCACTATAGAAGGAGTATGAAAAACCTGAACTAACCTGAACGCAATAGCTTGTAAGCATAGTTGGATGTTTGTTATTTCAAGTAAAAGCTACAGAATGGATTTTGGTGAAAATTGTCACAGAGATAGATTATAGTCTAAAAGTACATTGGTTTTTCATCCGGTTAACGCGGGCGAAGCTACTCATACAAGCTTATAATTATTATGATATGTATATAATCCATTTAAACTATAATTACGAAGATAGGAAAACAATAACTTTTTATATATTGACATTTTAAAAACCCCACAAACGGAATAAATGGTAAATCAGTTTTTTATTTATTAACTTAATGTGTTGTTGGAATAAAATAAATAAATTTGGTATAAGTACCTTCAACAGGCAAAGTTTGTCCGTACGGCCTCGCGATGGGAGTCCCAGAAATGACGATGGAACTGCTGCGACCGTGGTAGCCGACTGGAAGCTGCTTCCTGGAAAATAATTTTCTTATTACTCTGTCAGGAAGTGTAAGAAAACCAGCCTGTAACAACCACAATGTTGTGTTCCGCCGTGTAAGAGTCATCTTTACAAAGGCTATCATCATCAGCCTATAAGTGCCCACTGCTGAGCAAAGGCCTCTTCTCACACGGAGAAGGTTAGAGCATTAATCACCACGCTTGCTCAATTTGCGGGTTGGTGATTTCAAACTTATAATTAGAAATTAAGTACATATAACTCGGAAAAAGTCACATTGGTACTTGCCAGGTTTCGAACCCGCACCCTCATGCATGAGAAGCGGGCGCCTTAACCTCTGGGCCACCACGACTTTTTTTTACAAAGGCTATTTAGCATTTACTAAGGAAGTTTTTTTGAGAGGTGAATGTCTTTAAATGACTTTTCCCGCCTAGGGTGGCAACACCAAAGGAGTGACACGTGCATTGCCGGCCTTTTGTGGTTTGTTAGAGATTTAAGAATAAGTGGTTTGGAGATTGAGGATGAGGGAGTGGGTATTGGGCCTCACACGGCGAAACAGCGTAAGTATTGTTTCACGCCGGTTTTCTGTGCGGCCGTAGTACCACTCTGATCGAGATATCATATTCATTCTGAAGAACGGTTTTCCCACACATTATGTGGCTTGTTTGTAACTATCACATAGTTAAAATTTCTTGATTAATAAATAACTAATACTTTACCAATTAGGGAATAAGGCATTGTCCTTTCCGCGGAACATGATGCCGACGTTGGTGGCGTGGTGCAGTGACGAGTAGAAGTCTGTGTAGTCTCCGATCTCAGCTGGCACGTGCATCTGTGCATCGCTCTGCTTCACGAACGCTCTGTACGATTTCAATATAAACATTTAATTTTATAAATTTATTCAAGTATTTTAATTGTTAATTTTTTCTCTAGTTACGCTTTTGATGTCTGTTAGTTTTTTATGAGATAAGAGTAACAAAATTGAATACCTGATGGCAATACCAATCGGTGTCGACCATGGATACTCACAACACAAGAAGCGTTGTCGGTCTATTGGTGTTCAGGGATTTGAGGATCCAGAAATTTGGGATAGGTGAGGAAGAAAATTGGGACTCACTCAAGGATGAAAAACAATACAACCATTGTTCTATGTTAGTATTTTTAAGGACGATGTACCAAGTATCTACGATCGTACTATATTTTTTGTTACTTTATATATTTTGGTGAATTTCCTTTGTAATTTATTTCAGATTGGTAGTTATCCAGACAGGTTTTCGAACCACTGGTTAAAGTCAAATTAAAAGCATTTATGCGACCGCCCGTCTCAATTTGTTTACGTTCTACGTCGAGAGAACCCTAGTTCCTGGCTTTTACCCCTTCGGCTGGTGTTTGCTTTAGTTATGTATAACATCTTATGTCAATTATTCCTTAAACAGGGACTTTTGGAACGTCAAAATTGAAATGTCCATCAGTCAGTTCGTTAGTAAAGCTAGGCGCTCGTTCCAAATAAGGACGAGCAAATAACTCAAACTTCCAGTATAGCTCATGATCTATAGGTAGGCATTTGGCAAGGGTCACTGCTAGATGGTGAGACTTCTTCTTTGCCTAGCTACGTACCTTTGTCTCAGATCACTATCATTCTGCAGTGTTGGGTTGGAAGCATCCAGCAGTTTCTGTAAGGTGGCCCTTGCTTCCTGCCAGTGTGGCCGTGTGAGAGCCATGAAGGCATTGAGTTTCTCTTCCTGCAATCAGATCAAATGCTATATAAGTAAGTTTTTTTTATGTAATAGGTCGGGCAACGAGCAACCGGATTACCTAATGGTAAGCAATCACCGCCGCCCATGGGCACCCGCAACAACAGAGGAGTTACGAGTGCTTTGCCCAACTTTTGGGGATTAGGTATTTGGGAGATTTAGGGATTGGGGACGGATTTGTGGATGGGAAGGATTAACCTTACTCACCTTACTCGCGAAACACAAAGCTGTTTTGTTTATTAATTTCGGGATCCCCTTTTTTCGCATAATGTTCTTTGTCCTTATATACGATTTTGGCACAATTTGTTATATCATAATAATACTAAGGCATATTCTATTTAGGTAAGTATACATTTTATGTTGGCATAATCATGTTCAAGTATAGTTTCTTTTGGCATCAATTTGCATAACGTTATATGGCCTAATGACTATTGGTGGCTGCCTGCCCTAGGTGCGGTGAGAGCGAGTGTCAAACTCTTAGTGATTCAAAACCATCATATTCTTTATTCTGCTCCAGGCCGGGGCAGCAGTACCTTATTGGGCTTGTCCCGCAGCCCCGGCTGTACTTCAGCCCCCATCAGTGGTGGACAATACGGTAGTTTCCAATTAGTCAAATTCAATACTTTTATCCAAATGTCAAAAACGATACTTGTCTATGAAATTTGTACGAAACACTAAGTTATGACGTCATAGTATTTTTGGGTCAAATAGCTTATTTCTAAATAATTAACTAAAAAATAGGTATCTTAACTTTTGTGTATCGATCAATCGATGAATAAAAGTACTTATAGTTATTTTTCAAAACTTTATTGTATTAAAACGTCGAATTAATTTATTTTTGACCTATGAAACTACCCAATTGTATACCTTGGCTTCGTCTAAAGCCAAACGCGAGAGATTGCCGCCGCCGATTACTTCCTTGAGGACACGGCAATGCTCAGCCCAAGCAGGGCATGCATAGTGACGGACAGCGGGAAGTGACTTTTTTTTATAAGTACTATGTAGTGATACAAACGTTTGTTGGGCTCTATCTATCTGCTAAATAGCTGAACCGATTATGGTGAACTTTATAACGTTGAGATAGTTTGCTATATGTATAATTTAAAATGCATATAAATAAGGTAACGGAGTGTGTTTTTAAACGATACTTCAGATACACATGTGACGTATCTAAGAAATAATAAGAGAGGCTGTTTTACTTATACTATTTACCGAATAAATAGCACACTGTAATACTTTTGATACATATTTTTCATAATAATACGATACTTCAAATACACATTTCTAAGAAATAATCAGAGCCTGTTTTGCATATTCTACATGGAATAACAAAAATAAATCTACTTGTGTTTCTCACGCCACTATTATAAATGCCTTAAGTGGTCAGGTAAACCTCACTGAGATGTTTGCATCTCGCCATTAATTATTCTCTTCTGCTTATATACCCCTTCTGCTTACACACACCTCCTAAAGTAGGTATAACAATAAATTCTACCTCTGCTATTTGATAAATAAACTTATTTTAATTTTAATAAAACCAAACATATTTCTTAACTGAATAAATAGCAAACTGTAATACTGTATTTTAGAATACATATTTTTATGGAAAGTTTTATATAAAATGAAAGTGTTTTTATGTAATAATTTTCATAGATATCTTATACTTACTTATAACTATTGTAAGTACCAATATTTTTATAAGATTTACGATTTGTAGGTACCTATGTATAATATGTTGCACAACATGGCGTAATATCGAACCTGTTTATATAAAACTGGAATTCTATTTAAAACGTAAACATATTGACGGCATTAGTAGGTCTGAGTTAATTAATTATGTATTCTCAATACACACGGAAGTGATGTTTAATTGCAAACTAATTATAAATGGAGGTGTGTCTGTCTGTTCTGCTGTAGGATGACTTTGTTTTGAGTCCCAGTGATCTGGTTAATTTCTCCAGTAATATTTATTCATGATGTGTCACTAAGCTATCGCATTGGGTAACTGTAAGGGTAGCTTAGTTTGTAATTATATATAAATAAATAAATTTAACTTAGCAACTATTATGAATTTTATTTATGTTCCACGACAGACTATCACGGCGTAACACGACTAATTTCAAGCTGCGTTGGGGCTCATACATTGTCATTCGTCAAGTAAGATTTAATTTTAAGAAGAAGAAGGACCCCATGACTTTGTTACGTTTAGACTACTGTAGTTACCTATAATTGTTTTCTTAAAAACAAACAACAAAACAAGTAGGTAGGTAGTATATAGGTACATTGATGGAGCTTAAAAACATGTTTATACTTTATGCAAATGATATCCACTTGATAAAGCTTTGATTAGATAAATGTAGTAGTTATACTAACTACCTTACATAAGCTTTCATTAAATGTAGGTACTATTTACAAATATCTACTGCCATTCATAAGCAGTATCTAATTTTTATAAAATACTTGAAACTCCTATATGGTTTTTTTTTTGCTGCTCGGGTCCTACTGGTCGTTGTTGGATATAATAAAGATAGGTAACCTTTCTCAAGAAATGAGCTATAGATACAACTCAAAAGAATTGTTCAATTCGAACTAGGTAGTAGTTCTGAAGATTAGCGTAGCGTACAAACGAAAAAACAAACTTTTAAATCTATAGGTATGCTTAAGTAGGTACCTATTAGTAAAGAGTGTATACCTACCTACATGGATTGTTTATCAATAAACAATCAACGTGACAAGGACTTAAGATATGCAAGCTGCAATATGTATATAGGTATATCTGAGTTGCTGTTCAAGCACTATAATGTAGGTACCTACCGCAGCTCCAGCCTCCTGCGGAGCAGGAGAAGGAACTGATTACTCCATCTGATATTCACTATCAACGCACCCCGGGGCGAGAGAAGGCACGTCGCTTAAAAAATGGTACTTCTATACTAATATTATAAGTTTGTATGTATGTTTGTAAGTTTATATGTTGGGGGTAATATTTGGAACCGCTGGTTGGATTGCCAAAATTCACAAACAAAATGTTCCTGAGTGCTTTAGGCTATAAAACATCACGCTACGATTATATGGAGTCGAGCAGCGGGTGAAACCGCGCGAGAGTAGCTAGTAATAATTAATAAGTTAAATTCAAGTTTTACCTTAAAAACATTCTGCTTAGACTTCAACAGAGGTCCATCGAATAGATGTGAAATAACGTTCAAATCAAGAATCAACTCTCCGATCGCCACTCCAATGTGTTTGTCGACCTAAAAACAATAAAAAAATAACAATTACCTAAATTGACTTCGAAACTAAATTAAAATCATAACCTTGCTAATTAAAATTGCACATAGATTTGATGTTTGCATAATTGTATAACTGACCTTTTTAATTTAGCAGTATTATACCAGTTTGCAATGTCAAAAGGAAGACATTGAGTACGGTCAGTGGACGCAATATCGCATGAATCTTATTTCGTGAGAATAAAAACTATTATCGAATACTCAGAAAAATGTTTGTACTTACATTGTTGGGTGATGTAAAGACGCCATAGGGTAGATTTTCAATAGGAAAATCGGTGTTTGACGAATATTCTATGAACGATTTCATTATGCGTGCTTCTCGGTCGGGTGGCAATCGGAATGTGTTTGCTAGTTGCTACAGTAGAACTACTCTTTATTATGTTGTTTATGTTAATGTATCAAGTTTAGTAGCCGGTTTGCTTGCCGGCCGGCGGGACAGTCGACCGGACTAGTCGTCCCCAAGGTCAAGGAACGTTTATCTCATAGAATAGAGAAAGTTTTTAAACCTTTGTATCGCATTTAAAATGAAAATGAAAGGATGATGATTTTTAGGTTATGTCAGCAGTTGAGAGTTTGATAAAAGCGTGTAAATATGTGAATTTTGATAAGAGCACATGTTGTTTGTATTCGGTATCTGGGTATTTTATTTAATAGGACTTACAGTATTCTTGTTTGTTTTATAGATACATGTAGTTATCTATTTTAACGTGAACAGTGCTACTTATAAGATTTTTTAATATTAACCTGCCTAGAATACCTACCTTACCTACTTTGAAAATAATTTAAGTATACAAAGAACATAAAAATACATTTATAAGGCTTTTGGAGGCAGTGCCTTTGATTTCGTTTGGCTGTCTTGATAACACTTGTCATTTACGAAATCAAAAGCTTCAATCATATCTACACTATACTAGATAATATTGTAATTTAATATTATAAAGCTGGACGGTTTGTTTGTTTGAACGTGCTAAACTCCAGAACTACTGGTTCGAATTGAATAATTCTTTTTGTGTTTATTAGTACATTTATCGCGCTAGGATTTGTAGGAGCCGAGCTGCGAGTGAAACCGCGCGACAAAAGCTAGTAGTAATTAAAACACTACCGCTTTATGGCAAGAGTCTGCATAGCAATGTAAGTATCTATCCGTAAGATGGTAAGACCTATGAACAAGAAATTGAAAAAGTGCCCTACGGTAGTACCTATAACTAGCTTAATTACCTAGTCAGTTCACTGACATCCTATGTCGTCTGATCGAATGGCTATATTTCTTATTAGGCCTTAGTTGAATAATGATGGGGTTGTTATTAAAAGAGAGTTGCTACCAGATTGGTAGGTTAAGTTACAATTGTGACTATTACAGAAATAACATTTGCCTTTAGCAATAAATAGCCAGGAATATACTGCGTTACGTTAACCCAGGACGTCATTCAATGAGCACGATAGTCATAGATAGGTAGTCATAAGCAAGTTTACAAAAAAAATTATATCATTCTGCGCCATCTGCCTGTAGGTGCCCATTGCCGAGCCAAGGCCTAGCTCTTCTGACACGAAGAAGGCTTGAGCATTAATCACCATGCTTGCTCAAGGCTGATTGCCGATTTCAAACGTACCTACAATTAGAAATTATAAGTCTAGGTTTCCTCACGATGTTTTCCTTCACCGTCAGTTGTGTCTAAATATAGGTACCTACTCTGAAAAAAGTCACAATGGTGCTTGCCAGGTTTCGAAACCGCTCCCTCATAATTTCAAATGCACATCACAAATTGTGGATCACACAAATCAGTTTTTATTACGAAGATCAAACCCGCAAATCTAGTAGTCAAAATTCTACAAAAGAAAAGTACAATTTTATTAAAAGTTTCTTTAATTTATTTATTACAATAAAATAGAATAACAGAAAGCAATTTGATTTAAATAGACGACATATTCACATGAACTAGTGGAGGAAAGCTCGAATAGTTTCAAGTCAAACCGGGACTTACACGCATGTTGCACACTCTAGTAGTTCACGTAATCCGTATACTTAAATTAATTTAGTATGTGTGGCGATAGTTATTTTACACAAAAATGAACGCTAATGTTTACGTCTTAAAGTTGACCTTAGAGAGTATGGGGTTACGTAGCGCCCCGCGGTGGCTCAGCTTGCGGTGCGGACACAGAGAGCTGGGAGATTCCGCGACTGCCTGGAAACAATACATCTGCAGTACTGACTATTTCGATAAACAATTATAACAAAACCTTACCTGTTTATTCTCAGAGGGCCTACGAGGAAGAGGGATGGAGCTATATACCTTTATAGCTCCATCCCTCTTTCTCGCCCGAGAGATTCACGCTTATATTGCAAAATAAGTGTGGGAGAGCCATCATCATGCTTATAGAAAACGGGCGTGAAACAACTACGGCGTTGTATTTCATCCTGCGAGTGATGTTACCGGAAGCCCAATACCCGATCCTTAATACCCGAAACCCTTATTCCCAAAAGGCCGGCAACGTACTCGTAACTCCTTTGGTAGTAGTAAGTATCTATATGGGCGGGGCCGATTGCTTACGATCAGGTAATCAGTCTGTTCGTGTGCCGACTTATAAAAAAAAAAAAAACTATTTTCTACATGAACCCACACCATAGCCAACTACATTGTATGCCAAAAAAGACGGTAAAAAATGAGGATTGATTCAGTCCAGGAACCCATTGAGTGAATAAGTCTCGTAGTCTACACTATAGTATACATACCTAAATACAGGTTTAAGTACCTACTATAAATAGGTACATAAAGGTAAAAAAAATATATAAAAAATGTTCTAATATCTATTTCCCTTTCGAATTTTGGTCCCCCGTTTTACCAATGATAATAGGCAAGCTACCAAAAATACATACGATTTCCATGATAAGATAATACCCATGCCATAACGATTCATTTTATTGTTACTGAAAATTGAATGATATTTCAATAACTAAATAAATACTATTAATATATTATAAATAAAATAAACTACAACGATTAAAACACATTTATTGTTTAACATTTAACATTAGGCTACCATAGTACAATACATAATTATATTGAGATAAAATAATATAAATAATACAATGTAAATTACGTGGACGACTGCAGGAACTCATTAAGAGAACAGATAGTATCAGTATGTATGATGTGGTTTTAAAACATTTCTGGATAATAACTAGACATACTCTTGTAAAATATTCGAGTGTGCCCGACTAGTTTCGAGCCATAGTAGGGCTCATAAGGTGTGTTATAGCGAACAGCGTCTAAATTGAAAAGAATCTCTGTTATGACTAAAACAATAATAAATGTCCAATGCACATATTAATTTAAGACTTTCAACGCGATTGTTTAATCAGGATTGATAATAATATGACTTATGTATGATATAAAACCACATCTTAAAAGTGAATTATGATATAAACTAAATACATTATTATGTAATGAAATATTTACCACAACTACTAACATTTAACACAGACTACACTCCGTACAAAATCTATATATTTTCAAATCCTTCTGTATTGGTACGTTTTGATATAAATGCTTATTACTGTAGAGTACATAATATCTATAGATACGGAAATTAAAAAGTTTATTTTGAAATGCATTCTTTATTTAGTCAGTGATTTATAATTAAACATTTGTTTGTCTGAAGAACATAAAGGTACTTTTGAAATGTCACAATAGAGTATTAGTCTGTCAGTTGATTCGTCAGAGAAGCTGGGTGGTGAAGAACGAGCAAGAAACTCCATCGTTACTCATTTAAAATAAATACGTTTAAGTGTGAATCCGTATTACGAGATTTATACAAAGAAATTAGTTTTTTTTGCAGAACTACAGGTATAAAATTCATTAAAATGCTAAAATTCATAATTATTATATTTTAAGCAGCAAAAAGAAAATGATTTTTTTTATTGATAAACTTATTTGTAGAGTATGCAGATAGCTTAAAAATGGTGTTTCAGAATTATCGCGACGTGTTTTTGCCCTTTGCAATGGGATGTATTATAAGTATACTAATATTTGCTCCATTTTCAAACATCATCTGTTCCAGTCTATATGCATCAATTAGATTTGAAAAACTAATTTTGATTGTCTTCCCATTCAGCCTTACCTTTGCTCGCACTGTTATTAATTTCCTTATTATAAAAACTCTAAGGAATTTTAACAATGATATCGAAGAATTAACAATCTACATTTTTCTAGAATTTTTGGACAATTTCGAAGGAGGCACTTACATTTATTTTTTTATTTTACCATCTAATAACATTTTAACACAACTCACGTGTAATAGGAGTGAGCTTAGAACCGTACAACAGCTAATATTTAGGAATCTTTGTAAATTAGAAACACGCATAACTATTTGCCCGATTTAAAGATAAAATCAGTTGTTTGTGCTTATTAGTCTCAACCATTAGAACACTGAAGAGGTCAAATTTTATAAACATCAATTTATTATTATTATTAACAATAAGTATCAATTCTTTTAATAAACGTGCACTACATTAATTTATGATTTCATTTGAAGATGTTACGATTTTTCTACTATTAGGTTACTTTTGAGGGAATATTGATCTTGATATTGTGTAAATGTATAGTGTATAGTCTTACTTTCTTAAGTTCCTATGTCCCCTAGGTGGGGCAGAGGGCTTCCACAGTATTTTCTTACTTATTTCCATAGTGTATAGTACCAGGTTACATTTTGTACTTATAAAAATGTGTAGAAGACCGAGCCGCGGACACGTTTTTAAATTACATCTTGAAACATTCAGGTTATAAAAACCATAATAGGATGACTGTCAGAAAATGCTATTAGCATTAAGTTCTCCGATATGCAACTGTATAATAATTTAAAGAATAAATAATTAACCGATCTCCGAACTAAGATATTAGCCGTATGGAGCTTCTGCCTAAAACAGCGATCAATTCAGACATTCCGACATGCTATTAGTTTCGGCTGTCGGTCACTACGAAAACTCAACAGGCAAAGTAAAGAAATACAGTAAAATAAAATACTAAAACTATGTCAAAGTTAATATTAAAATATGTATATTATAACACATTAGGTATAGCTACAACAACTTCTACGTACATCAAATTTTTACATAGTACCTTACCAACATACATACTTACATTCTACAAAATAAAATGTATACATATAAAACTAGTTGTTATTTTGAAATCAATTTGAAATGTTATTTTTCTTTCATTAGTGTATTAGTACATTAATAAGTTAGTTCTTAACTATTATTTTATGCCGCATTTACACATTTGTATTTGAAATTATTAGTTTTGACTTTATCGTTTATTTAATTCAATTGATATTTATAACAATTTTATGACTTACGCTTTCTGTTTTACGCTACCAGTACATACATACTACTATATAACTACTTTAGGTGGTGTAAAAAGACAATAATATTACTTGCTACAAAGAAATAATCTTTTAAGTGAGTATTTTTATGGATTTGTTTTGTTAGAAGTTAGTTTTACGACGCGATAAGTAGTAGACCTTATGAATTTTTTATTTCCATTTTTAATTTTACTTTGCAATTTTGCTATCGAGTTAGTAGTATTAAGTATAATTTTGATTGAAGTTCTTTTATCAAGTTTTAGTATAAATATAGAAATCGACAAGCACTTTATTTTAGATTACAAATATTCTAACCATCCAATAATATTTTTATAGTGCACGAAACTCAACATTCCCTTTTCCATTCCAAATCTAATTACACAACCTGACAGCCATTTTTATTTTAACTACTAATTAGAATTTATTCAAAACAAATAATAATTTCGACATACCTAATTATTTATTTTACATTCAGGTATTTCGAAAAACGAAGTCTAGAAATTTTTAAGGTTAATTTGAATTAAGGAAAAGTTAATTAATTTAATCTTTAAACACCACCATAACTACAAATAAATAAATGAAACATAAATTCTTATCTACACAATGTGGCGTCGATCTGCTGCAGGGACGGGAGGGTTAGCTTGAGTTTCCTTCTGTAAGCTGGGTCGGCGGCGACAGGGTTGCGTTCTAAGTATATTGTGGTAATCTTCTTATTCTGTTTTAGGTAATCCACTGACGACCAGTCTGTTATTTGATTGTCGTTAAGCTGAAAATTAAATTAAAGATTTATTAAATGGTAGTTTTGACTGATCCCTGATCCTCATTTTTTCATGTGATAGTACCTCAAGCTAGCATACGAAAAATGGTAGTCAATCAGTGCCACACATGGACATTCGCAATAATGGATGAGTTACGAGTGCGTTGCCGACCTTTTGGTTTGGTTTTGGGGATTGAGGGCGGGACAAGTATTGGACCTCCGTTAACCTTCCAACCACCAAATCTCAAATCCCTAATCCCCAAAGTACGGCAACCCACTTTTCAATCCTTCGTTGTTACAGTCGCTAATTGCTGACTCAGTCAGCTCGTTTGCCGTCCTATCACATACAAAAAAAAGTCTTGCTATCGTTTTTATAAGGATCTGGATAAGGATATGGATCACACATCAAAAAGTAAATTAATGTTTTGGTAAACGACGAGACATTATTTTTTTTAAATTAATAGTTGATAATCGTCTTCATATTGTACTTACCCATAATTCTTCCAAGTCCTGCATATGACCAACATTTTCGATGACAGTGATCCTGTTGACGGCCAGGTCCAAAGTCTGCAACTTCACCTGGTTATTCAGGTTCTCAATAACCGAGATTCCATTCTCAGATATGTATAACTGTTCCAACTTGGTTAGTTCTTCTAAATTCTCTATTTTAACAATACGATTACTCTGTAACACTAAGATTTCTAATTCCGTCAGCTCTTCTAAGTTTTGTATTTTCGATATTTTGTTCTTGCCCAGGTACAGCTGTTTTAGGGTCGTCAGGCCTTCTAGGTTTTTGATTTCCTGTAATGTTATGAGATATTTTTAATTATAAAAAAAATTATGTGTTAAAATTAAGTCTATAATACTAGAGAGTAATGTGTAAAGTTACCCCCCCTATTTCACAACTCCGAATCTTCAAATTCCCAACCAGCAAAAAGCTGGAAAAGCACCTGTATCTAATCGATTTTCAGATTTAACTAGTCTTGCTATTTTATTAATCCAAACTCACCCGTATTTTATTATCACCCAGCTCAAGCAGTTCCAATTTGGGCAGATGGTTAACATTCTTGATCTCGTGGATCTTATTGGAGCTTAAGAACAACTTCTTCAAGTTAAGCAGTTTTTCTAGACCTTCGATCTCTTTAATTCTGTTGAATGATAAGTCTAGCATTCTGGAAATATAAAACGGATTAAATAAAAACACGTGTCATTTTTTTGGCATGCTGTTCTGAACCGTTATTTTGCAATTATCGCTGAGCCGCAGTATTTAAGAGTCAATTGGTAAATTGCAACTATCTTCTTAATAGGTACGGACATTTGTCGCCTGTATACTACTACCTTTATAAAGATTACGTTCATATTCAAACTTTTTATTAGCTGTTATGGGCTGCGGTTTGTCTACTATCTCGCCTGGTGGTAAACGATGATGCGACTTACGCTTACGATGAAGCACGCCTGCCCATATTTCACCTATTCACTTGGGCCTTGAAGACACCGAGGTAATATATATATATATATTTTTTTATTTATTTATTTAAGTCAGGCATCTGAGGCCCATAGAGAATACAGTACATAAATATATTATAACATTAAATCATAAACTAATACATATGTTACATAGATAACTTAAAAACTAATGCACACGAAGTGTCGGCGTCGTGTTACGCTGCGTGGTGTCGCATAACCATCCTCGGAACCTATATACGACACCCTTCGGCCAAAACTCTTCCTTGAGGAATGTCTCGACGTGATGAGTTGGAACTCGCACCCATGAACGAATTAAATAAATACCCTTCGGGAAACACAGGCTTAGGTGAAGTACTTCTCCATAGCGGTCTATCATTACATAGGAAAAGATCGATAGCGGTCTATTGACTTCTCAAAAGACCAGAGTAAAAGATAGAAAAGCATGATATATGTAGAATGAGAAACTCACTCCAAATTAATGAGTCCTTCGAGATTTTCCATGACCACGATCTGATTGTCGTAGAGTTCCAATTCGACCAAAGTGCTCAGTGTGCTGAGACCTTCGATCTTTTTGATCAGGTTCCATCGCAGGTATAATCTAGAAGAATAAAAATATTTTATGTTCAGTCACTTTCTAGTTGCCGTTACGGGGCAAGCTCAAGAAGGTACCACGACCTCGGCCTGGAGCAAGAGAAGAAACGGGGTGGTATTTAGTCAGTAAGAGAATGATACTCCCTCTCGCCTTACCCTGGGTGACAGAAGTCATTTCATGATTTTTCAACTCAAAAAAAGAAATAGTATTCGTTGGATGCCGATGGTCTAGGGCTATGTTAACTAGTGGACGTCTAGTGACTTTTTGACTGATACATGGTGATGGTGATGAAGACACACCCGCTGTTTTGTCGTTTAGATGTGGACTTCTGCGTGCCTCTTTGAAAAACTAATGGTGTAAAGTTATAACTAGAATTGTCAGTGGGAAGGGAAGCGAAATGACAGTACAAAAAATGGTACAATTTCAAATTGGTATGAGTGGTAAATAAAACGCGTTCACGATTATATCTAAGCACATACAAAGCAATAATACTTTTAATAAAGTGCGGGAAATAATGAAATGACTTTTCTTTATTAACACAGTAATGTTTTAATTGGAGCTAGTAAGTGTGCTACAATGAAGTAGAAAGTAGTGGAAGCAATGTTGCAAAAGCATGATTGGGATTCATTACCAAAATTGGTAGATACAAATCTTTACCGCGTAACACGATGCATTTGCTAAGTAGTGGACACTTATATGCTGATGTTAGTGTTGTTCTATATATACAGTGTATTAAGCCCAAGCGGTTGCAGGGTTCAAGCGCAATAATATACCACGACCCTGGCCTGCAGGCGAGGAATGGGGTGATTTTGAGTTAGTAAGAGACCGCCACTCCTTCTCGCCTCGTCCAGGACGAGAAATGGCATTTGATGATTTTTCCTCCCACAAAAAAGCTCACAACATTGTCCTCTAGCTGTCTGATACAGCTAGAGGCACATGCAGATTTTGTGAAAAAAAAATTCGCTTGCTCTGTTCGCCTTAAATTTACTAAATCAAGATTTTGGAGACCTTGGTGTAATACAAACTAAATAAAATTAAAATCTGTTACAGATTCCAAGATTTTGGACTTAAAAGTTTGTGTGGAAACCGATGCAGTGTGAACATTCCAAAATTTACGATTTCAATACAAAGATATCGCGCACGTAAGTTTCATAGCCACACACTTTTACACTACTTATTACAAATAGATAGATATATCAGTAATTGTGGAGATAACGCCATGGGTGGTACAATTCATTGAGCAGTACTTGTATCAAGTGGGGGGCAGCGCAATGACCTTCCTATTGATTATCCAGCGACATTGATCTGATATGAATGATGTCATTCATTTACTGAGTAGTTACCCAGTCACATGTCAATATTGATCGCTCGCTTGTACAATGTGGTGAATTGCGCTTCGTATATCAACATATGTATGCAGATGTGGAAAAATTGGAAGTGTTTATTTGCTGGATAAACTTTCTGTTGGTAGATTAGTGGGTGGAATTAATAACGATTGCATAGTTGGCGCTGTGGCTGGAAGACTGCTGCACAACGTGTCGCGGGTTCGATTCTCGCATGGAGCATTTTTTTACTTCAAAGACAAATTATTATTAATTTCAATAAGCACATTTTAGAACGATATCTGAAACAACTATATATGATCCACAAATCCAAATAATAGTGGCTATGAGTGTGTTGTATATGTCAATTTCTACTTATGTCGATAAACGCAGCACAAACAAGGAGAAAGTCCTAATGTGGTGCAGACATTTCTTTAAAGTATAAAGACATCTATAATATAACATCTCTCAATGCGAAATTTGTAAATCAACCTGGGTTTTTGGATTCCAATTATTAGCACTAATATCAAAATAAAATCTACACCAATACAAACATATTTGTTAAAGTTTCAGATCAGTTACAGACATATACCAAGAAAAAGTATTTAAAAAGTATAAGGTAGAATATATTATACTATACTACCTTACTACCTTATACTATACAGATAAAAGTTTAAAGGCATACAGACAAGAGACATGTTATAATTAAGTTAGCACTTATGTACTCAGTAAATAATATATTTACATAGTTAACGGAAATAACAACTAAAGCATCTAATTGTATAAAACACAAACATCATTGACACCATTTAAACACATCTTTATGGAAAAATCTGTTAAAATTTTATATTATTATATATTATGTTTATTAATCAGCGAGGCAGTTGGGGCAACTGTTACGTGCTTGTATGGTATTCCAAGCCAATTCTTATTTCTTAGATAAAAAAAATCTTATCTAAGAAAATTAGGTGTTCTCTCCATTTTCTCTATCTGGTATTTGCAAGAAGATAGAAGTACTTATACATAAAGCTAAGCAGTGTCTTGGTATTAAAAATGTTTGTGGTGGAAGAAATTAAAAAGGATATAAGTCTTCTGAATATACATATCTCTTCTAAATAAAGGTTCATTTTGGCACTGCCACAAAAATATTACCTGACCAGTGTATATTTATGGTCATTTAAACAAATTTATTTTTGGCTAAGAATATTTTTAAATGATTCTCAAAGTTGAAAGTGAAAATCCTCTATTTCAATTAGACGCTTATCTAAACATAGCACTTTTAAACATCAAAAAGATCAGAGATAAAAATTTCAGTCTGTCAATTTAAGTCTTATTGCTGTGTCCTTTTAGTGAGGCTATTTTCTTAACTGATATTTTTTTTTAAACAAAATACGCACACTGGATATTCTCCTGGGTGCATTTACAAACATACAATTTCACTGGCACATCACACCCAGACCCAAAACAATAATTTGTGGATCACACAAACTGTTGTTCTGTGTGGGAATCAGACCCGCGCGCACGGCAGCCAATTGCCCAGCCACCGCACCAATTGTCAGTCATAATATATATCATCAATAATTTGAGACATAACAGAAGAACAATTAGGTGTGAGAAATGCTGGATCTTATGCTTGGAGTTTGATGTAATAAACATAATCTTCTCTTTAAGACAATCACACTATTTCTTAGACAATTTATGCAACAGAAGATAAGCTAGAGGTTATCTACCCTCTCAAGAGTATGTGCTGATAACAACTAATACAAGAATGAATAAGAATGGAACACTTTGCTGATATTCATCTCTGATAAGAATTAGTAATAAGACACCCACAGTTCCAATAAGTCAGTGGAGAATGGGTTGGTTAGAGAAATACAAGTCACTATTTGTTGAATAAGGGTTGTATTTCGCTATATTAATTGTTATATTGTATTTTATAGAAAACTTATGAAGTTTAGAGGTGTTATATTTTGTTAGACATGTTTGACACGGATCTTGTGACAAATTCACACTATTGCACCATAAAATGTTCACTCAACAAACAAAACAATGAAAGTGACTCACCTTTCTAAGTTCTTCAAATGCTCAAGGTTCTCGATTTTCCCAATTCTGCCGTGGTTTAGATCTAGTTCAGTAGTATGCTCGTTCACTATTATGATCTCCTGACAATCCTCGGCAGGTTGTTCCGCCTGAGGAGATTCCGCAGTCTCCATAGGTTCGGTATGCGTACCAGGCTCGTTTGCACATGCCTCTTGATCCTTCTTGTTCGTAGACGTTGGATTGCCGACTGCCGGTACACCTTGATTGTCTAAACATAGCAAATAAATAAATAAAATGGAATATTTCAAAATCAACAACTGATGGAACACAATTTACCCACCCGCCATTGTTTTTTATGCGAAAGCTACAATGCTTAAACTTTTACATAAAAATAAACAGGTTTAATACACAATATGTATGTTAAATTCTGTTATTTCAATAGAAATTCGGCAGTTTCGGCTCGGCTTATGGGAAATTCCTGAAATTGAAATCGCAAAATGACATTCTGACTTTTGGCATTACGACATTTGCTGTCAAAAGGCTTAATTTAGGTAGTTATAGTCTGTCTGTCACAAAGTTGCGAATTGTGTTTGTTTTTTGTTTTGTACAATTTCAGAACGTTGAAAGAAATTATCATTCTAAAATGACATGATCTCATTTGTCATTAGTGTCAATGTCAAATTTTGTCTGACCGCCCGCCAAAACTGCGGTATCGTATTTTATATTTAGTTCCGCGCCATTTTTGCTAAATAAACATTTTTTCAACTAAATTTGAAACAATTTCTCAAAAATAATGAGTGACAATGACGAGTTGGCACAGCTTGAAGAATTATTGTGTGCTGACCTAAACGAATTAGATAATAATGACACTAAACAAGTTTCTGTGCGCGAAGTTGATATTTTTGATCCAAGTACTAGTAATTTAGGAGATAAAGAAGAAGAAAAAGTCGATGAAAGTAAACCCGTTAAGAACTCAGCCATTCATAATGGTGATACTGACTCATCAGACGAGGAAGAGCAAAGAAATTACACTGAACGTAAATACAGTAACTATGGTACTGAGGTTAAGAAGATATTGGATCAGCAGCAAGATGAACAGCGGGATAAGAGGCTTGATTTTGAAACTAGGTTACGACAAACAAACATGGATATTAAAGTTGCTCAAAGTACTTTTAAAAGCAAGAAACCAATAGAACAAGTGAATAAAAATACATTTTGTGCTCCTGAAATTAAGAAACCTAAAGAAAGTGCCGATATTTATACTGATCCAGTATTTGGAATTAGAATTACAAAGCCATTGATATCAAGCACTGCCCTGCTTGACCGCATGCAAGGCAGAGAAGCCATAAACATGCTAAGAGTGAAAAGGCATGTTGAAAATGAAGATCTTTCTAAAGACTGGGTGATTGGTGGTGTTATAGTAAGGAAAAGTGCTGCTAAGAAGTCACAAAAAGGTAATCAATTTCTGATATGGACCCTCAGTGATTTGAAAGATGATCTCAAAACTGTTTCTATGTTCTTATTTCGGAAGGCATACAATGATTTATGGAAAACACCAGAGGGCACTGTAGTAGCTGTTCTTAACCCTAATGTATTAGATAGGTCACAAAACAGTGCTGAACAAGCTAGTCTCAGTGTTGAGAATCCTGATCGTGTCATGATTTTAGGAAAATCAAAAGATCTAGGTGTATGCAAAAGTAGAAAGAAAAATGGTGAACCTTGCACAGCTTTTGTCAACTTAAGCCAATGTGATGTGTGCACTTATCATGTCAAGCAGGAGTATCAGAAATACTCCAGAAGACAGGAGCTTCAGTCATCTACTATGGGTAAAGGACTTGTTAATTTACAAAACAAGGTTTTGGGTAAAAACACAGTTATTTATGGTGGGAAAGCTTATAGTGCTTTGCCAACTGGTAACTCTTCCAAAGTTAAAGAAAGAGACAATAATAGATTGATGTCACTGAGTGACTATCATAAGTCTGAGGGTAATAAACTTATGATGAATAAGGCACCTCTTGGTGCTGGCTCCATGAAGAGCAGTGCAATATTACACAGCCCCTCAGCTCAGCGAACTAGCGATAATGAAAGACTCAATAAACTATCTGCTAGTCCAAACACTTCAAAATCCCAAAATTTAACATTGGCAGAAAGAGTAGGAAGTTCACCTAAGCTGAGCAGCAGTGGAACATTTGGTCTTAAAGGCAGTGGGACTATAGACTTAAACATGAGTTATGGACAAAGGGCTGCAGAAAGAGCTAAGGCAAATGCTTTTAGGTTGATCCAACAAAATGGTGGTCTATCAAAGGCAGATCCAAACAACCTTAAAGGCACACAAGCTGGCAAGAAAAGAGCATTAGAAAAGTTAAATGGCTCTAGTAGTGATGAAAATGATAACCAGAAGTCTAAATCTAATGTAGAAACAAGTTCACAGCCAAAGAAAATGAAAACTGTAATGTCAGAGAGGTTCAAGAAAATTTTAGAAGCAACCTCAGCTCATCAAAATTTGATACAGCAGCATGAAGATGATGAACAAGAAAAATACTTTAGTAAACTCGAGAAAAAGGAACAGATGGAAGAAAAAATGCTGAATACATTCAAGCTTGCTTGTAAAGCTGTAAGATGTGTGAAATGCAAGTACACTGCATTTTCAGCTGCACAAATATGTAAAGATGAAAGACATCCTCTGAAAGTATTAGACTCATTCAAGAGGTTCTTCAAGTGTGCTGATTGTAATAATAGAACTGTTTCACTAGAACTTATTCCTCAACATTCTTGCAGTAACTGCCGCAGCTCTCGCTGGGTGAAAGCACCAATGATGAGAGAAAAGAATGTTCAGCTGGCTGAGGGCCTGTCTATTAGGGGTGAAGAAGAGACCTTCATAGGTGGGCAAGTCACATCAGGCAAGAATATCAATTTGTTAGTGCCTGATAGCTAATACTTTTTATTGTATTGGTTGTTTAATCTTGACTGAATTATGTTAAATTTTATATTATACTTATTTATTTAAAATTGTGATAGAGGTTTTGAAATAAAATCCAATATGAAAATAAAGCATAATATAATTTTTATTATGAAACTTCCAGTCAATAACACTGAACCATTCCATAAAACACAATGTGTCTTCGATTTCATACAAGATCCATTTATAACAATCTTGTCGCGCGGAATATTTGTGGGCTTCTTTTATAAATTTTTACACAGCCTTTGATAATAAATTACTACATGTTACAAAACTGATCAGTGGAGCTAATATTATAACATGTGACACCAATGTATTTACAAAAACTTTATATCGGGCAGTGGCGCGACCATTGAAACTTAGAAATGATAAATTAAAACTCGATATAGTTAAAACAGTAATAACAAAATAAAATCAACGTAATGTTAACCCAAAAATAGTATTATATTATTATAAAAATGTGAGCCATTTATATTCCTGATAGTAAATAACAGTTAAAAACTAACAACTGAAGTGTTCAAGATCGATCTCATGAGGAAAAGACTGCTAGTGCCTTTTTACAGGTTCTGGTTGCCGGGTATCCAGCGACAAATGTACATTGGACCCGTGTGGGTGAAAGGTAACGTAGGTACATGGTTATAAACCTAGGCGTCATGTACCTAGTACTGCCTAGCCGGAAACCGGAGCGTGTGAAAAGGCCTAATGAGAACAAATGAGTAAATGACAGCTCACGAGATCGACTTCCCACTTAATTAGGCACTTGAGTAAATAGTACAAGGATAGCGTCGTTAGTTTATTTAAATAACGACAGTGTTTGTGTACAGTCAAGTTCGTAGTTGCCTTCCATAAAATAAAACAACAGGGCCGCGACCACCGCCCGTGGGTGCGTTCGTTCAGTAAAAAAATATATAAAAGTGTGTGGGCCGCAGTGATCATTCCCATTCTGTAGTGGCGGGCGGCTTCGGGGTTAAGTCGTATAGTACGCGCGAGATGCCGGGCACGCTCAGCAACTCCTTGCGCATTCTGTCTACGACCTGACGACAAATAAACATATTAAATCAATGTAAGTTAAAAATTAACATGAATAGGAAGGTTAAGTTCTATCGTAATAATGAATCATTCGTTTCAATACAAACATATGGTTGTGCAAACTAATAAAATTGACTTCGATAACCTGCTTAGAAAGCATATTATTATGTGGAACGTGCGCCACATATAAAAAAATATATATGAATTGATTAGTACTTACATCCTGCGGCATGGCATCAGACCCTGGCAGAGCGGCGACGCCAGTCATGAAGTCTGACGTGATGAAGGGGCGCAGCACGAGCGAGCGCTGGCAGGACGGGGCGCGCACGGCCGCGTCGCGGTCAAAGTGGATCGGGATCATCACCACCGGCATCTGCGCTATGCGGGATGCGTACCCACTCGATATTAGCACCTGCAAAATTGATTGAATAAGATTACTTAAAAATCAAGGCAGAGAAAATTGTTCTCGAGTTTTTCTTGTCCAATATATAATTTATAAGATAATTAAAAGATCAGAATACCGCATGCCGCTACTTTAGTCTAAACAAAACCAGAAGTTACCTGTGTGGCGAGATCGTCGGCCTGGCGTAAGGTTGAGATAACTTGTTGTGTGAGAAAGGTTGGCGTGATGTCTGTCACTTGCTCCTTGATTAATCCTCCAAAAGCGTAGCAAACCCTAAGAAATTTCGTAGATATTTAGATTATAGATATATTAGATTCTATTTCATCATAGTTATTTGGTAAACCTCAACATGCATTAAAGTGGGCTCTCTTAGTTCAAGGATTGGGAATGAAAAGTGGGAGGTAAACCAGCAACTGAACAGCACTATAAACTTTTGTTGTAGGTCATTAACCTATCCAGCAGTGCTTTTTAATCCAATTAAAACTAATGAATACATCCATGCAAAAGTTGTTTTAGGAGATACGGTACAAATAATGTCAACCAACCTGTTAACATTATGGCAGACACGCGGTATGAGTTTGGCGAGGTAGTGCATGTCCTTCCAGTCGGGCGGGTAGCGCTCCGTCGACAGTGCTACCGCGTAACTATACGTTCTGCCGTCACCTGAGAAAAACAGTATTTTGGTTACAATCTGTTAAAACAATGTAAAATTACGTAAAGTAATATTACATTTTAAGCCCTGCATTACTAAACTCTGATATTTTTGCAAAAATTTTAAACTTGAAACTTTACTACGATTTTTGAGGTTATTTATTTTAGTTTATTATGTTTGGATGCAAGTCACTAAGTATGCCATTTGCTCCCTGATCTCGAATCTGGAAATCATTGGGGAGGCCCATAGCCAGCGGCTGATGGGTAGCTTGTGCCAGTACCTTGAACTCCAACAGATCTGACAGGCAGCAAAGTTGCTGCGACGGGCGACTTGGAGGAGATCCGCTTGAGCTCGGCCTGCTCGGCCGGAGTACTCGCGTTGGCCACGCGCCCCAGTAAGGCGTGAGACTTCACGCACATGGACGCGTACTCTACCATTATTTTTACTATAACCTGTAACATCACATTTTCATAATTATTTAATCGATTGTTAAAAAAGAAGGCTGACAATTTTATTATATCTAAGACACTACGATATTAAAAACAAGATGTTACTTTACTTTCTCATAGCCAACTCTAAATTCATTAATTACAATATTATTAATAACTAATCTTTAGGGTACAAACTGACTCTTAAATAGGTTCAGTTGAATAGTATATAGTATTTTACATAGGGCAATATCACCTACCTACATAAGATATAGGACCCGATAAAAACATAGATAATTAATTTGAAATGGTATAATGTATGAGTACCTGTGTCTCTGCGAAGTCTCGCTCTGCGTAGGGCTCGTCCTGGCAGAGTACCCGCACTGCGAGTCCAGGGCCAGGGAAGGGCTGGCGCTCCACTAAAGCACTCGGCAGACCCAGCTCCAATCCTAGTGCGCGCACCTGTATCACAAACCATATTCTCAGGAAAATACTTCAAATAGAACACCATAAAATACCTACAATACCCCCGACGTATCGTGGCGAGTCTGAAGTTAGCCGATTAGCTGGGCAGTACACACTTTTTGTTCCTAAAAGATCCATTGCGCAGACAAACGGCTAACTTCAGACTCGCCAAGATACGTCGGCCGTACTATACATAAATTAATTTTAGACTACTTATATTGATAATGCGAAATTAAAATGTCTTATTATAGATGCAAAAGTTTGTAGGTACGAACTGATAAATGTTTGATACCAATTCACATGAATTTTATAGAAAATTGGCATTGATAAATAGTCTGAAGAAATAAGAAATACGTAAGTTGTTTTGCAACCGCGAACGCGAGTGAAGTCATTGGCAGAAGCTAGTAGGTATAATAATAAAAATATGAACATGAGATCTTTTTCTATAGATTCCTTAATGGTGTACCAAGCATAGAATTTTCCGATCTCATCAGTCTTAGAAGCTTCGCGTTTACTAATAACGATGACGAGGACGATTGAATACGATAAACAAAAAATATCGGATGGAACTTTCTATGGATTATCAGTGTAATAAAATAGTTTCAGTTCGTAGGAAATTGCGTTAGGAATTAATTAGTTACCTCATCCTTATGGAAATCCCGCAGTGGTTCCACGACTCGTCCCCTCTGGCGCAGCGCCCGGACGAGCTCGGTGTCGTTGTGGTGAGTCTTGATGGTCGCCGCGTTATTCGAGCACAGGGACGACGCAGACTCTATCAGGTCCGGTCGTAGCGTACCTTGACCCAGCAGTACTTGGTCTTCCCTGCAAAGATAAGAGAGGTTTATTAGTTTGATATGCTAATTTGAACCTTAATTTGCAAGTATGGGAGAGCCAAGTTTCGGCACGAATGGGTCAGCTCGATCGGAGTGATACCATGGCCTCACAAAAAAACACAAACACAGCGTTGTGTTTCGCCATGTGAGTGAGGTTACCAAAGGGTCACAAATAATAAAATTACCACTAATAATAATATCCGGAACCCTTATCCCCAAAAGGCAGACGACGCACTCGTAACTCCTTTAGTGGCGCCGATTGCTTACCATTAGGTAATACGCAAGCTCGTTTGCCGACCTCATAAAAATAGCAGGAGATGCACCTAACTATTAATGCCCGGTTCCTATATTTAACGAATCGTCGTTGTATACACATTTAATGTGTATACAACGACGATTCGACGAGATAACTATTCGTAATGTCATTTGCTCGTAATACGAGCAAATGACATTACGAATAGTTATCTTGACCGTCTACTGACGGTTAAAATATTTATAGGAACACCACAGACACCATAGATCTCCATACAATTCGCTTACCGACATCCGTTAGTTGCAAACCGTCAGTAAGTTGCACGACGAGACGTTTGTTATAGGAACGGTTTTAGCATACGAGTCATATATAAAACTACTATTCGTAACTAAAACAGATCGTTTCTCAATTATAGGAACCGGGCATAAAAGGAACTATAATATACTTGGTGTACTTGTTCAGGTATTTTTTATTTTATTAAATTTAGTAAGGTTACATACTGCAAGTTGAGGTCATGTACAGCCTGCTCTGCGATACGTATGAAGACGTCCCCGATGATCTTCCGCTTGTCCTCGGGCGCCGCGGTTTGACACAGGAGCCCCGTGTGCCGCGACCGGCCTCCCGCCTCGCGGACTACCGTGCTGCCTTGCCGGAACTGTACCAGACATTATCATAATCAAACATTCTATTTTGTACATTTTATAAGTACAATAATACACAACAACGACAATGCTAGCCTATCATGAAATAAGTTTTTTAAAAGGCGACATATTTCATATAATCTAATATAATTTTTACGTGTACTTTCTAGTTTATATTGTATACTTGGAAGATGATACATACAACTATCAGTCTGTCCTGGCTATATTTATAGCAAGAAATATTGTCTATGTTCCTCAGGTCGAACGAAGGAATTCCAAGGTCTAATTTATTCATTTAAATTTTTTTATCTGCTATATAATGTTAGCGTAGAAACCTCTTTAAAAATCTTATATCTGTAGTGTAACCATCAATAAGCTCAATAAGAGTATGAAAAAGGGAATATACCTGATGTGCAGCGTTGACAACATGTAAACGTACGCCGAGCTCTCTGAGACACCGCTCCACCTTAGCACTCTCGTTCTTACGCATGAAACCTAAGTAAAACATACTCTAATGAATACATATTAATATAGGCACAGGTTACAAAGGAAAATTACGATGATTTGTTGATCAACAATTTATACACTTTTGAATAGATGCCAAAATGTGATGTGTACATCCCGTACCTACCAAAATTGATAAAACAGATTATTCTTTTTTAATTCACTGCACCCCAATTCATAATAGTGAATTTAAAGATTCGTGTCATCTTTAAATGGTACATTTTAAAAATTTTGATATGTACGAATCTTGATGAAGTGCTGTGATGAAGTTCAGATCTTAATATCATAATATAGTTGACTATATTTTAAAAATATCAACTTACCGTTGTCAATGTGTAGAGCGATGACCTGATCTTCGCGGAGAGCGGTTCTAAGCAACGCCGCGCACACTGTAGAGTCCACGCCACCGCTTACTAACACCTGCTCAACCAAACCAATATATCGTTATATTTTTTAGTAACCAAAAAGCCAATAATTTATTGTATTATTTCATATTTTTGAATAGATATTGTTAACTCATAATTATAGTTGATTTACTTGATTTAAGTAGCAAGAATAGCTGATAAAAATGTAAATATAATTAGACAATCAATTACATAAAATTAAGAATCAATAAATAGACAGAACAATGTACTTTCAACTTGAAAAGCAACTTAATTGGTTCTATCATTTCTAAGCACCGATTGCATAATTTTGAATGAAGATCACTCTTAGTGATCGCAAAACTCAAACAAAACAGTATAACTTAAATCTTTAAAATTACGCAATGGATTTTGATGCGGTTTTTAACAGATACAGTGATTGAAAAGGTAGGTTTATAATGTATTATAACATCCATTAAGTACTGAAGAAATTTAGTATCAGCACAGCACCCTTGCGAAGCCGGGGCGGGTTGCTAGTAACATATATTCTACTCACAAGAACTTTATTGTCTCCAACAGTTTCCCGTATATAGTGTATGCAGGCCTCGCGACGTGATCGCAGCGTGAAGGAGCGCGACAGGCCCGCGATGTCAAACAAAAAGTTTGACAACATCTGCTTGCCTTTAGGCGTTAGGTCCACCTGAGGAGGAAACAAGATTTATAAGTAAGTGTATTAAATGATTAGATATTGGACATGTTAGTGTAGATTTATGGAACTGTAGAGATTGAAATGCTGCAGTCTAATAAATTATCAGATAGATATCTGCAGGTGTGGGAGAGCCATGCTTCAGCACGAATGGGTCGGCTCGACCGGAGTGATACCACGGCCTCACAGAAAACCGGCGTGAGACAACCACAGCGTTGTGTTTCGCCGTGTGAGTAAGGTTACCGGAGGTCCAATCCTTCCCCTCCCCCGATCCCTCCCCAATCCCTTAATCTACAACACATTAATCCCTAAGAGGTCGGCAACGCACTCGTAACTCCTCCGTTGTGGGTGTCCATGGGCGGCACTGATTGCTTACCATTAGGTAATCCGTCTGCTTGTTTCGCGGTCTATTACATAAAAAAATAGATGTTTCTGTCAATTAGGCTAGTAACGATAATACCACGTGAATAAAGTTTGAGGGGTTAATAGCTGAAAAAGAAAATTGACCAACACCTTTTCTGTTTCTGTTCATCTCATTTACAGTCTGCATATAAATAGAATGCGGTTATTTAGGTTTTTGCTGTTAAATTTTTATTAAAAGCAAAAAGTATTTTAACTCTAATTATCTAGTGTTATACATGATGTCTTCACAAATATAGTAATGGTCCATTTTAAAGTCTTGAGCAGTTTCTAAACACAATTCAAAATATTTTACCTCAGGATGAAACTGCACGCCATATAACCGCATCTGTTCATTGTATATAGCAGCAATGAGGTGGTTGGAGGACTGAGCACCGACACGGAATCTCTCGCCGACCTTCTGCACGCTGTCTCCGTGAGTCAGCAGAACCGGCTGAAGCTTTTCCAGGCGACTGACAACAAAAAATTGAAGCTGGTACAAAAAAATAAAAATAGATGTTGATTTCTGGAAAATGATTATGAAGGTACGTAAAGAGATTTGGATATCTTAAAGTTCTTACAAAGACTGTGAATTTTAATCTTTTGTATTATATGAAGTTTGAGGATACTTTTCACTTTCATACAAGCATTACAAATTCAGAAAATATACTTTTTTAAAGAAAAAAGTTCCTAGAATTTTCCTTTGTGTCGTGCTTGTGTTTGCAAACATACATAGGACAACGGTTTGAGGTTTACACAAACAGTTGTTCCATACGGGAATCGAACCCCCGACACGGCAGCCGGTTTCCCAACTATCGTGTCAACTATGCAATAAGTATTACCAAATTATTTTCAAATGATGTTATCAATAATTATGTCATCTATTAGCTACTGATAGGACGCTGTCAGTAAATATGAACTCACTTGAACAATGGACATGTAGTTTCCACTTCGACCTCGTACTGGCCGTCCTCGCGAGCCTCCTTGCGCAGCACGGAGCCTCCGAACTCCTTATTCAACATCTGCATGCCGTAACATATACCTAGGTCGACAAATTATTTGGTTAGATTACATTAACACTATCGTCATAACAGGTAGGTTCTAAATAAAACCTATTTAACCCCCGCCTCTATAAGAGGGGAAGCCACACATGCCGCTTAAAGAATAGAAGAAAGAAATAGACAATGTTGCAAATAATTGTAATAGCTACTTATATTTTATAAAGTAACTCGTATTTATTGTTCCTAATTGGCGAGTATTGTTTCTTAATTTACTCTCATTATGTACATAAATATTTACAACTCGCCGTGGATTTATTTTCGCAATCTATATACTTATTCCTATTAGAATATTAATGACTTCTAAAATATTCTAATAAGAACCAATCTACGCCGAAACAGTCATTCAATACAGGTTTTTTCACCTTATTAAATAAAGCCATTTATACTTGTATAAGTACCTACTTTTGTTCAAGGCAATTTTTATCCCATTAAAACATTAATATGAAAAAATATAAAGAGGTAAAATTTGTAAGTTTGTATGGAGGAAGTAATCTTTGAAACCGATCGCTGGTCGTCTCACTTTGTTAGATCTTGCGAATTCCAGAAAACAAAAGTTTCGTCATAATAAAACTTGAACTTGCGAAGGCTATATTTAAATTTGGAGCACATGTGTTTCACAGAAGCCTCAATATATAAGCCACGTTTATGTAAAATAGTTTCGAGTTATGAGGAGGTCGAATGTGCCTCCAATTTGTTCGTGTAATACACAGGTAAGTTAATTATACCACGAGGTGAGGTTAAGAAAACTTCAATATATTGTAGAAAAAAATTAATGATTTTAGCAACAGTGAATCAATCAATAATTACAACAAGAACAGTACTACTTTCTGTGTATAATTGCATCTATTCTATTTACATAATGACAATAGAAATCTAATATCGTAGCGTGACAGACTGACAGACATGTGATTTGTTAAAAACATTTATACAATGACATGACTCTGTTCAATATATGTGGCACACAGAGTATAGGATCTCTTATAAGAAAATACCTGTCATAAAACACACAAACGAAATCGAAGAAAATCTAGATAATTTAGTGTTTTATCTTTATTTTTATCAGTCAAAGTATGTATGTACAAATGAGTAAAGATTTCCCGTCAAGGGGATATCGGCCTAAAGAGATAATTCAAAATGTTAATCAGTTTGCAATCGGAACAAGCCCGCCACAACCTCTCAAAATCGCTGCAACTCCTGTAAGCCAGGATCTACAATTGATACAACCATGAAAAACACCGAAACACTGAAGTCCAGCGTTCCAGGGACATGAAAGACTGTCTTGGATCCCGCAACGAAATAAATCAGAAAATATTATTTGGGAAGTAAAAAAACTAAATACCTAGTTTCCTCTCCCCTCGGTAAGACAGAATGACTTTGGCCTTTAAGGCACAAATAATAAAAAAATTATTATTAAAAAAACAAAATACCCGACTGCACACTAAAAAAAGAGTAAAACAAGCCCCACAATACAAATTTACTGAATATAATTTATAAATGTTGATGGAAAGCATCGCAGGCGGGGACCAACAGAGGCTTATTTATAGTCATTTCTGTTGTGCACCATTTAGCAGAATTTTCGTTGGTGGCGGTCAAGGTGGTCCCCGCCTGCGATGCTTTCCATCAACATTTATAAATTATATTCAGTAAATTTGTATTGTGGGGCTTGTTTTACTCTTTTTTTAGTGTGCAGTCGGGTATTTTGTTTTTTTAATAATAATTTTTTTATTTATAACTTTTTAGCTGTTTTTATTTAACGAAAATGTTGTAGATGTATTATGTCTTTATCCCGTGGGACTTTTAGGATAAAATGTATCCTATGACACTCCCGTTATCAAGACAAATCTAACGATACCTCATACATCAAAATCCATCAAGCCGTTTAGGCTACAGGAGGTCACAAAGGAAAAGACATACATACATACTTACATACACTCGAAAAACATTACCCTCCTTCTTTGGCAGTCGGGTAAAAACAGTAAATTTGTACAACTTTAATCAGTTTATCAAAATTCTTTAATACAATAAAGTGTCAAATAAATATCCACCTTTTAAAAGCGACTTACACGCAAAAAGAGCATTCATCCCCGGCCATTTTAACAAGCACGAAGCTTGCACGCGACTATGAATATTCTTTAAGTAGAATCGTTTTAACTGAATTACCGTAATTATACAAATTACTGTCTGGCACTCTTGCAATTGAATTTAACAATTATCGCGGTACAATGATTGTATGTTTTATTGCAAAACCTTAACTTTTATTCTTTATCAAATCATTTTCCTTTAGTTTCGTGAAATTAATCAATTTTATAACAATGCCTAGTTCGCAATGAGAAGACTAATTAAACTAGTGCAGATAGATGTAAGCAAGTAGAAATGCATATTGTTTTTCCCCTAAATCTTATAATTGAGGGTAGCAAGATGCTGGATAGACAGCTTAGGACTTTTACGAGGCATTGGTGGAAGACCATGTTTTAAATTCTGTAATTGAGTCAACAATACTAATTGCTAGCTGAATGCCAGTTCAAACGTTTAAATACTGATTCCAAGTACTGACCTAATACCGGCAAGCCGATCTTGAATATATCGGAGTCGTATCTAGGTGCATCTTCAGCGTACACAGAGTTGGGCCCCCCAGAGATGACGATGGCGCGGTAGCCGGCCTCCTTGAGGTGGTAGGCTGGCGTGTCCAGAGGTAAGATATCCGACTCCACACATAGCTCGCGGATACGACGATCTATAACCTGTTAAAATTGAGAAGTTCAGTTATATTTCAATGATTTATAACAAAGGAGAGATACCGCGGCCTTACTGTAAAACGGCGTGAAACAACGCTTGCTGTATGTTTTGCTGTGTGAGTAAGCTAATCGGAGAATTATTCGTTCGTGATCGACACTTTTTTGTTCTGGGTCTGTGGTTTATGATCAATGTGTGAAAAATAAATTATTGATATAATGCGTCAACCATAAATGGTACACAGTTGGCATTAGTACAATACAATATAGGGATATTTAAATGAAGATCCGAAAGTGTAGTATAGCTATGGTAGGACTTCTCCGCCTCGTTATTGGGCGGGGGTTTAAATCTGTAACTATGAGCATTATTTTAGGGATGGTGTTATATACATATAGGTAGACTCCGAATAGCCGCTATGTACCAGATAAATCTATACTGGTTCGAAATGAACTATTCTTTTTGTGTTTGTTAGTCCATTTTTCGAGGAGGGTTATTAAACATCACGCTACGATCTGAAGGAGCCGAGCAGCTGGCAAGACTGAAGGTTAGCTAATCATTGGACTATATGGAATTTTATTTACAGTGCATGTATGTATGTTGAAAATTATTTCTAGTGTAGGCAAGAAACAAAAGAATTAATTTGAAATGCCCCGAGTGTCACTTAGCCAACGATAACAAATAAAAATAACCAAGTTAATGTACGATATCAAAATTAATTTGTTTCCCTTATTTAAACGATTTGTTTCTATGATAAAGTACCTAATACCTTTAAAGTAAAACAATGCCTTTTAGTATTTTAAACAGTTATAATTCTATAGCCTAGGTAGAGTTTGTGATTTAAGACTGGTGGAAGTCCTCAGTAACAACAAGGAATCTGAAGTTTCCGAAGATTGTATAGCTACCTATCTACTTAGAATAAGTAAAATAATTCTGAGTAGATCTAAACAAAAATTTTCTATACTAACGGCCGAAAAAAAAACTAATCTTAGTGTTTAGGTGTAGGAGAGCCATGCTTTGGAACCTACCGGAGTAATACCACGGCTTCACAGAAAACCGACGTGAAACAATCCAACAGATGAATATTGATTACGAAACCAATTGAAAAAGTTATGCAAACACGATTATAACTATTTTCAGTAACTATACAATCGTATAGGTCGACCAAATCATTATGAAATATTTCTTGGCACAATTGATTAGCTGACATTGACCTAAGCTTCCTTGATAAACGTGATAACATATTCTTGGGGGCATTATAATTGAATAGATTTATGTAACAACTAATTAATACGAATAGTACAATAAAAACCGATTAGTTATAGAATAAGAATCACTAATTACTCGACAATCGCAATAACAACCAAGGAGACAATCTACATTTTTACAAATACTTATATTTATAAAGGATCACGCCGTTGGTATGTCACAGACGTCCTGTCAGATTTAAGAAGAAGGAATGGCCACGTTCGTAAGCTCGACTTACACTGTGGTAAGTGGCCTGCTCATAATCTTCTTACATATAAAAATGGATCGCAAAATGTGTTGGTAAGCGCATAACTCAACAACGGCTGGACCAATTTTGTTAATTCTTTTTTGGTTGTGTTTGTTATTGTCAGGAGAAGGTTCTTATCAAAGAAAATATTAGAAAAGTGGAGGGGAAGACCCGTGCGCAGAAGGGGCGGGTCGCTAATAATATGATATAAACATGAAAATCCAAGTCTGTACTTATTGATATACACATTTTGTATGTATGCTTCATTAGGATATCTTGAATCCTTATCTATTCAAGTCCTAAGGGAAACTAAACTTGTAAAATCAATTTATTCTTGATGTTGTTTTATTTACCTTTCCATATTGAGAGCCAGCATCCAATATTGCGACTTTGTCACGTCCATGTGTGGCACCGTTGGTACTCCGGAACTGCCCATCTGCAGTGGCTGTGTGCATCTCGCCGACTCGCCAGCAGCACTAAATGAAAAACAATAAATGATTTTATTATATAAAGAACGTCTTTCTATAAGCAATTTCACACAATGATTGCAGTGAAAAGTAAGGGCACAAATTGACGGCCGAACTGAACCGTACCGTCACTAAAGTCGGACTCGGAAGGTCTAGAAGTTACGGTACCATAGCGAACGTGCGACAAATCGAATATGGTCCGGCAAATACAAGGAACGGTTCGGTATGTTTGTCTACTAGTATTTCACAGGCTTAATTAGATTCAGTTGATCGTATATAACATACGATCTTCTTCCCATCTAAATGTACTGCAAGCACATTCTTGGCATTCATATGTTTTTAAAGCAGCTAAGATCAAACTGCATTTTCTGTTACTTGAATTTTATGTGTTCGAAATAGAATATTATTTGTCTAAGGGCAGATTTTCCAATAGTCAGATAAATGTTATCTGAGGAATAAAATTGTTGCTGTCACTGTCTTATACAAACATTCTGACGCGACAGCATCATAAATATTCCCTAAGTAACTTATATCTAACCATCGAAAATTGAGCCCTAAATAAGATATCACTAAATTATGGTGAAGGCAAACATTTATTTTCTAAGAGGTGAGCACAGACATATAAAAAAGAACTTATAAGACAATAAATTTGAGGCTGAAATGGAAATTTCCAATTAGAAAGGACTCTCATTTTATGAGAAATTCGAGTTCGCAGCGATAATTTGGCGCCAAAATGAAAATATAAATGAGACACAAACAAAGAGGTAGATGACATTATCTAAATGGTGTTAATACAGAGTATTAAATAAAGTACCTATGACTAATGAAAATAATTTCATTTCCTTGTTATTTTTGTTCTGGCTGGTTCAGTGACCTTCTACAGTTTATAACACAAAGATCTTTATTCTCTGTCTTAACCATAACAAACATATTTTTGCTAATTAGACATGAACATAAATATCAATAAAAACTAAACTATAAAACATTGTATTCATCATTATCATCGGCCTATAAGTGTCCACTGCTGAGCAAAGGCCTTGTCTGACACGGACAAGATTTTGGGCATTAATCACCACACTTGCTAAAAACAAATTGGCGACTTCAAACTTATAGTAAGAAATAATAAGCCCAGGTTTCCTTCACTGTATGTGTGGTAAATCTAAACTATATATATATCAGCACTTGTCCTTAATGGCATATAAGTTGAAAGCACTAGGTACTCCATATCAGTGACTAATGATTGCTGATTAAATGCACTCTGATGATAAACCTATTTGCTCAACTAACCATAACCAATTGTGTGTTTTGTGAAAAAAACTTTAACTTATTTTAATGTAAGTATAATATTTATTGTTTTAATGTAAATTTAAAAACAAAAACATTTATGTTTCATGATTAAGACAATTTGCTCATGTTAATTTGATTTTCTATGTCTATTTTAGCAAGAAAAATATGAACACACTGATGTTACCTAGTTACCTTGAAGAAAAAGTTCCTAAAACCAAACATTACAATGCAAAAAACACAAGTCCACTGTACAATCACAGATATTTATCAAACACATTGTCACACAGAGCATATCTTGCCAAAAACAAAAACTATTACAAAATTCCATGTCACATCACTACGATAAATTAATTGCAATATTTAAAATTAAATTGATAGTAAGAACTCTTTGCACTAAAACTGTGTTGTGCTTTCATTAGTCTACGTTGTCAATGGTTATTTATAGAAAGCATCCCACGTGAAGTGTAATGTACATACAAACACTTTGTGATGCATCTATAGTAAATTTTAGCAACAACAGTGTCATATGCATTCTTCATATTTATGTACTCATTCTGATATTTATATAATGCACTATTTAGACTAGTTTATTTGTAGATTGATATTGATTTGACATAATCGTGACCCACTTTTTTAAATATTGTTATATTGATAGCCACTGATAGATTGTGTAAACAGTTAACCAGGTGCTTTGTAAGATTAAAATAAAAAAAAAATAGGTTTCATTGATGAAGTTATTACTACGGAGGTTGACAAGTGAGTTAGGCAATTTGAATGATGGCATTATTTACAGTAGAAGAAATTAAATATAGGGATAATCAGATCATAAATTATGCATAAATCAATCAATCATACATGTCCACCAATATCTTATTGGTAAATGATAAAATAAATAATCAAGATGATAGTGATACACATTTATGTACATAACCATTTAAAAATACGCACCAGATGTTTAGAAGTGTACGGACCGGAGCCCAATAGTTTTAAAACTACAAAATATTCCCAAATGTAAGGTTAAACAAATAGGGTTATCAAAGTTACACATTTCTGATAAGAATCCACTAAACAAAATTAATAAACTACTGATGTAATAAACAATACGTATTGTTTATCGCAACGCACCACAAGAACACAAAGACGCGTTGCGTAAATTAATAAATATTTTTTAAAACAAAGAACATTGCTTTACTCACTTTCCTGAGAATGCAAAACATGGCAATGTCACGCCATGGAATTCACATATTATTTTCGAAATAAGATGATCTACGACTGATCGATAACATTAAAGATAACGTTAAGATAAAAAACCAAGATTTTTATTGAAAAACTAAAATCGAATGCCAATCACATACCGGGGACATCAGGCATTCGGTCGTGCTAACTTACCGCCTATATTTTTAATTGCGCGTGTAGAAGAATAAAGCTATTATTCAATGTGTAATAAACGTGGCTGACTAAGCGTAAAAAAGCGCGTAATAGAATGAAAATGTTTAATGAAACCGGGCTTTGACATAAGGTTTTGGGTCATAACCGGAGGGACGAATTGAAGCAGCCATTACTTTTGTTCTAAATTATATTCTATTCGAACAAAATTCTGATTCATAGTTTTTCACTTACCTAAAAGAAAATATTCGCTAATTCAGAAGAATATGATCATGGAAAACACGTAAAAATGTGATTCTCCATTCAGCACTACGAATACAAAATTTTAGTACTGATTTCAGCTGTCAGGTGGCGCACCGTACATAACATTTGTCAAAGCATTCACACATCATTTTTATCTTATTAGAAATAGATAAAATTTTGTTGAGTTATTATAAATATTGCTATTACGTGAATTAAATAATGCCATAGTTTGATATTCAGTTATAGCACAATAAATAAATAATTAAAAACTCTATAAAATAGAAATTAGTGTTTAATTTAATTTAATTTGAACGCGTTGTTAAATTTGCTTGTCATCGTTAGTATGATTCTTTTTACAAGTTTTCCAAAGAGAATATTTTAAATAATTGTATTTATAATTATGTCCAATTCAACTCAATCTTAATATTAAGACTAACTTAAACATATATTTTAATACCACGTTTAAACCCAAACATATTCTGTTACAAAAATAAGCCATATTTCTTCTTTTATTTTACTTTGATATGCTGCGTAAAACTGAAAGTTTGTTTATACGTTCCATTACATTACGACTTCATTCCGACGTTATGTGGGTATTGTCACATTTGTAATACTGAAAACGTGAACTCGCTGAACTCAAATGGTAGAAAGAAACGGTGGAAACATTGATTTGATGACGGACGAGAAATCGTCTACTTGATTAGTAAAAGATTATTTTAGAAAAACATTAATCCAAGTAACCGAAAATGCCGGACCATTTAGGAGACGATATGCGTAAACTCAAGGATGCGCCAGAAGAACCAGAAAAAGAGATTAAATGTAAGTAGTAATCCTTTGTATTACTGCCCATTCCATGAGTTTACTTATAGTATTTATAGAAAAATAACTTGAATCTTTGAATATTCTTTGTTGCAGCACTCGATGAAGGCGATATAGCTCTATTAAAATCATACGTAAGTGGATTAATAGTATTTATGAAAGTAACGAAAGGATGTTGATGACTGGCATTTTTTGATATCTTTTTTCGTATTGTAGGGCCAGGGACAATACACGAAAATTATCAAGGAGGTCGAGGAAGGTATACAGACTGTGATGAAGAGGGTGAATGAATTGACTGGTATTAAAGAGTCTGACACTGGTTTAGCCCCACCAGCCCTGTGGGATCTAGCAGCTGACAAGCAAACGCTTCAGAATGAACAACCCTTACAGGTATAGTAGAACTTGTAATGATATTTTTTCCAGTTGGAGTATTGACTAATATTTTAACCTTTATCATGAAAATAAATAAAACCTTTATTGTAGATTTAGCCTTTACAATTTACACTATATTTTACTCATCAGTCATCAGTGTGTGCTCAGACACATAGGCCTCATCTTAATGAGAACAGCCAAAAACAGAGTTAAATGGAAGAGGTTCATCTGAATCAGAGTCAGAAGGTCCTCTAGAGGGGGATCCTCTTTAGAACTGCTGTCCTAACTAGGTCATTAGCCCATCTTTGAAGCTATTGCATATTAAATCTTTGTTGTACTCAATTTCAAAGTCTCATTGTTTGTTTTGCTTCAAAATGTCACAATACAAGTTACTAAGCTTATGTTAACTTGCAATTGTCTTCAATGCAATAAGTTAAAGTAATCCATATCAGTATTTTGTCCCAAACTAGTAACTTATTCCAATTAATGTATGACTAAACCATTTCACTGCCACAACAAAATTAATTATTCAGTAAATAAGTTGCCGGTGAAGTAATTAAACAGGTGCTAACAAATTCTTCAAATTTGATCGCAGGTAGCGAGATGCACAAAAATCATCAATGCGGACTCAAATGATCCGAAGTATATAATCAATGTGAAGCAGTTTGCTAAGTTTGTTGTGGATCTTGCAGACTCGGTCGCTCCTACTGATATTGAGGAGGGAATGAGAGTTGGGTGAGTTTTAAATTTTTATATTTGATTCTTGTTTAAGTTTGTCTGTTTTGATATAAGGTTTTTTTTATTGAACTCTAGATAGGTTTTTAGTGAATTGATTTTAATTTCGCTGTATGCCTCGCTGAGTTATATGAGTTGCTAATGCTTTTAGTAATAGTCTTGCCCATTGCCCTTATTAGACAGGCAGCTTATTATATTTTTGTTTTTATATTATGCAATGAAATTATTTATGGAATCTACAGTAGAGAAAAATTTGTTGCTACTTCTTATTCAACCTCTTACATTGTATTTGACTTCAAAACAAGAAGCATTACATTAATAAACAAAAAGGAAACAATAAAAATGAAACAAAATTAGTTGATAATAATTATAATTAAAAAAACAAATTCTCTGAATCTATTATTATTCAAGACAAAGTCATAGAGAATAATATCTATAGTTAAAGAAAAAATCCATAAATAATCTCACTAGTCTAAAAGTTAATATACAGAAGGAGGGCTATTCACTAATGGTTGTTATAAACATTAACATCTCATATAAACAAACCACTCCTAGAGCATAGTATGTAAGGTTCATTGTGCAAGTCTCATATGATTAAGCTTCATATCAGATTATTACCTTGAATCACATATATAATATAATGTTTGTAGTCGAAACTAGTTATAATTCATCTATAAATATATACCTACTATATAAGTAAATAAATAAAACATATGAACAAAATGTATTTCCACCCGAAACTGACTGCATTGAATTGTATAATTCTTTTATTGGAGTGTTTATTATTGTTAAGATGAAGTTTTTAAACAGAAGCACCTAATGCAATTACTGGGAACACTAGGCTTATCATATAAGTCCACTGGGACAGACGGAAACTAAGCAAAGCTGGCGCAGGAGGGGACAGACACAAGTTATTGAAACCTCATCATGATAAATATTGAGTTACAATGGACTCCTTCGATCCGGAAAAAAGTGCCCAGGCCAATGCATCTATTACTTTATGTAGTTTGCAACTGTAATATATTATATAAAATTATAAAAAATCTTAAATAATGTTAAAAATTACCTAATCACTTTTATATTTTCTTTATTAATATTATAATTAAAAAGAGTTTTAATAACTATTGCTTCATTTCTACCAGTGTGGACCGCAACAAGTATCAGATTCACATTCCATTGCCACCGAAAATAGACCCGACAGTAACAATGATGCAGGTCGAAGAAAAGCCTGATGTGACTTACAGCGACGTAGGAGGTTGTAAAGAACAGATTGAGAAGCTCAGGGAAGTCGTGGAGACCCCATTGTTACATGTAAGCTCATATAATTTTATATTTAAGAGACAGACAGGGAAAATTCTATATTTTCTATATTTTTTACTTTGTGAAATAGTATGAATCATTTGTCTTAAAATATTGATACCAGTAGAATATTGTTAGCTAAAACAGATTTTCCATTATTTGACTCCTGGGCTTCTTGCATGCCACGATTTATCCGGAGAAGTTGTTATGTTTTTCATTTGTGTAATTTAATTGACAATAAAGTCTAAAGATATCCGAGATTACATATAGATATTGTGTATTAAAAAATATTACTATGTATTCTTAGTATTGATACAGGTAAACTTATTGCTTTATTTTGTTTACAGCCTGAGAAATTCGTCAAGCTCGGTATTGAGCCTCCTAAAGGTGTGTTATTGTTCGGGCCTCCTGGTACTGGCAAGACTTTATGCGCAAGAGCAGTCGCCAACAGAACTGATGCCTGCTTTATCAGAGTTATTGGTGAGTTTTCTCAAAAAATACAGATTGCCCCTGTACCTTTATGTTAACAAGATAATTATTAAAAGTGACTCTTAAACAAATATGTACTCTAAAAATGCTGAATACTTACGTCTGTAACCACGGCTTTATATCTATAAATGTCAAACTTGACATTTATTATAATGACAGATGTCAGTGGTGTCTAGATCGCGCTAGTAAAGTTTTCAATGAGCCATGGACACGTAGCTATATTCAAGTTCTTTATGAAGTCACCTTATATGAATGGCGGGCACGACCGACTGCTGCGTTTCATAGCATGGGTTCGATTCCAGCATGAAACAATCGTCTATCTATATAGACATATCTGAATAGACATTTTGATAGTTTCTTAGTTATTTTCGGGGAGTTAAGAAAGAAAATTGTTCATAAGCTTAAACAACTTTCTGATACGCCTCCCCTATATTAAAACTAGCGATGAACAACTTTGTCAAATTAAGTTCATTGACAGAGCTACATGTTGCCATACATTTTATTTGTTTCTGCGAAATATCGAATATATACCACCTGTGTATATTTTAAGAAAATTACATGATTTTTAAAAGAATCTAATCACATATTAAGTACTTAACTACATATAAGTAGGTACATAGTAGTACATGCATAACCAAACATACTACAACAAAATCATAATAAATATATACCTTCACATATACTTAGGCGTATAGGCGCCACAGCCTGGGTTTTATTGTATATGTCATTTATATGTTTAAAACTGATTTTGAGACAAAAAAACTTTAATTTAACGTATTAAGTATCCTGTGGATATGCCTGTGTAGGCTTTACCTGCCTAGATATAAATATATTTGTGATCGTTTTTAAGGATTTCTATATATTTTTCATCTTTATTTGATTAGGTTCGGAGTTGGTGCAGAAATACGTAGGAGAGGGTGCTCGTATGGTCCGCGAATTGTTCGAGATGGCGCGAAGCAAGAAGGCCTGTCTTATTTTCTTTGATGAAATTGATGCCATTGGTGGTGCCAGGTATGAATATCTCAAGTTGTCCACAAATAAGTGTATGAAATTTTCATAGTAATGAAAGAATAACTGCACGATTGGTAAGGTGGTTGGGCAACTGGCACTGGTGCAACGTGTGGCGGGTTTTCGCACGAAATTAATCTCGATCCACAAATTGTTGTTCCGCAAAATCAAAGAAAATCATAATGAGGGGCAACATTTACCTTAACAAAAAAAAAAAGTGCTTCTTTGATCCCTTAAACTGCCAATCAGATAAGAAATATATATTTATTTCAAATATCTGGCTAAAATATTTGCAATTTTATTTGCAATTATTTTAAAGAAATATAAAATACTAGCTACTCTCGCGCGGTTTCAACCGCTGCTCGGCTCCATTTAATTGTAGCGTGATGTTTTATAGCCTATAGCACTCAGGCTACTCATTGTAGCTATCTATCAGTGAAAGAATTTTGGCAATCCGACCAACGGTTCCAAAGATTACTCAAGATTATTTATAATATTAGTACAGAAGTATAGATAACCTTATTTTATATTTATGCTCTAGACTAGACATATCTTACGCAATAGAATAAACCTTTAGGAAAATGCTGTTGTATTTTCTGTGGGAAAACTTTATCACTCTAAACACTTGAATGCTTAGGTTCGACGATGGCGCTGGTGGCGACAACGAGGTCCAAAGAACTATGTTGGAGTTGATCAACCAACTCGACGGTTTTGATCCTCGTGGTAACATCAAGGTTAGTACAGGAAACAAATTATTTAATACAGTCCTTTGATTTTATTTAGCGAGTTCAACATTGATGATGTCAAAACTTAGACTCGAGTTACTAAAAATACTGATAAGTATATAAGTTTCAGTTTTCTCACATAACCATATTTTAATAATTTATTGGATGAAGTGTTGAAGTATTATGTACCTTTTTCGAATTTTTGATTTAACGAATTGTCATCATCTCCGTTCATAAGGGATAGTAGTTATTTATGAATTACAAAGAAATCAATGTCTTAAACACACAAGCATTGAGTACATTTTCCATTTAAATTACATGTTAATTTCTTTCTCCTCTCTTCAGGTTCTGATGGCCACGAATAGGCCAGATACCCTGGACCCTGCCCTCATGCGTCCAGGTCGTTTGGATCGTAAAGTGGAGTTCGGTCTTCCAGACCTTGAAGGTAGAGCTCACATCTTTAGGATCCACGCCAGATCTATGAGCGTGGAAAGGGACATCAGATTCGATCTGCTGGCTAGACTTTGTCCTAACTCTACTGGAGCTGAAATTAGGTATGTTTTGAATTTTAATATTTTATAATAGTAACTATCGTGTAATATACTAAATTTATAGAAAATATGACGAGCACACACTCATAAATTCACGCAAATAGTTTTTCTCAGGTAATTCACTTGAGTAAGTCGTTATTTTCAATATATTGTGTACTAGCAGACCGCCCCTGCTTCGCACGGGTATCCGACTACTCTGGTCTCAGTCATTTGTTTTGCAAGCAAAGCGAAGCGCAAGCGAACGGCCACGGCACCGAAATGGTTGTTGATTCCCGCTATTCCCCTTTATTTTACCCAAAGTTTTCTTTCGTAAGAAACTTTTTAAGAAATTTTACGTATAAGAGATTTTTTCCCGATTATATACCAAGGGACCCGGGCCCAAGCCCGCTTATTGTAATAGTATATCCCCGCCCCATGAGTCTAGCACTATACCTAATGGCGAAGTATCGTTCCAATTACTATAAAGTTTTCTATCTTATTTGTTGTTTATATTGATATTCGAATCTATAGTTTATTAATATAATTTAATTGTTTCACCAGGTCGGTATGCACCGAAGCGGGCATGTTCGCGATCCGCGCCCGTCGTAAGGTCGCCACAGAAAAGGACTTCTTGGAGGCAGTCAACAAAGTCATCAAATCCTATGCCAAGTTCTCAGCAACACCACGCTACATGACTTACAACTAAATCAATGCCTTATAAATTAGTATTTTAGTGCATTCTCCTTTGTAAAAATCATTAGCTCTTACGTCTAATTGATTTTGCAATGGTAATGCATTTGAATGTAACGGATTTTCATTGTGCATACAATTTGGTTGGACACAAATTCGTGCATAATTTTATCCTATAACTACTTAGATATTGTATTTGAATAATTTCTAATAAAATTTATTGTAAAATTGTATTATTTTTTTATTATAACCTAAGCAATTTAATACTATTTACACTTATTGACTTTCTGTGGCATCTTCTGGCTGAGTGGCGAGCTAATCTTGCTCGCCGACCGCAGACCCGCGCTTACTGTAGCCGGAGATTGTCGCTCGATTCCCGACTTCCACAGTTGCCTAATGCGGCTTTTGTTTCGTTTGGGGCGTGAGGATAAAGCTCCCTCAAGCGTTCTGCCTTCTTCTTTGCGAGCATCACTGCTTCGCAGAAAGAGGAGACAGCTTCCCAGTCCCTCTCGCTCCGCACCAAGGTCTGGCCAAGCCGGACGCGAGAGGTCGTCGCAGCCGATCACTTTCCTAAGGACACGGCGGTGCTCAGCTCAAGCAGGGCACCCAGCCTCTGTATGCTCCAACGCTCCAGCTTTAGCTCCAGCTCCAAATTTATTATTTTTTGGAAGCTTATTTTAATCTACCTATTGGTATTTAAAAATACCTGATTGAATTGGGCGTTTGATATTATAAAATAGATTTGATAATAATTTTTGTAATCAGAATTTAAAATATCATACATAATGAAGCAAATTTTACGCAAACGAACTTTATAAATGCTCCGCATTATTCATGATTTGAGGGTATATGAAGATTTTAAATAAAATGACCTGTCAAATAAATTGATTAGACGAATATTTATTTTCAAGTGCGGTAATTCCTTAGGTGTTTTACATTAAACCCTTTAAGTTTTGTGTGTTGAATTCTCAGTAATATAATTTGTTATTTTGTTAAATAAAATGTCACAGCCTGTCGTAAACAACGTAAGTACAAATTAATCATACACTTAGTTATTAAATAATGATTTAGTTAATGACATTAACAACTTGTACAGAGATAGTTATTATCTAGGTAGGTAATCTGTACCTACCTATATTGAGTACAATATTAACATTTCTAAATTGTGTTGTGTAAAAGTGATTGGCTTGAATTTTTAATTATGCTGGTGTAGGTACACAGTGCACCTTGCAGAGAACCAGAATAATAAGACGTTCAATTAACAACCTGTATAATTAATGATCAAAAGTCAAAATGTCTAAATCATTTATTTCAATTAGACCACATTAGGCACTTCTCAAGCCTCTTTATAAACAAAAGCAAACGCGCTGCCGCCGCCCATGAACACCCGCAACAATAAGGAGTTATCAGTGATTTTTTGGCCTGCCTGCCTGTTAAGGGTTTAGGGGATTGGGTTCTTTCAAATAAAATTCAAGATGTTACCTACACATATGCTTATAGGAAGCCTACACGGATGTGGTGGAGCTGTGTGCCCTGTTACAATGCTTGGGGTTCAGCGTCAAGTCTTTGGATACTAGCGACGGTAATCTCAGCCAAGATGGAGGCGTGAGGAGTGTTGTTATCAATTGTCAGGTAAAAATAACACCCAAGTAAAGTACCTATACTTATTAATAAATTAGGGTTTTGTTTTGAGTGGGAATGTCATCAAATAACTTCTCACGTTCTTTATGGAGTGAGAGAGAATGTTAGCCACTTTCTTGCATACTATAACGCACCTACATTGCATACCTACGAACGGATAACCACCCTTTTGCTGCTCCGGACCGGGGCCAAGGTAGGCGTCTACCTTATTACTCTAGCAACTCCGGCTAATAAATAGCATCGCGGGGAAATAGGTACCTACTGGTGCTATAATTTCTAATACCGAATAAGTTTGACTTCGTTCAATCCGCATTCAATAAGCATGACTTTTAATGATTAATTTATACATAACGAGTTTCTCAATTCGGTACCTATACTGTGGCAGTAGACTGAGCCTTTATATTACTCATACTATTGATTGCACGGTTGGCGCGGTGACAGGGTAACCGGCTGCCGCTTCGATGCTTGTTCGATTCCCGCACAAAACTCTTTGTGTCATCCACAAAATGTCGTTCCGTGTCTAGGTGTGATGTGTAAGTATGTGAAATTGTATGTTTGTATACCCACGACACAGGAGAAATTCCTAGTGTGGGGACATTATAAAAAAAAACTGTAACATTAGATCTCATACCTAACTTTATTGGTGTAATAAGTGGATTTTGCGCTATAAGTATATTTCTGGAATAGAAAGGCGTTTATTGTGGCGTTATGAAAGACTGATCAGCTGGCGGGGAATTTAGAAGATTTGTCTTGAATGGATCCCGACTTTGTAGATACATTTTAAACCGGGAAAATCCCGTAACGTTCGTCGCGTAACTGGGTGAATTACCTACATAGATATTTACATAAATGTATGTCCGCTCTGATTATAACTTGCTCTGACTCGAGTCTCGAATATTAATTTGTAAAATTCTGATACAATAACACGGATCACGCACTTTAAATTCTGATACTACTGTTCTTGTAACCATTTTGAGTATCTAATACCTGATACTTATGACCTGGTGACTTGGATACTAAGTACCTAATTTTGTTAATAGGTATATTCTAAACATAATGTAGGTATCTACCTATCATACCTTTTGTGTTTAGAAAGGACTGTTGGCTCCTGTTACATGGGACTCATCACCTAACCGATGGAAAATTGATGCTACATTGTTAATAGGCTAAATAATTAGACAGAGAAGGCAATGGCAAGGGCCTGCGGGTAGCTGGCGGTCTCATTGCCACAAAGATAAAAAGCCTTTGTTAACAAAAAATTTCTAGGATCGTTTGTATTTTTTTCTACAAGTAAGAAACGTATGTTACTATAATAATGTAAGAATCTGTGGCATATGTAAAGTTTTTATCACTGTATGTACCTACGCTCATTTTCAGTCATCTGGTCTTCACGTAGTGTTGGAGAGTCCCAGCTTATCCTGTTCCTGTCCTACCGCTGCAAGCCAACAGAACAGCGGGGTTTGGCAGGTGTCTGGCATAACCGGGGGAAAACATTTAGATAAGGTACTGTAGATATTTGGCTAGTTTTACGATATTTTCGCATGTATTATACACCTACACGTCTACCTGCTTGTACCTATGTATTTAGTAGTTAATGACGATCATGCTGAAAAACGTTCATTGATAATCAAATGCTTCCAAAAAGAGAAATGTATTGTGTATAAAAGTAATACCTATGTACTTACCTATTACGACAAATTTAAGATGACCTAATTGCCATCCTTTTTTTATGAGGAGAAAATCATTAGGTAAATGACTTCTCTCGCCTAGGGTTAGAGGGGCTGTTAACTCTTACTGGATAAAACCGCCCCGTTCCTTATTGCGCTTGCCCCGCAGCCTCAGCTGATCTGTAATCCCTAAGGCCTTACCAAGAGTGGTAGTGTGGAACACTCTCCTCTGAGTGAGGGCTTTTTCAATAGTGACTGACTATGTATTTATTTTATTATAATGGCACTTAGTTATGTGTGTATTAAACGACGATACCCATCACTATGCTGCACCTTATATCCACTTTGTTTTAGGAATTCGGATGCTCTCTACTAGGGTCTTTACCAAAGAGTCATCGTGAACGTCTTTCCAAGGAGCTCCATGAGATGATCAGGTGCATAAAGCAACACAATGAATCGGACGCCGATTTGGGAAAAGATGCTATAGCGAATAGATCGGCTAGTATGATTGAACTGAACACTCCTGAAAAACGGTTAGTTGACATCGAGGTATTTCTTCTAGACATTATAACATCTAAGTCAAAACTAGTTGTATGCCTAAAGCTATTTTTAGTAAGGCAAAGTCAGTAGGTAGGTACCTGAGGCGTGAAGAAAAGTACATATACACCTAAAGATAGCTTAACTTATGAGTAGGCATACTCCATCGTAGGTCAGATCATCGCTGACCAACAGGCGATATAAACCCTACATTTCATAAATAATAAACCTACCTAATGTTAATTGAACAGTTAAGTGAACCTACGTTTCACCAAGCCCTACAAATTTTATTTTCAGGGAATTCCCACTGAAAAGCGACACACCAACTCGGTATCGATCTCTGGACACACTGACGGCAGCTAAGAGGAATAACGACCAGCTCCCAGACCCTGGCCCACTGCACAAGGTGGAACATGGTGATGTTTCTGCTGATGGCAGCAAAGAAAAGAAGGTTATTGCCAATTTAAAAATATAGGACTTTCTTTTATTAAGTGTGGCAGAACCGATAGCTTCGTTACGAATGGGTCGGCTCGACCAGAGTCATACCACGGCCTCATAGAAAACCGGTTTGAAACAACTATAGGACTATGTTTCGCCGATTGAGTGAGGTTAAGGCCCAATCTAGAGAGGAGATGAGAAGAGCGGGAGCGCTCTCTCCTCCCCATTCCTTAAACATCCGAACCACTTATCCCCAAAAGGCCGGACACACTCTTAACTCAATTGGTGTTGCGGTTGCCCATGGGCGGCGTCACGGAACAGAAAGAACAGGGCAACGTCGATTGTTTTTTTTTTTAATATTTTTTTTTTAACGTTGCCCCACTTTAGGATTTTCTCCTGTGTTGTGGATGCGTTAACAAACATACAATTTCACATACACAACACACCCAGACCCGAACACGAATTTGTGGATCACACAAAGTGTTGTTCCGTGCGTGAATCGAACTCGCGATACGTTGCACAGCAGCCAGTTTCCCATTCACCGCGCCAACCGTGCAGTCAAACTATCAGTGGTGCTTATCAGGTAATCAGTCTGCTCGTTTGCCGACCTATACCATAAATAAAAAGAAAAAAAAACAGAAACTGGAGCGCCACCACGCTGTTTCATATAACGGTTTCTGTCTATCCTAAAATGTTGATCAAAGATTTTTGTTCTAGCAAATCATGTGCCGTAGACAGAGCACTTACACACTATCTTCAACGCCTGGCAGCGTGCGTCGGCGAAATAAAACTTCAAGGTAAATACGAAATAAAATAATGTTTCTACGATAGTCAAGACGTACTACAATTGGCACAGAAACAAGGATAGGTTTATCCAAGCGAGCTTGTAGAAATAAGGATCCGTTTTCCCAAACACGTTACTTTTTGATCAACGTCTTCTGGGATATAGATCTTAGCCACACACACTTTGCATTTTTGCGCAATCAATTAAGTAGATATTATTTGTTGTTATTGACTTATCGGCAAAACTTTGTCTTTTACATTTTTCAGTCCAATACACACTTCACAAAGCACTCTTCTGGACAACTTGATAGCAGCGGAAAAGGCGGCAGAGGATTTGCATAACAAACTGGTATACGTGATCAGAGAATACGTGGAAGATGGCAAACACGACTCTTCAATGTCCTCGCTGACGCTGGACGTCTCCAAGATTTCATTGCTAAAGGTACAAAATTCCTCGAGAGATATACAAAATTGTGCAATAACAGTCATTAATATAGCAATAATATCATTATTGCTGACATGACCATGGAAGGCGCGGCTCATCTTTGATCAGGGGTTAGACCAATTTGTAACCTTGAGGTTTATTAGTGTGTGTGTGTGTGTGTGTGTGTGTGTGTGTGAATGCGAGATCGAGGGGAACTTTTAGGTGTGTGTAGGTATATTCATAATATTTTTTCATTTTTCAGTGTCCAGATGCTTCCAAAGCTCAATTTTCCTCGAGTCCAAATTTGTCTGCAATGGGTGTTGCCAAAGAAGACTTCAGTCGACTGAAGAGATTTGAAAGTGTCTCAACATCTAATCTTGCTCCTAAGTCGACAGTTGCTAAAGAGAGCAAAATAACATCCAGACTACGCCGTATTTCCCCTAATCTTTTTAAAACGAAGAAAGAAGCTCCCGGTGTTAAGACAGACAAGGGTAAAACGCCGGATGCACGAAGTAAACTGAACAGTAAGTTACCATTTGCCTTCGAAAATGTGCAATGTGTGATTTTGTTATCGTTTGTCAGACTTACTTCGACTATAGCATAAAATGCCGTCTTTTGTTTATTTAAATCTACATATAAACAGTATTAAACAGTTTTCGGACGAGAAACTAAAGCACCAACAATAATTTTACAGGTCTATTCAAACCGAAAATAGTAACACCAGTGCGTACGCCACGAGCGAATCCCGAATCAAGCCCTGGCCTTAGCTCATCACGAAAGAAATTCAGCCATGTAAAGTCAACTATACCAAGGCCTGCTAAGAAAGAATAATAAAAAATATTTAATGAATATCAAGTTTAATCCAGAACTAACTAGTTAGCGGGCAAGTGATACAATAAACTAATATTTAAATATACTATGTTATTTTGTTATCATCCTATAAATATATGAATTTGTAACAATTGAATACATCAACTATCAGATAAGTCGGAATTAGTATAAGTTCTTAATAATTTCTCCACTTCTTTTTCTAAAGTTTCGTTCTTGTTTTCTGACGTCTTTTTCTTTGTTTTTGACCGTGAATGCTTACTTGGTTCTTTATCCTTTTTAACAGTTTTTAACTCTCCACTTTTGTTTCTCTGCAGATGTATCGTAGCAGGATATATTATACTTTCAATCAACTCCTCTTTCGTTTCTTTCGTAGTGTAGTCACCATTGGTTAATGCTGCGTCATGGCTTTTCTTTCTAGTCCTCCTGTGTTTTTCAATACAAACCTCGTGAACACTTTCCTCTTCACTGTGTTCAGATTGATGATCAGAATCAAGTTCTTCAACTTGTGCTCTTTCTTGAATTTCTTTCTCTTGACTTTTTGTAGTTAATTCTTTTAATGTGTACTTCTCACCCTTTAAACACTTGAGTCGGTCTTTTTTCGCTAGTTTAAGACAAATAGTTGCTTTTGGATAACCTGTGAATTGCTGATAACACTCTCCTTTCTCCAGTGATACAAAAGGTTTGAAAAATCTTCTGGGATGTATGTCATCTGGAGTCTCATTCAGTAGTACATAGGCTTTCTTCAGAAATGTTTTTTTATCAATAGGGTTTTGCATGTGGAAGAAATTTTCAAGTTGTTCATGTGACTTAAGCCTCTTGAGTGCATTTCTTTGTACAATATTGTATGAAACTACTGCCATTAGAATGAAAGCTGGTTCATTACTAAGTATGTGGTCCCACAATATCAGCCACTCAGAACAAGTAAGTACTTCACTAAAAGCTGTTTCTAATATTTTTAGAGCATAGGTTTGACTTGTGATGCCAACATCACAGAAATGATTTAGCAATGCCTGATCGTGTTCAGCCAGAATATTTTCAACAATCGCCAGGACACTGATTGGGGGGAAAGGGGCATACTCAAACCACAGCTGACAATAATTGCATAACACACTAGCCACAGACTCAAAAAGTAAAAGAGGATCTTTTTGAAGAACTTTCACAAAAGGAAACACAAAGCCCGGCAAGAACTTCATAACTCCAAATAAGGGACACCAGTGTGCAAGGCAGGACAGCAGACGTTTCAAATTTTTAAGTGTAACTGCGCTATGTATAGTAAACTGCTTCTCTATGTCTTTGTAAGCTGGATGAATACCTTTATCGATGAGACCCGTGTAAGCAATCTTATTCCGAGGAGTATCTAGCAGTGACCTCCAGATTATTGAGCGAAACTTATCAGGATATTCACCATACTGCATGAGTATTCTCCTTAACCTTGCACTATCCATACATACACGCATTTTATGTTCAATTTGAGTTTTTGAGTTACTTTGTATCTGAGAGGGACACTTATGTGCGGAGGTTCCTGGCATCTCCTTTTTTATAGTTTCTACAACACAATTTTGACAATTTTGTGCTGAATCCATAACATATGAACAATTATAGATATTTACTTCACCAAGTTGGAGAATACACAGAAAATATTTTCCTGAGGGGCTTACAACAAATTTGCGAATACCAGATGATTCAGGGTGTATAGTATGGATTACAGTTAATGATTCTAAATCCAATAAGTATAGCACACAGTCACTGCTCAAGACAGCAAGGATTTTGTTTGCTCCTCCGTCAAACAACTGGGGGATAAAGGCCAGTTGATGAGCACCAGCAATGTTATATTTAGACATATCTATGGTTTTTAGGGCCTTCCATGTGTCCATACTGAACAGTATCAGCATGGGTGCAAGCCCAGCCATGGCCATGGCACGGCCGTTCATAGTGAATGCAATACTTTTCATGTGCTTCAACTCACTTGGTATTATTTGCTTGACAGATTTCATGCTCTCATGTTTCCAGATTTGTACAGTATCGTTTTGAAAGCATGCTACAAGGTAGTCACCAGCAGGAGAAAACATTATTTGTTGGATCTGAGCACCTAAGAAAGTGTTTAAAGTGAAGTATTTTGTATAGTTACGCAGCTCCCATAGTATAGCTTCAACTGGACTGGCTGTCAGAAGATTGTTTGTTTTGACGTTGTTAGAGATGGAAATGTGTCTTACTGGTGCTGTGTGGCCCGACAATGTCAGAGATACTTGCCCAGTTTCGGTATCCAAAAAGTTCATCTCGTATTTCTTTGCGGAAGCAACAATCAGCGTATCTTGTTTGGCCGGCAGGAATTGTAAGGCAGTGCACGGCCCAACTCCGGGTAACTTCCAGAATTTAAGGTCGGAAAAGTCAAGAATAAAGATGTTACCGGCGTTGTCGGCGCACGCGAGCTTGTCATGGGTGTCGTCGAACACGCCCGCGGTAAACCGAATTCTGCGACATTCTCCATTTGAACCTCGAACCGTGTGATGCAGCTGTAGTATGACACCATCCTTCGGCTTCGATTTTAACTTGATATCGAATTTTTCGATAGCTTCCCGCTCACCTCTCTTCTCTTGTTCCATCAATGACTTTATTGTTAGTTTTATATGAATCGAAAAACATGATATTGTCAGATTGTTGACATATTTTCTTAGATTTATCAGACAAATTATTTAAAATTTGGCGGAATCGAGCAATCAAAACAAAAACAGAGATTGTCACAAATTCTTAACGACAGATGAAATGTCAGAATGTCATCAAACCTTGTTACGTTTGGATATTTCAACTGCATAACTTCAAAAAAGTTTCTAAAACGAATCTACATTTTAATATTATTTACTATACTTTTTTGGTATACTTGTTAAATCAATAGGTTTTGTTGATACCAAAATGAAATTAAGGGAAACTATAGCTAATTAGTAGAAAATTTCGGTTACGAATCCAGAAATATCTTCCATACACATTAAAATATTTGTATCTATTAAGTTATTATTATGTAACATGATATAAGCTGGTGTGTTATTTTTTAGAGGTTTTTTCATTTGAGTAGTGCATACGTCTACTATTCAATCTTATACATTAAATAGTTTATTTAAGTAATTTTATCGTTTTAATGAAGTGGAAAGGAACGTTAATGATTACTATGGCAGGGACTTTTTCGTATTCGTTGAATAGATTAGGGTACTTATTTGGTTCCTGGTAATTATTCACATGTAGCTGGCTGTATAAAACGGCGCGAACAATCCTTTTGCGTCATTTCAATTTGAATATAGAATCCGCATGGTTCTGTGGTTTGCGAGTATCTATCTGTCTGTTTTATTCATTTATGTATTCGTTTTTTTTATTTTGTGTTTTTGTGGTGTCATTTGTTGTAAAGGTATGTGAATAGATAATTATATTTTGTTTATACAAGATGCATACAAATTATTAACAAAATGTAATTTTATGTCTATACTAATATTATATAGAGGTAAGTTTGTATGTAGGGAGTAATCTTTGGAACCGCTGGTCAGATTGCCAAAATTCTTTCAATGATAAATAGCTAGGTACAATGTTTCTGAGTGCTAAGTCTATAAAACATCATGCTACGATCAAATGGAGCCGAGCAGCGGGTGAAACCGCGCGAGAGTAGCTAGTATTTTATACAACGATAAATAACATAATTTATGAGCATACATTATGAACAGAGATCAATCTGGAGCTCCGAAACCGTAGGTAACCGAAACGTTGGATATCCGATATCCGATATATAAAAAATATCCGTAACCGTAACTGGATCCGAATTAAAAGTTTCGGATAATATCGGATAGGGGATTGAGATATGTATGTTTATATTTTTCTTTTGAAATTCCTTAAATTATTAATATCCGTAACCGAAATTATCCGAAATAAATTTATATCCGGATTATCCAGTATAATAATTATTCCTATACTCGTATCTGGAATTTCATATCCATATCATAGCTAGGTAATTTTGAATTCCGATAGAATATTCTAGAGAACTAGAACTTTTTTGCCAGTTTCTCTTTATTAGTATGTATTGACAGGACTCAGATACTTAATATTAGTAATGACCGGCACATCGCACCAGTGACTTTATTATAGTGTCATTCAATTAGGTACCTACTCAAAGAAATATCACAATTATTATTATTGCAATGAGGTATGGTAATAATGATATGCAGAAATAGGAGTGACTGTACGTATGGCGTGGTGGCTGGCCAACTGACCTCCACGCAACGTGTCGCTGGTAAGATTCCCGCTCGGAAAAACTCATTGTGTGCTCCAGAAATTGTTTTCCCGTTTCTGGTTGTGACGTGTACCTATGTGAAATAGTGTGTTTGTAGACCCGACTGTGACACAGGCGAAAATCCTAGTGTGGGGCAGCTAGTGTGGACCTTTTTTTGAAAAAAGAACGGTGATATAAAATAATCACTGGGTTTATTTTTTACCAATTATGTTACATAATATTATTATGCTTTATGGAAAAAGGATTTGTTTGACTGACTGACTTAGACTTTTGACTTTGACACTTACTACGTGTGTTTTTATTATAACTTTCGTGAGACATTCTAAATTAATTATTATGTTTTCGGCTTATTCACGTAATAATTTGACGAGATTCTCTACTAGTTTCAAGCCATGCTAGTGGCCCATATTCATGCGCAGCATTCCGCGACACGAGATGCGGCGACTGTCACGCTGCTACTTGAAACTAGTCAAGTATCTCGTCAAATTATTACGTGAGTAAGCCGAAAACATAATAATTAATTACTACGTGTGCTCTAAAAAAAGGAATAGGCGCTCGTTTTTTTTAAACTACTAAACAAGTTATCAGTATTGATGTGCTTGCTCAAACAAGTCTGATGATCTAACTTTGATTATTAATATGTCATCAGGATCATTTTATCGCTGTTATTTTTTTTTGTTTTTTCCTTAGCGCGCGTAATGCGTGGTGACAATAAAGCGACACGATATATATCTGTCGGCCAATAGTTGGTCGACACTTTTTGACAAGTTTGTGCGCGCACTTGACGCTCTATCTAGACATATTAATAATCAAAGTGATCGAAATGATTCGAATTAAAAAAATGTCTTCAATAGTCCATTTATCAAAGAAGGGCTAGATACAATCATTGGGAGCTAAGCAGCGGTGTATAATCTCATATTTAATGAACCTTTCCTTATTTTACCAGGTTCAAAGATGAAGTTTACGTCACTGCGAAGGTGTATCAAGAATAGGAATCTGGGCTCTCCATATATTTTGTCAGACTGTGATGTCGTGGTGGATGGAGACAGTTTCTTCAAGGACACATACAGCAACAGCAATTCGCAGTACATCCTCGGACCTGACTGCGATAGATACGCTGACTTCCTAATAAACAAACTCAGTATTTTCCTTGACAGTCATGTCAAATGCCATTTTATCTTCAAAGGTGCTACAAAATTGAACATGGATGAAAGACAGAAACTCCACGAAAACATGATTCACGATCGAATTGTCACAAAAATAAACACGGCCCCTTATTTCCAACCGCTTTTCGCCCAAGATATTCAAAAACAGGTTTTGGAAGAAATGGATATCAAATATTTCGTCTGCGAATACGATTCTATTGAAGCGATCATAGGTGTTGCCAGAAAACTAAAATGTCCCGTTCTAACGAATAAGTTAGAGTACTCCCTATTTGGTGTGTCCTGCATTCCACCCAATTTCGTTCTACATATAAAGGGATGTAATAAATTAATTTGTCAAATATATGAAAACGAAAAGGTGAAAAATGTTTTTGGTGTCTATAACAAGACCCCAATGTTACTTGCTTTGTTGAATGAGAATGGAATTTATTTTGAACAAGCAAAAGAAATAATTGATGATATGGAAGGTGACGTGACATGGCCGGTTGTGAAATGGGTAAAGCGTCAACGAGAGGCTACTATTGCCAGTACAGTTCTAAAAGGCATTCACGACAATGAGCATAGAGATGCTTTTAATAAAGTATACGAGAGGATTCAAACCCTTTATCTCTATCCATTTTGCAATTTGGCCGTGAAATATTTCCAAAAGAACAAAGTTCACAGTTTATTCCGTGATGACAAGAAATGGTTCGCAAAGGGAATTTCCGATGGAAGAATAGCTCCTGCTTTTATTGATTTAAAGAAAAAGGGTTTGGTTTTCGGATCTATGTTGATGAATGACATGAAGCGCCCTGATGCTATGCTGGCAGCTTTTGAAATTGTGTCCTACAGTCACTGTCTCTTGACAAATTCACGAAGTTCAACTATAACTTTTATCGGCAGACAGGCTGATAGAACTTTTATTCAAGAAATTTGTAATCATTGGGACAGAAAAATACCACAAAGAGGTATTTTTAGGAAACACCGTGATGGAAAAAAAATTCAAATGAATGACTGTGATGTTTTCAAGGAGTTTCTAGAAGTAGTTTTGCCTGGATCTAATTTTAGATATCATTTTCTGTTTGTTCCCCAAGATTGTTGGCTTCTCATTATAACTTTAGTCTATTATATTTTTAAGAAAAACAAAGACTTTTTATATGCTGCTTACTGCATTTTGTTATCTTATATAGTTTTAGGGCCAGTGTCAAAACAGGTGGATGAGTTAAAAAAGGTTGAATCAATTTTAAATAGTTCTAAGGACTGTGTAAGTTTTTATAACAATTTAAAATGTATGTTCGACAAAGTAGACTTAAGTCAGAAGTACAACAGTAGTGTTGTACATTCATTTTCAGAATTCCAACATTGTTTACACAATATGAATTATTTGAATAAACTCTGCGGTGAAAAGATCCCGTGTACTGTGTACCACGATACTTATAATGCATCGTTTATTAATAACGCATTCATGTTTTTTAAAGACAAAAATGATTTAATGGAATATTTAGAAAATAAGTGCGCGGGATCAATTTATTTGGAAATGTTTAAAAAAGTGGTTGATGGTTTTGAGAAATGTCTTTCGGCTGTCGAAGTATTTGCTAAAAATAACGTTCTAGAAGCTAGTGTAATTTCAAATGAAATAAAAACTTAGGTAGATAGGTATTAAAGAACCTACTTAGGACCTATTTCGGAGTTGGCATCTAAGTATTAATGGGACTCGATGGGAGATCTGATGTTAAATAAGAGGTACCGTTACAAAATATTATTAGTTAGTTAATTTGTAATATTATATACAGGTAATATTATTTATCCATACTTCCATACTAATATTATAAATGGGAAACTAACTCTGTCTGCGAAATTTGGTGCCTATAGACATGGTTTGAAACTCGAGAAAGGACATAGGATAGTTTTTAAACCAAAAATCTGCAGGAATTCACTATTCCACGCGAGAGATAAAGTAATATTATTATGTAGGTACTTACAGGACAAAAAAATAAATAAATGGTCACACCAAGATTAAACTTGTACTTTAATGTGACTAAATTTTAATCAAAATTGTAACATTATAATTATATTTTACACTAGCTTTTCCCCGCGACTTTTTCGCGTGGAATAGTGAATTCCTGTAGATTTTTGGTTTAAAAACTATCCTATATCCTTTTTCGAGTTCCAAACTATGTCTGTACCAAACACACAAATGGGTTCAATAGTTTAGGCGTGAAGAAAAGACAGACACACTGACAGAGTTACATTCGCATTTATTATAATTAGTTTGGATTACGCTGAACTGCTTAAAAAAGGTTTTTAACTATTTTTCTGCAATCAAGTAGGTAGGTATATGTGTATGGATGTATGTAGGTACCTACGTATACATAATATTTGTGTGAATTAAGTGTATCATGGCATTTTGTAGTGGTTTTGTATGTAAGTATTTAGCCTTTTTACCTCTAAGTAAACATTAACTTTAGTATTATGCGATCTGATTTTACGATGTATGAACTAACTAATAAGACTGAAATGTCGAAAAGCTTATTTGAAATAAAAAGGACCTATATACAAAAATATTTGTGAAGGAATTTATTTCATCACCCAATCCTTAATAAGAATGCAACAATTAAGTATAATATTTTCATAACTAAGGGCTGATTTTTCAATAGTCAGATAAATGTTATCTGAGGGATAAAATTGTTGCTGTCACTGTCATAAACAAACATTCTGGCGCGACAGCATCATTATTATTTTGCAGATACTTATTTAACTTTTATGTAACCATTGAAAAATCAGCCCTAAATAAATAAATATTGTCTATTAATTTCTTGCATTTACCTTTTTTTTGTGATGGGAAAATCATCAAATGACTTCTGGGAGTGTCAGACTCTTACTGACTAAAAACCCCCCTGTTCCTTCTCCTGCTCTGGGCCGAGGTCGCGGTGCTGCATTGCGCTTTCCCCGCAACCCCGGCTGCATTTACCTTATCGAGATAATATAGACATTTCGGAACTATTTGTAGCCCTTTTACTTTTATACATGTTTAATTGCAGTTATTTTGTAGTAAGCTAGTGAATTTGTTTACGTAAATCAACATTGCAACATAGTTTCGTTCCATCAAAACAGCATAAAACCGTTGAGCGGGTCGCGCTCGGACACGGCTTATAACCCCAATTATTTTCAGTGATACATTTTCTCCGTAAACTGTTCCGTTTTTTCACCTCGCGGGGAAATGCGAGTTAATTTGACGTAAAACGATTATGGCGGTCGCACCGTCCGCGCAGGCGCAGTACGGCATCAGACACGAACCGCGCTCCCGCGCACTCGCGACCATTCAAATGGAACCGTCACGTTGGGCGCGAACATTTAAAATGTAACAAGCTTGTTGACAGTCGACAGCAAAACAACATCATTGTTAACTTTTGCAACAAAAGATAGCATATGATATAGAAAACAATCGACTTTACCCAAACAAACACTGGACAGATTACAAAAGCGAACGGGAAATTAATAAATCACGTCTGAATTCTTTGCTAACGACGCGTTTGCAATGCGGTCTAATAGCGACAGTAAAATCTGTTTTCTCTGAGATTCCGCGGGCGTGTGGTCCGTGCGTTTCTGGTAGTCGAGCATATGCCGACGTATCGGTTGGTGGAAAGCGCGAGCGTGTTTCCTCGGATCCTGCGCGCGGTGAAGATGTGCTTCCTTAACGTGTTGAGGCTTCACGTGTCGCAGAGCCAGCGACAGAAGCGGCTGTACAAGCAGTACATGGAACAGTTGGCGGGGGCGTATGTGGAGCGGTGCACGGACCTGAGCTCGCACTGGGACCGGCGCTACAGTTACAGGGTGCCTTCCCCGGAGTGGCGGTACTCGCTGCCCTGCGAGGACCACTGGTGCGCCACGGACGGCTCCCGCTCCTGCTGCGGCTCGGAATGTACTGACAGTGGAAGATGCTCCTCGCCATGTTGCTCAGAAGTGATCTTCAATGGTGGACACCACTTCAGTGGGAAGAGAACTCCGAACATGCATGTTTGTCATCCTATTTGCTATCCCGGGAACTTTGGGTGAGTACTTACTTCATAATCACAGTAGAACGCTAGTTTTATTGTTTTCTGCAAGAATATATTTCTTTTTGAATAAGTAATTTGGTGATTGTCAAAACTTTAGGAGATTTATAAGTACTATTATTATCTTACATTCCTTAGCACTCAAATGCAATGTTGTATTTTGCACAATCTTTTTATTAGCTAATTGAGTATAACGGAAAGTGTAATATTTTTTACCGCGACTAGAAATAGACTACGATAAAGTTACGGTACTTGCCTGTAGCTATTTAGAAAAAAAGTAAGTAATTGTAAGAAGTGTTCATCGCAAGTTATGGTGTACAGAAGTATGGGAAACAACACTAGACTCGCGATTATAGTCTACCTCTTTTTGTTTTGCGTTAAAAGGAACTTGAAATATCTTAGTAGTTGAATTTTGAAAAGTATGAATTGGTAGTTTAGTAATTTACACATTTAAATAAAGAACGTTATTTGTATGAGCTCTTTTTACTAGATGGCGCTGAAACATGGTTGTTTTTAAATTATACAATACTGTGTACTTAAATTAAGGTTATAAAAAGGTCCTACATAAGGACGAACTCACACATAGTTTTTGACAGGGATTTAATTACCTAGTTGGAAAGTTATCATACATATAAGATTTTGCATTACAGTATTTATCTCAACCTTAAAAAATATGATCTCGTAATTAAACAAATTAATCAGAATTCTGACCGCATTCATTTGGATGGATTGAGAGACATGTTTGTAAACATTACATTCTATATCTACCTACGTACTAATTGAGTCTGTTTGACATTTCTAAATTCAAAATTATTACAATGTTACCATCTTATGATTGTTTGTTTTTAGTAAGAAGTTTTGTTTTGTGAGAATTTTTATTTACAAGTAACTGTTTGAATATGTCGTATCTATCTAATGGAGATTTTCATAGTTAACAGTAGATTATAATTATATATATCTAAATTAATAAAGGTTTTGAACAATAACTATCATGGGACATAGAAAATTTATTGAAAAAAACAACTTACGTAAATTAATTGAGAAAAGCTCGTCAGTTCACATCGCTCATAAATAAGAGTCCCGCTGTGACTTGAAACTAGTAGAGATTGGCTTCTCCCGGCTTGGATGAGAGACTGGCTAACCACCTCATGTCTTCTGCTAGGAGCTGGACTAGGATACGTTGCGCTTTACCTGCAACTCTGGCTGAACCTCTTTGTGGGTTTATTGAAAATATCGACAAAATCATGTTAACTATTATGCAAAAACATTTGTAAAAGTATTTTGTTATCTATAGATATTAATAATGATGGTAAGTAAAAATTTTGATTTTGTTTTCAGTTTTAATTATGTTTTAATTCTATCTTGATTTTGCTTTTTAATGTAATATTGATTTTGTTTAATTTAATTTTTTTTTTGTTTGATATTGATTTTAATTGTAATTTATATATAATGATTTTTATAATATTCTTAATGATGCTTTAAGCTACGCTCAACATCAATTATTTATGCATGACGTGCTTACCTATAAGAAATTGGTCTAGCTTATAAGTCTCTTGGATGTACCTACTTATCATGTCATTGTATCAGTGTATTCAATTGTTGGTGAGCCAAAGAAATAAAATAAATTAATTTACTGGGAAAAACTCGACTAGTTAAGAATTCCACCAGCGGTAGCCTCATGGATCTAAAAGATGCGCCGTACGTCCGAGTCTAGTTATGGTCATGCTGTAAACCATCGGTAGAGGGTTAACTTTATGTACATCCCGATGTTTATAAAGGATTGGAAAATGGGAACCTATTTGGGAAAAATCTGTTATGTTCCACACGATTGAAGCCAAGTGTACAATATAGTTTCCAATAAAAGATTATACATACGCATTTCTGCAAGCCGCGTATTAAATACTTATATTATTTTTCGAAGTACCTACACCGTGTAGCCTATAGGTACTAATATTAGATACCTTGATATAATAGTTGAAATAATTGTTTTGTGAACGCGCTTATCTCAAAAACTACTGGTTCGAATTGGAAAAATCTTATTGTGTTGGATAGCTCGGTTATCAAGGAAAACTATAGAATATCACGCTACGAATAGTATAGTAGGAACTGAGCAGTGGGTGAAACTGCGTCTATGTAGCTAGTACATAATACATGTAATAAGCATTAAGCTACTAGTGCATGACAGAAACCCCCTAGTTTATGGTACACCACAACGTAGACTTTACAATGACAAATTAAAAGTCTCGTATTCATATTGATACTAATTAAATCTTTAGTTTGAAATGGAATATGGACAAAAATCTAGATCCATGGAATTTGGACTATGTGTCTGTGAAAAAAATTAATATACTATTAACTTTTTTTGATAATAAAACCTAAAACCTAAAATTTGAAAAGTTATTGATAATGGTGGTAAGGGGAGGTAAGATAAAGAGTACTTAACACACAAGTATAAAAAGGTTTAAGGCGACCTTATCCCAGATCTATTACTTTCCTTTACTTTCATATAATAATAAGGGCGTTGTTCAGGGTCCGAGTGTAATGCGGACTTAGGAGAAAAATCCTAGTAGAGTAACGGTTGAGCCTGGGTTGCGGTTGCAAATTCAGTAACATATCAGAGCCCAGGTCTAAAGCAGGAGAAGGAACGGGGCAGTTTTTTTGTGAGTAAGAGTTTGACACTTCCTCCTGCCGCATACGGTCTAATTCGTCTTTTAAATAAAATATGGCAAGGCTAATAAAAAGAAAGAGAAGCAGCATTCGGCCTTTTTTCCGTAACAAGAAAAATAGTGCAAGGTTACAAAAAGAGAGAGAGAAAAGAAAAAAAAAAAATATGTATCATAGGATATTAACCTCTTGCAAGACTGCACTTACTGTTCAGCGGAGCGTGTGCGCAATGGAAATAAAGGCAACGATTGTTTCACGCGACCATGTTGTTTTCTTAGCTCTCTTATGTGTTTGTATTTGTCACGAATTTTTTTTTTAATTTTAGTATATGGTTTTTTCGACTGGTGACTGGTTACTTTGGATTTGCAATCTTATTATTTTACAATTATAGTTGAAATTATATTGGCGCTGGTGATCGTAGATGTAGTGGTTTAAAGACTTATAAGATTGTGTTGAGACAGTGTTGACTATGGTCTGCGGCAGTCAACGGTATGGTTTACTGTATCACTGAAAAAAGGCGGTTCTGCCAAACCTTAATAAGGTTTTCTTTTCTCTATGTAGGTAGGTACCTCAGATTATTGTAGTTATAGTAAATTATATTTCTTAAGTACTTATAGTACATTATATTTCTTTCTGTGTAAGTATAATGACGTTAATAGCTCGTTATCCGATTAATTTATTGTAGAAATCTGAATAATGACAGCTAAACAAGGGAAAAAGCAACCATAAAATAAGCACAGCGGAAAACATAAAATTCTTTATTAAGAATTATACATAAATCTGCAACACAAATTCCTTTTTTAATTAGCTAAAAATATGTTGCTATTGTTTTTTTACACAAACGAAATGGTAACAAAAAAAAAACTAGATAAGTATTTATTAAATACAACCCATAGACAGACCAAACAAAACATTGAAACTAACAATTTTTAAATTTCAAATATTGAACTTCAAAAAAACAAAAACGCATATACTTATAAATAGGTTCCTACTTAATAGGTAAGTAAAACTTCTTTTGTTACGTCAGACATCAATAAAAAGCAGATTACACACTTGTAACACATACGGAGAAAAGTGACGAGAAGTGTTGTAATCATTATGATGACACAATCAGCCATCTAAACATGTTTATGTTTAATAATAACAAGATTTCTAACGACAATGGAATATAAACTTCACTTGCATCAACCCGACATCACAATAAACGAAACTTGATTTTCAAGTAAAGAAGCTTTATTATCTGTGGCAACCTTTTTATTAGGTATTTACTTTTTATTCCCATTTTATCATTATCTTTTTAATTCTGTAGTCGGTAAAGCCTTTTTTTTTATTTTTCTAACAATGCCAGTAAAAGCATGTTTGTGGCTATGGCTTGGTTTTTAATAATGAAAAAAATCTCTTAATGCGACCTCATCTGATAATGATAGGTAGGTTGATACTAGGCATATAAGGCTTCCCATTCAAAAGGTAAAGAGTTTGAATTCTGGCAAATAGGTACCATTGCGTCTTTATACGAGTTGTATTGGTTTTCTAAGATTATTTAGACACAAGCTGTTGCCCGCGATTTCGTCCTCGTGGACTTCAGTTTACAGCGTGCGGTGGTTCCCGTTTCCGTGGGAATGCCAAGATAGACGCCTACATTACTGCAAGGGTTCCCATTTAGTAGTTTTTGCATGAGCAACAAACATTCAAATGTCTTCACAATAATTTTAGTAGCATTATAAAGATACATCTTTTTGCCCATTTCATGGATAGACTTTTGACTGCAACCAGTGCCGGCGTAAGGGCCACTGACACCCTGGGCGAAAAAATTGTGGCGTCCACTTGAGGGAAACAATATCAAGTGTTAGTTTTTTGCTGATCGTATCGAGTCATTCGATTCCCGCACCAAACAATTTTTTGTGTGATCCACAAATTGATGTTCCGGGTTCTGGTTCTGAGTGTGATGAGTATGTGAAATTATATGTTTATAAAACCAACGACACAGGAAAAAACTCAATATGGAGCAACGTTTTTGAAAAAAATGACGTTTTTGACATTTCAGTAAAAAGTATTCAATTTGACCTGTAGGAAGCTACCTGTTTGAAATCAAATTAATGTAGCCCGTTAAGTATTTCCAACTATGTAATTACTTTTTAATACATGCATATACCTACAAATTACTAGGTAATTCGCTATTAGACATTTCCCGGCAAACAGTTTTGTAGTACTTACTAAGGCACGTTTTATTTCAATGTCTAGGATTAAAAAATAGCTGCTTTAGGTAATTAATCAATACTATCAATAGTAATAATATAATATTATAAAGAGGTAACATTTGTAGGTTTGTATGTTTGT